CGTAGGGACCGAGGGTGTGCGGTATTGGTCCTCGTTAAACTGTGCTACCGTAAAGTGCTCGACTTCGCGCGCAGGTCGTCGGGCTACCGAAGCGGGGGTGCCATCCCCTCTGCAGAGGATCAAAATTGTGATGGCATGTCTTCGGATCATCCTCCGAGATGTTTCCCAGACCGTCGCCAATAGCCCATTGTGCAACTCTAGTGCGACGTAAATTAACAGTAACAACAGCAACAACCGTCTCAACCTGCTAATTTAAAACTCAGTTCCACGGTTCACATAAGCCCGGTCTAAGCTATCGAACCTCGGCCACTCCGGACCGAAGTTCGATTCTTCAACCACTAGGCTACCATGGCCCCGCATCAAGTGAGACAAATGAAGACACACCGGCCATACGGCAAGAAAATAGACCGGATATAGGAACTCGGAAGTTGAAAAGAATGTAGCGCCCTCTGCTGTAAAATTATGCATCATAAACAATAACTTCATTTCTTTGCGTTATGTGTGAAACTAGTGTTTATTCAAATAAATACTGTTTTATTTATATTTCAGATATGCCTTATGCATACAGTGTTTGTGATTAAACTCACGAGAAAAGCAGCTTACAGGCGCATTGTCTGTTATATTCTAAAGAGCATTATTATTCATAAAGCTGAACAATCACAGGGTTCTTAAAATAAAGATTCTCTTGCTTATACTGGTGTGAAGCTTTATTCAAGGATTATGTGTGATGAATCTTATAAGGATGAATGTAATTTAAAAGAATACAATGTTTTTCTTTCTAAAGAGAAACCATTTTCATGTAATGTGTGTGATAAAACATTTAAGCAGAAAAGTCATTTAAATAGACACTCTCTTATTCATACTGGAGAAAAACCTTATTCCTGCAGTGTATGTGATACAGCATTCATCCAGAAGCAAAGCTTAAATGTTCACTATCTCAGTCATACTGGAGAAAAACCATATTCATGCAGTGTATGTAATAAAACATTTACTCAAAGAACTTACTTGAATAAGCACTCTCTTGTTCATACTGGAGAAAAACCTTATTCGTGCAATATTTGTGATAAAAAATTCTCTCGGAAAAAAAGATTAGATGAACACTATATTTTTCATACTGGACAAAAACCATATTCATGCAATGTGTGTCAAAAAACATTTTTGCAAAAAAATAATTTAGATAGACACTCTCTTATACATACTCCAGGAAAACCTTATGTGTGCAATGTATGTGATAAAACATTTAGACGGAAGGAGAGTTTAAATGAACATAAATTTCTTCATACTGGAGAGAAGCCATATTCATGCAGTGTATGTGATGAAACATTTGCATGTAAAGGATATTTAAATAGACACTTTCATGTTCATACTGGAAAAAAAACCAATAAATCAATAACACCAAAAATTTCCATGAATAAGCGTTCTTTTCTTCATACAGAAGAAAAACCTTTTGCATGCAATGTATGTAATAAAACATTCATGCAGAAAAAAAATCTCATTGAACATTATTTTCTTCATACTGGACAAAAACCTTACAAATGCAATGTGTGTAATAAAACATTTGCACGGAAAACAAGTTTAATTGAGCATTCTTTTCTTCATACTGGAGAAAAGCCTTATTCTTGTAGTGTATGTGATAAGTTATTCAGTCGAAAAGGAAATTTAAATAAACATTCACTTCTTCATACTGGAGAAAAACCTCATTCATGCAGTGTTTGTGATAAAACATTTAGACGGAAAGAAAGTTTAAAAATACACTATTTTGCTCATACTGGCGAAAGGCCTTATTCATGCAGTATATGTAATGAAACATTCAAACGTAAATTTTGTTTAAATAAACACTTTCTTCTTCATACTGGAGAAAAACTTTATTCATGTAGTTCATGATAAAACATTCTCTCAGAAAGTTTAAATGAACATTCTTATGTTGATCATACAACGTGTCGTAACATATTTTACCAGAAATTCTCTTGTTAATAAAGGGAAAGAAAAAAAATCCTATTCATGGCATGTGTCATAATATTTTATTTTTTTTTTGCTTCAAAATCCATTTTAATACACTCTTTTTGTTTTTAGCAGAGAAACTTTATTTATGCAGTGTATGGAATAAAACATTTTATGAGAAAACTTGTTTAATTTGTCTCTCTCATTAATACAGTGCAACCTCGAAAATCCGGACTGCTGGGGGTTTTGGAAGGTCCGGATTTTAGATACCTTACTTGAATTGATAGAATTATCGAAATTTCGAATTCGCGAGGCCGATTTCGCGATTAATCACGTGTGTGTAGACCTCCGACGCCAATTTTAACATAAATATACTCTTTAAATAATAAATAAAAGACATTAAAAATCAAACTTTCGTCATTTTTCCCCGCAATCGATCCTTTAGATAACATAATATTAGCAATTAAAACTAAAAATATAGGCTTAAAACGCGAGCTGAATTTCACCTTATAACCGAAACAGATGCTTCTAGACTAGACTGTACCAGCTGATACTAATCCTTTTTTTGTTAGGGGATGAAATAACTTGTCCCAGCTTCCTAAGCTTCAAGGTTAAAAAAGAGCCAGTTTTCTTTCATCACAAGGGGGAGATGGAAGAATTCCTCCTTCTGAGGGGATTCCCCTTTATATTCTTTGTTATCCATACAGAGCTGATAAGAATGACTGGAATTTCCTTATCAGCTATGAGCTTTCATTCATTCCCCACCTCTACCTCTTCATTTACTGCTTCATTGTTGCAAAAGAGTTGTGGGATTCCCCTTCAGGAGGAGGGGATTTCCCTTTATATTCTTTGTTATCCATACNCACCAGTGACCCCCATGACATTCAACGTGTTAAATAATGTCCAACACCCCTACTTGAAATAGTTTAACCTTGTAACCATAGTCTCCGCCACTACTCCAGATGAATAGCTAAGGAAGTTCTTTACATAGACAAACTATACTTAGATTTAAAATTCTGTAAGAAACCAAAATAAATTAAATGAAAATATTTTTTTAATGAATACTTGAAAATCTTAACTTTGTGGTATTGTATTAAATTTATTTCTAAGCAATTGAATGATCATTTTAAGTTTCTTTCGGTGTCCTGGAAGAAAGCGGTTTCCTTTTAACGGAATATCACATTTGGTTTAAATGAAAGTTAAGTTGCTTATACTGAAGATAGGATTTTTGTCTTTAGAGAAAACATATACAAAAGATCTTATTCTTCTCAGAATTCACATTATTACTGGAACACTTATTTAAATAAGTACAATATTTTGTTTATTCTAAAGAAGAATTTTATTTTTATAATGAATGTAATAAAAAATTCACACACAAAAGTTAAAGGTTTTATTTTTAAAAATATTTAATCTGAGTCGAACCCAACTGTGCTCGACTTAAAGGAAAATGGATGTTTAGTAATTATTTTTTGAAGATGTAACAAAAAATATAAATTATTTTTAAATGTCTGATGTAACTCCTCTCATTTCATGTATTTTTTGTTCATGAAAGAGCCATATATAATATGGCTGTCCTGAAAATTAAACATTTATCTGCATAAGATTCCATTAATGGGAAAATACTAATTGTTAACAAAAATGATTCACAGTAATAAATCATGTTAAACACTAATACCACTCAGTGCAATAAGCACCACCAAAGTGTTGGCACCCAGGGCAGAGTTTCAACTTGTCACCCCCATGTCCATGAAAATTTAAAATAAAATATATTGAGAAAGCAATTTTTTTTATCCTATTAGGTTTATAATAAAGCAGAAAAAAAGTTTCTTAACAGTTTTGTATAAATAACAATTTTCATTCTCATTTATTAATAAATAATCCAGAATAAAGAATCGACAAATCGAATTTTAATAAACTAAAAATGAAACAACTTAATAAAAATAAATTAACTACTAAAATAGTGATTAAGTTAAAATATGAATAAAATACCAATGGTATAAGTCAGACATTCGCAGCAAAAAAATATACTTGTGTGTTTTTCAATACTGTGAGGAGCACAGACATATTAGTATTACGAAAATTTTTAAATATCATCTAAATGAGTTTTAGTTTAAGTAAACTTCTTTTACATGTTGCCACCAAAACACATAAAGTTTAACAATTCTCAAAACCGAAATGAGACTGTGAAGCGATCAAATTATGAACAACAAAAAGTATTTGTTCCCCCTCAAAGTTGGTGCTCGGAGATAAATAGTAATTAAATTTACTTCCACATAAATCAAAATTTTACATTATTTATGTAAAAGTTTAAAGTTATCTATAACAAAATATAAAAAATTTTGTTCCCCCCCCCCCCTCTTAGAACTGATACCTGGGGTTTCATATGCCACTGTCAAAGCGATGCTTTTATATTTTCAGGATTGAACTTTTTTGGTTTAAATAAGTTTTTCCTTTTGAAGGAAATCAACATTATAGTGTAAAACCGATATTGAAGAAAATATTTTTTTATGAAGGAAAGTTAAAATGGATTTTATTAAATAGATCTTGGGTAATTTCTGAAACTTACAAACACTAATTCAGCACAGTGCAATAAGAACCTTCAAAGAACTTTTAATCTTTTGAGAATTTACTTTTTTTTTGTTTAAATAAGATTTTCTTTTGGAAATAACTAAATATTACAATGGAAAACCTATATTTAACAGAAAATATTGTGGTAAAAAGAAGAAAAGTTAAAATGGATTTAAGAAGATCTTGGGTAGTTTCTGAAACTTACAAAAGCAGATTAGATAAAAAAATTTCCTATCACACAAATTTTACTTCATCACAAAACAAAATAAACTAAAAATGCTTCTTTTTACTTTCAAAAATTAGAAAAATTTACCTAATTTCTTTTATTAGCAAGGTCCTTATAAGGGTGTGCAACACTCTTGGATATTCAACAGATTTATTTAAACTTAATATTAAGTACTGCACCTTTTCAATACGATTTTTTTAGAATATAAACATCAAACTATGATCTGAATGGTCATTATAAAGCTTAAAATAAAAACACTAGTGTTTTTTTTTCCATCACAAATAACAGAAGGAAAAAAATCATTGATACTTTTTTGCTTTCTGTTTAATTGCTTTTGCAACAATGATTGGGTAAAGCTGTAATAATAATGAAATGATTTACATTTTTAAAGGCGGTTGCATTATATAATCCAAGGCGCAGGATTAAATAATCAGAGTTCTACTGTACATAGATTTGAAATCATATGGCTTCCCAAAATAAATTTGACTCTTTGTAACAAATTTAAATATAATTTTTTTAATTATCCTAATGAGTTAGAAATGAAATCTGTAATTTGAGCTCCAAAAATATTATAAAATTTTGCTTTTAGTAAATGAAATGTCGTGTAAGTGAAACTGTTACATTATCACTTCTAACAAAGACTGGTGTGCTCAGCAAATTGAAAATTCTAAAAAACGTCATTTCTTCAATTATAGGAGATAAACGGTTAAACAGAAAAATTACAGACTCACTTGAATACAGTTTATTGTATTTATAAAAAATTATACAAAACATGGTAAAAAGAAACATGCATTATCTCCGTAGGTAGCTTGAGCAAAAAGCTATATAAATAAAGGGTCTTAAGTAACATTCTTGAAATAAAGATTTCTCAAAGAAAGCTCTGATTTGGAACATAAACTTTTCACAAATATACAACTTTCATTTATTTACTTCCTAAGGTCACAATGAATGGAGAATCTGTATTTTAAGCAAAGTTTTTCACAATTGTTGCAAAATTCATTAAAAAAATCCTTTTTTTGAAGGCTTCTACTGTGTTATTTCCCCTTAAATTTAAAAAAAATAACAATAAATAAGATTGAAAGAAAATTTTGAGTTAAAAAAGGGATAATTTTTAAGTTAATTTTTAATACCAATTATACCTAAATAGACTATAAAAATTGAAATGAGGTAAAGGAGTAGTGAGTTAAAATACTCTACAGATTTTTTTGAACTCTGGTCAGAGAAAATAACTGTTTTGATTTTAAAGTTTTCAAGATTACAGAGATGATTAATACCACTCTCCTTTTGTTAGTTAAATAACGTAAAGATGTGGCGTGAAATATTAAAAAAAGGTATGTCTTTGTATCAAACTCAGATTTTGTGAGGTCACAGAATTGAATACAGTCAATTTATAATACCAGAAAATACTGTATTATATTAAAATATTTTTATAGCAGCTGAAACAAGAGCGATGCATAAAAATAGTCAAAAACTGTTGAAATTGTTCTTATAGATAATTGCCGTTGTGTCAAAATTAGAGTATCATTCGCTGTGTACATTGGAATAGAAAAGAGTGCAGAAAATATTTAAACACCAAATTTATGGAAAAGCAGTTGATCTAAAAAAAATCAGTCAGCACCTTGAAAAGCCTCCAGCAATAAAACAAGTACAAAGTAATAGATTAAAAGAAAACATTTATTTGATACAAAAATAAATTTAGCAAAAAGCATACATAATCTATTTCATTTATGTATTCTGTATTTCATTGATGTATATGTATTCTATTAATGATGTATTATTATTCTAATAGTTCTCATCCATTAGCTGGGTACCAGACAAATATCCTGTAGCCATGAGAAATTTGTTTTTTTGCAACTGTAAAAGAAATTTGCAATTCTATGCCTGTTGAGTGAAGGGATTTTTTTTAATTCGTTATTTTATTTTGTTATCATTTGTTTCACATTATTTGTGTAAATTAGACGTTATAAAAAAAAAGTCCTGCAAAGCAAAATAACCGGCTGGCACATTCATGAGGAATCTTTTTACCAAGCTACATTTGCTAACTGATAAACACCATTATAACTCATAGTGAATAATAAGTGGAAATGAGACTAATAATACACTATTTCTTTTCTCATATAATTTATTCAAATTTGATTTCAAAACAAGTTCAATCAGCTTTCAAAATTTTTTCAGAAATGAGAGTTTTTATTTTTGAAAAAAAAAGGAAGAGATATTTAGGTCACTTCTCAGTGGCCAACAAAACGCTTTTTAGATGATTAAGATTTCTCTTCTTCACTTTATTAAGATCTCTCCCCTTCTCAAAAGTATTCTTGAAAGTGTTAAAGAAAATGGCCCGTGCGAAATCGTTTTAACTCTGGAATTTATGGAATCCTTAAAGAGCCCTTAAGATTAAAAGAATAAACTGGGGTGCTCGTATTGTCAGAACAGGTGAAAAAATCCAGTAACGAAAATTTTTGTGTCATAAGTCCTTCACTAGTCGAAAAAGAAGACCTAAATATTGATGCCCTTATTCAGTGTGGAATTAGGTTTTAAAATGATTGGGGTGAAAAAACTGGCAGTCCAGGTTAAAAAAAATTGGTTGTCCCGGAGTAATCCTATGCCTTTGTACTAAATATGATGACCTAGTTTCTGACATTAAAGTAACGTGTATGAGAAATATTGCCACTGATGGATCCCAATAAAGGACGGCAATATTTGAAATAACTTTGGTTTGTAGCAAACTGTAGTGCAAAAGGAGAAGAAGTTTATTTTTATGCTCATTAAAACTTTATATGAATTTTGTATAAATAAGATTATTTTCATTTTTCGAAGCTTTGATGAGGAAACATTTAGACAGGGAAAAATTAAGAAGTTAGATAAAATTGTAAAATATAATAATTTTGAAGCATATACTTTTCTAAAATTTTTGTAGAATGGAGAAAAGCTGTTAGGATGGATTTACCAAGGTGAATAATTTCATAACTTATTTAACATTTAGTTTTAGAACTTTTATATAATTTTTTAAAAGTTAAAAAAATTAGATATTTCATCACAAATAATGCTACAGTTATATACAATAGAGAAAGAGAAACAAAAGTATAATACAATGAAAAATATACATAAACACCACACAACTCAATACTTCTACATTTCTTCAAAGATATTTTCTACTTACACTAGCTCAAATATCAAAAATAATAATATTAAAAAAATTCTTTAATGACAGTTATTTCAGTTTTTACTAAATTGATATCTAAGATGAATTTAAAATGCACAATAGAAATAAACATGACATGTAATTTTTTACAAGACATGCTAAAATATATTTGAAAATAACTTAAGTACCACCATAGAAAAATTCTTTATGACTGCATGGCAAAGAACATTTTTAAAATGATATAAAAAAAGCCTATATAAAATGTTTGTTTAGTGATTATAAACCCGTATGAAATTACTGTTAATAAAATATGCAAGCTATATACAGTTTATGTAACAAAAATAACTATACAAGGCATTAGAATATCTATTTATCACATAACTTCATCATAAATATAGAGCAATGAGTCCCATCCGCAATCACAAGCCTTTAAAAAAAAAATAAACACATAAGTATATTAATAACACAACTAAAGTTGGGCAATATATTGTAAAATATATCATTTTGCCTGTGTATTCTGAACCATAAGTATTGAATTCAGTAAGAGGTCTTTATAACATAATTCTTTAAACCAAAATAACTTTACCATCTCTTCATAATCATCATCAATGGCTCAACAGCCCAGGGTGGGCCTTGGCCTACTCAAAAAGTTTTGTCCAGACTAACCTTTATCCAGCAAGCGTTTTCCAATTTTTAGTTTTTAAGGTCAAAAGGTTTTCCTTAAAGTCGTAACAATGGTTTTTTTTACGGTGTAGGGTTGTTTACTATCTCTTAAGCAACTAATAAATTTATAAATTCGTTGAATTTTATTTTTCTTGCTCATGGTAACCTTAATATTTCAAAATATTTTCATTTAAAAATTATTTTAAAGCAATATAACTGTTCTGTTTTAGATATATTTTGTCATCTTTAGTAAGTCAATTTAATGAAGAATGAAATGATCTATATCATAGAAATTTCTATAAAACACAAAGTCTCACAAACTAAGGTAAACAACGTTTAGGAGCACAAAAATATTTATAAAATCTCACAGTTCAAGGTTTATGTTATTAAGATTTTTTGCTGTATATGATAACAATAAAAGTGTTATTGTTAATAACGGACACACTATGCTCCGATTTTGAGTGAAGCGGAATATGTGTATATGCATGTAATCAATAATAGCAAATATAAATATCATAATCACTATTAACAGTAGTGATAATTATGGAATATGACACCTCGATCATCTCAGACAACAATATTATTTAATGACTATTAAATTTACAATATAAATAATAATGGTTATTACTATGAATATAATAGCCCAAGTTTTGACAGATAGAAAAAAAATTTTAAATGTTTTGATATGATCTTTAAAATAAACATTTAATTTTTTCAACAGCTCAAAATACAAATAAAAAAATTTAATAATGTACTAAATAGAGCAAAAATTTCACAAAAGAATGGATAGTTGGCTATAGGCTTAATATTTAGTCATAAAGAGCAAACTATTTGATTTAAATAACCCATAAAATATTTATTATACAAGAAAACTTTAAGCCAAATTTTGTGGGAAAAGCATAAGTACAAAAAACAAGAGCGTATTGGAAGGAGATAATGCAGAGAATAGTGTGCCAACATTAATTATTTTGATAAAACACTAATTTTTTATGCAGTTTTTATTAATTGTAAAATTTTTTATATTTTTGCAAAGATATCTTTAAAGTTAATATGATAGATATAATATGGTAGATATAATAATATGGCATAGATTTTCTTTAATAATGCTTTTTTAGTATTAAAATATGTTATAAATGTTTATTACATTAGAAAATCTTACATTTTTCAAGTAGTTATAATTTAGAGAATTTAAGCCAAATTCAGTTGAAAACAAAAACCTTTACAATCGTTTTATATGTTATTCCCCCCCTATAAAAAATGTAATTAAATGCTCATTCTGGGCCTTTACTTTTTCTTGAAAACGTGCTTTTTCAATTCTGATGTAGAAAAAAAAGTTTTGTCCATAAAAGAAAATGTGAAAATTATAATTATACAAGGGTCCTACTATGTTGAGTTTGAGCACACAATTATTTAATAAATTACTTTTAATAAGTTGCAAAATTTAGCAAGCTTAAGCATCATATAAAATCATGTAAACAGGCTAATTATAATCTTGGTAAACTTCAAACATTAGCTGTGCCAAGAGTACAGTACATTAAAATATATTACTTACCTGACCAGGTTTCATTGGATTAAAATCTAAGCCATACACAAACTCTTTATGTTCTTTGTGAATCTGTAAAGCCTGGGGTATGTTCCAATTCCAAAATCTAAAGACAAACAAGCATTTACAAAAGAAGTCTTTTTTTTATATTATAATATAAATTATTGAAAATAATTATGAAATAAATTTATGATTTAACTATCAGGAACTGATTTGTGAGAGTACATTTATGATATGTGCCCATGGTCCAAAACTTTAACAAGGCTTGCATTTATAATATCAATAAGAAAAAATAAGTACTTCTAACACTATCATAGAATTTTTTCATAACCTATAAGTTTCAAAGTAAAATAATCATTCATTGTCAATCATTAACAACTATCAAACAGTAACATAAAAAATATTTATATTTACAACAAACATAAAAAACAGCAACATAAAAAATAAGTATATTTATCAAATAAATAACTTAATATTTTAATGTTATATTTAAAATTAGTTGTGAAACATTGGGTAGAATTCAAGCACTATATAACAGAAATAAGGCCACTATAAACTGTTTTCAATAAATCAAATGCTGAATTAACGTTTCTACTCTTAAAACGAATTTTCAAAAAAAAAACTTTTTTTTATTACAAATTGATTGCTTAACATAATTTATTCAATAATTTGAAATAAAAAGTTGCCTATTCATAACAGTAAATACCACAGTTCCATGATATATTTTTAAAGAAAACTGAAAATTTTCAGTCTGTAAAGAAATGAAAGGTTTTTATTAATTCACTTTCATTCATTGTGAGGGCGGAAACTTGCAATTAAAATTCCAATCTCTTTTCAACTAGCCAGAGCACTTAGATATTAACTAGAGCTTTGTGCTGGACAACAATGCAAGTTTCAATCTTTTTGTAACCACTACCAGCAAAATTTATAACGATATTATCTTCAATGAAAATTCCAAGTATTTTCTGACAAGCTACAACACTAGCTTAACTATTTATAAGTTTAACTATTTTTTTTCATCACTACAAACAGAATTTACATCAACCTAAGGCCAAAAGAAATTTATCATTAAATAACCAATTAATGACTAAATTTTCCATTTCTCATTATTAACTTAAATCAACACCTTATTTTTTTTTTTTTTTTTTTAAAGTGATGTGCATTATGATCTTTGTTTCAAAAGTGAAAAAAATAATAGAATTATTTCCTTCTTAATCCACTTAAAAAAAAAACATATTTTTTAAAATTTGTCTTATTATTTAAAAATTATATGAACATTTAAATATATATAATTATTAATGAAACATATAATATTAACAAAAAAATATTGAATAAAATCAGATTTTACTGCCTTTGAAAACCTCGATATACCTTTACTTGGATGTGTAAAAATATAAATATTTTACAGGCTTAGAATCGATGAACAATTAAAATAAAAACGAATAAATTATTACTGCATAGTTAAGTTCAACTGACATAAACAGTAACATTATACTCTCATTAATTTACATTTATACCATTTTCCCAAAACTTAGAGACAATTTCATATTGACCATAAAATGCTTATTTTTAAATTACTAAATTCAAATTCTTCGATCAGATTTAACCAAGCAAGCAATTTCTGTTAGTATAAAATTTCCTACTACATTGCATAATTATTCAAAAAAGAAACACAATTTAATTCAAATCAAGTGTATAAAGTCAATGCAAATAATAAAAGCAAATTAGATTTTAGATAAATATAACTTATTTTAATTACTAAATTAGACAAATTTGATAAAATTCAAATAAATTATCCTTGGGCATTTTGATTTATTTCACTGTTCTGAAAGAAATAGATTCCTTTGTTAATAAAGAAGAAAGCCTGGAAATAGTGAAAAGTATATAATAATTTTAAAAAAATATTGAGAATAAAATAAATAAAATAAAGTACAATTGTACATGATAACATTTTAATTCAGATTTTTTTATTATTATTGAAGAGTTCATTCAGCTCAATTATTTGAAGTTTCAGATCTTTTTTTTTAAATTAATGAATTGTCTAATAAATTGTAACAGTCAGCGTACATTTTTACTAGTTCATTATATTTCTCTAATGTCTGCACAATAATATTAACTCACCAATGAAAATATAAAAGAAAGAAAAATATCTGGCAAATCTAAAATTGAGGAGAAAGTTCAACTAAAAAAATATGTAGGTCCAATTAAAAAACAAAATCAAATGGAAATGAGATCATTTTTTTAAACAAAAAAAAGTGACAGATAATTTAATAGAAAGTCTAATGTTAAGACATGAGGTTTAATTATTTGAAAAACAATGGCACTGATAAATAAAAAAGATAAAGTCAAACTAATAAAAAAAAAATTTTGCCTAATCTAATTAGAATATTATAATGAGATAATGAATAATAAAAACTAATATAAAAAGAGATAGATTGTTAAAAAATAGAAAACCTAAATGAACATACTGTTCAATTGCAAGAAAAACAGTGAAACTAATAAATAAATAGATTAAAGACTTAATTTCTGTTCTTAATAAATAGAACATATTTGAGAATAATAAATAGCTCTCATTGTATAACGAAAAATAAAAAGAACATCCTAAAAGCCTGACAAAGAATAAAGAACAAAAAATGAAAAAGCAATAGAAAATTGATAGCCTAAATAAAGATGTGATTCAACTGTAGCAAAGATTAGATCTGAGAAGAAATAATTAACTTTTACATGATCTAAAAGTAATGCATTCTAAGAACCTTAAGATCTGAAAGAGGAAATTTATGAAAATATGAAGTTTTTAAACGCTTTAAAATTGATTTTATGAATTCTGAAAATTTAAATGATTTTAAGAACCCTGTTTAAGCAATTCCCATATTGTGATTCTTTTACAAATATTTCAAACAAAATTTTTAGAAGAAAAAACAATCTCAGAAAAGGGTAAAATCCATTCTTAATTTCAAAATCTAAGAACAATTAATAAGCATCTAAGAAAATTAATAAGCATATCTAGAGATCATTATTTTAAATTTTTAGTATAAATCATCAAACAAGGCATTATGAAATTGAAATAAGCTAATATTTCAGTATATCACTGCATACCTTGTAGTAAAGTCATAACTAACGGAAGCCAGAGTACCAGGTTGATGAGGGGAAAACTACAAATAAATAAAATAAATTAATTGATTTCAAAATATTAAAACAGGGAACATTTTAAATAAAACCCAACTAACCTTTAACTGCCTTATAGCATATTCATGACCAGATAACATAAAAAGTGGGTGTGCCATTTTTCTTACATCCCATTCAACAATTTTTCCATTTGTAGTGCCAGTTGCTAAAACATCCTGAAAAAAAAACTTTTAATGAGCAAAAATTTATAATGAAGAAATATGAAAAAATATTTGTTAAAATTTTATTTGAGTTACATTGAAACACAATAATGAATAAAAAAAAGTCACAAGGAAAAAATGTTATGAGAAGAAAGTAATAAAGTCATCTTAAAACTTTTTTTTACATTATTCTTCATAATATTATTTACATTTTTGAGAAATATTTTTTAAAATTTAAACTTGATATGACATTAACTTCTTTACAAAATTTTTAAGAATATCAGCATCATTTAACTTTCTCATATATTTTTTAAACTTGATCTTGAAATATTTACACATAAACTTTTGCAATATTACTCTATATTTTTTGAAGTCATGTGTTTGACTTAATCTTAAATTGCATTTTAAAAATCACCTTAAAACGCATCATTTCTATGACGTAACTTTCATATGTAACATTTCAATAGATATGTTATAAAATTTTATACTTTGAATTTTATTGTGCTGATATGTGCTACCTAAAACAAACATATTTACCACTTTATCACAAAATTAACGATAAAATGCATAAGAACCTCCAAATGACAGTAAAAAATAATTCTATTCTTAAACAGAGGTGCCAACTTTCTAACTAGCAATACTTAGAAGGAGAGAGACAAGAAATTGCAGAGTAGCTTGTCAGAAGGGGAAGAGAAAAGATTTTTTATTTCAATCAAAACATTTTTGTTTTTTATTCATTGTGTTTATAATTGTTTATGGAGTAAAAAAATTTAATTTTAAACAGATTATTATAACAATTAATCATAAAAATATTTAATTACACGATCAAATTTACTCCAGTCACAACACAAGACTTCAGAATCATGTGCATACCATCCATTCGAACGAGTATTACATCTAACATCCCATAATCTCAAAGTTCGATCACCTAGGGAAGCAAAAAGAAATCATTAACACATTTCATATTCTGACTTAACTTAAATACTCTGATACTTAAAACTTTTCTTAGATTTAAGTCATTGCATAAATTAAATAAATAATAGTTTCTTATCAAAAATTAATTGCATATACTATTAATATTAACTGTTCAAACACAGTTTAAAACTTTCTTCCAAAATGTCGATACACTCACATAAAGACAATACACATAAAACATAACGCATAAACCAAGAACGTAGGTGAGGGGTTTAGGGGATTCAGCCCCCCTTCCCATTGTAAATGGCAATTTCTAATATTTTCTGAAATTACTCATTTTTTTAAAAAATTATTTTCAAAAAAATTTTCCACTTCCTTTCAAGTTTTTATTAGGTAAAAAACACCATCTTAAAATTCATTTCACCACATGACGAAACTAACCTTATTCTTATCTTACAAGGTTAGCTGATCCCTTTTAACTATGGGAAAATGTCCACAGCTTCAAATTACCTGGCTTTATCTATCCATATCTTGATATTTATAGGTGTGGATTGTAAGAGAAGATAACTTGTTTGTTTTAAATTTAGTTATAAATGCTTTATAGGGAATATTTCCTAGAATTTTGGGGGAGCATTATTGGGATTGAAATAAGATGTAACCAGTGAATGAGGAAGTTTAAATAGGGGGTTGATTCTCAAATCAAACTTTTTTTCGACATTCAGTCAGGAAATTTTTGTTTTTTTGAAACAGATGCACACAAATTTTGTTCAATCTTTCTGGCTGTCTCATAGTATATTTCTTAAATATATTTTTATTTTAATGGAGTGAAATATCTCTTCCTCTTCATATATTATTAACCTTTCATTAACATTTTATTCAATTTTTAATAATAATTTCCATACCTACATTTAAATCGTTACACTTAGTTGTGAAAGTGATTTATTTATTTAGTTTAAATGGAGTTTTTTGATCATTTTATTTTATTTATTTGAAGGTTAGTTTATAACTTATTAAGTAGTGTATGTAAAGGCTAAAAATGGATTGGATTTTAAATGCCAAATTATTTCATACATTAGTTCTGTGTGTAGTTTTTATAATTGTTACATTGCTATATTTATTACAAAATAACTATCATTAAAAAAAGATACTTAAATTTTACAAAAGTAGTAAAAGCATATGATTAAGAAAACTAAACAAATATGATTAAGAAACTAAACTTTGATCTACAAAATGATAAATATACAACAATTAAACAAAGTTGCATGTTGACAACTGAAAATCTGCTCTGATTTCAATACTTTTGCACAATATATATGAAATTAAAACATTTGAGTTATTTTAAAAAGTAAAAATGAATTTAATAGATAAAATGAAATAAGTTATTTTAAAAATAGTGTCATGGTCATTGAAATTGTGGTGCAATGAAATTTAACATAAGGTTGATAAAGTGTTGTTTCTTATAAATGCAGCCCTACATTTTAAGCCTTTAAATTTGAATATTGGATTTTGATTTGAAGTATACCCGATTATTACTTAAAATCAAAATCTGATTTGATATTAAGAAAAGATTTAATTAGTCTCAATTAATTAATTTCTTTTTATTTCTAATAAGATAGTCATATTAAGAAAAATAGATGAATGGAAGAAAAAAAAGAGATAAAAGATATTGAAAAACAGTGTTCAAAAAAAAAACACCTTATAAAATATCTATTTTTAATTTATATTAAAAACTTATAACTAAAAAAAGTTTTTTTTCGAAAAATCCAATTTTTCAAATTTCAAAACAATTATTCATCAGCATGACTGAAACTTTTGGTTTTGAGAAGAATTAAATCTTTAATAATAAAAAAGGAGAGAGAAATATGCAGATCTTAGAACACACACTGCTTCCATTGTCCAATTGAAAAATTCAATTTTTCAAATTTCAAAACAATTATTCATCAGCATGACTGAAAGTTTTGGTTTTGAGAAGAATTAAATCTTTAATAATAGAAAAGGAGAGAGAAATATGCAGATCTTAGAACACACACTGCTTCCATTGTCAATTCAGTTCAAAAATAGAAAACTAATAAAAGCCTCTTTGCTTTACTAAAACTAAAGTTAGTTTTAAATGTGAGTTTTTCAATTTATTTATTATTACATATAGTGTCTGTGAAACATGATATCAAGAAAAACTGACATAAAGAACTTAAGACACTTAGGCATTTATCTCTGTAGTTGATCTAACTTATATCTAACTAATGAGCCTGAAAAAGAAACTCTCGTGGTAAATATAATAAAAAATATACATAAATTGCACCTGAAACTGAGGCAAAAAGATGAGGAACCATTGGACACCAAGTGGCTTCATAGACTTGATCAGTATGCTCTAAGTAAGCAGCAATTTCTTTACAAACAAATGGATTCCACTAAAAATTTAAATAGGAAAATGTTCGTAACAATTATTTCATTTCAAAAAACTAGCTAATGAAAAAAAAAATAATATAAAAGTTTTAGTAGAATAATGCTATGCTATTTGAAAAAACATGCAAATTTAAAAAACTTGTAAATTGTCCAGTTATTTCCAATTGCTATAATGTATATTGCATGTGCAATATACATTATAACAATTGGAAATAACTGGACATTAGCATTACGGTTCTATGTTAATACAAGCCTATTATAATATTAAGCAAAAAAATTACAGTACTTTCTGTATTAAAAGACAACATTTAAATTTGTTCACTCTTTATTTTATTTTTTTTAAATAAAATCCCATTTATATAAATATTAATATTTTATTCTTAAAGTGTGTCATTCACTACATTAATAATATAAAATACTTAAAAATCATAAAATTAAATATCTTGAACTTACTACTTTAACTGTGTGATCCCAGGATGCAGACAATATAACAGGCATAGCATTTTTAGGATTCCACTCCACAGAATATACCTATTAATAATAATAAAAAAAAAAACATTGTTCTTGCATTTTATTTCTAAATATGAATATATATTAATCATTTTTCAGATTCCACTTCACACAGTATACCTATTCAGGGGTAATTGTGAGTCCAAGTCAAAATTCCGGAAAATTTCCCGAGTTTAAAAAAAAAAAATTGAAATTGAAAAATTAGAAAATAATTTAAACTAGATTTTTCTAGGAGAAGTAATTAAAATTTACAAATATGTCTTACTTTTTAAGTTTATGATTATAACTATTTACTGATAAAAAATGTATCTGGCTCTCCCTTACAAACAAAATAAGCTGGGTTTTTAAGTTCCACTTTTGAAAATTTGATTTCCGGAAACTTCTGTGATCGATGATTTTTTTAAACGTCTGGACCTTCGATCTCCGGAAACTTCCGAATCACTGTTAGCGAAAAATCTGGAAATCGGTATTTTTTCCGGAGCACAATCAGCCTTGCCTATTATCAATAATAATATATATTATTGCTACATTTTATGTTTTATAAATATGATTATATATTATATTTATATATATGTTACCATGAAAGACCAGAATCTGGAGCGTGTCAAGTGTTACTGGTGAATGTCAACAATCACAGTCACTTTGGAGAATGTCCGAAGTACATGTTATATCCGATTTTATATTAATTTATTCATTGATATTTTAATATTTATTCATAGTTTAATATACGATCGAAATAGACTAGGAAAAACATAAGTGGTGGGAAAACTGGGCAAATGAATATGAGGCAGTGACACTTAAACTTAAAAAGCATAAACATAGGAATACCAGACAAAGGTTTTTAATCTTAAAAGCATTGGGGTAGAGAATACCAGGATTATAAACATTTGTTAAAATAGGTTACAAGTCATAAATTTTTGATTTTGTATGCTTCACATTCAATAAACAAATATAAGTATTAACAAGGAAAATATTTCAAATCAAAGGTTAAAACACTAACCTCTTTTTCATGTATTCTATAATGAGTTACAGGATCCTAAAATTATAGAAGAATAATATGTTAATACTTTTTCTAGAAAAATATAAAAAACAAAAATAAAATTGTGGTTTAAAAAACAGATGGTAATTATTTACACAAAGTTCTAATCATTCTAAATTCTATAGTTCTAATCATGCATGTTTTTTAAGAAAAAAATAGAAGAATTTTCGATTAATTGCACATCAAAATTTATAAGGAAAATTACATGGTGACTGATGTTAAATTTTGATAGGCTTTCTTATTTTAAACTTTTTTTTATTAATAAATATTTAAATTTTTTTTTAAAAATTAAATGGGATTTTTTTAATAGCCTAATATTATTATACATATAAGAAAAAGGGAGGAAAATTATAGAAGTTTTACATAAAATAAAAGTAGAAAATGTGACTGATGTTACAAAAAAAGGATATGGAATAAAATATCATATTTTTATAGTGAAATTATTATTCTTCCAACTACTTTTGCGAGAAGAATTATTGTGAATGGAACAGGATGTTTTATTTTTAATTTATTTAAAAAAAAAAGGAATTAGCAGGAAACGTTGAATGAAAGTACAGATGAAATGACACATAGAAACTGACAAATGGAGGAAAAGCTCTTGCGACTGATGTTACAATTTTTATGTGACTGATGCTAAAAATACAAACTGCATTTAAAATTTTAATAAACTTTTTATTATTATTACAAAAAACTAGAATTTTTGACTATATATTTAAACTAGTTAATAAAAAAACTAAAATTTTGTTAATGGAAGGATATTTTTAAATGTTTATTTATTTATTCATTTATATTGTTCTTAGTATCATAGTATAGACCATAGCCCACTTATATATGCAATGCAATATTTTATAAGAAATGTTATGCAGAAGAATAGAAACAACAAAATAGTTTTTATACGTAATCAGCCACATAATGATGTATAGATATACACGATAGTTCTGACAGTCAGAGTCTCAGCGGTATAAGTTCTCTTGAGAACCCAATACAATATAGTGCAAGAAATGCTATTTATGAAAAGAAATAAAAAAGTTTTTAACAATTTGGTATTCAACAACATAATCAAGTTTAAAGTAAAGTGTTGATAATCTGTGCTTTAATAGCCTGTGTTGTTCACATAATCACGATTAAAAGCCTTCGAGTATGCATTGTGATGAAAGAAATACATTTAAGTAAAAGAATGAAAGAATCATTTAAAGTTATGTCAAAATTTTATAAAAATAAAATAATTAAAAAACTATAAATAATTATTAAAAATTATTTTTGCATAGTATTATCTACAGACAAAGGAGATTTATAATCATTTTAGCAAAAATTTTTTGATTAGCTTAAAAAGTTATAAAGGAATATGCAAAAATATAGTCTCTTATTAACTTTCAAGCATGAGCTTGAATAAAATATCAGAACATATCTTTTTGTTCATGAATACTGTAGTGTATGAATAATAATAAGAAATATCTATTTATACTGACCGTCATCTGTCAGTATAAACGGATATTACTTACTATTATCCCTCTTCAGTAATTTCTACAATTCTACTATAAATACTAACTCATTTCCATAGTTATCTTAAAATATCGAAAGATTAACAATTCACAGGAAAATCAAATAAGAATCATCTTACAGCAGCAGAAACATAATCCCATATTTGTATAGATCCATCTCCACAACTTGTTACTAGAAGCTGTTCATTAAGTTCACTCCAAGTCACATCAAATAAACCATCAGAATAATCTCTGGTAGTGACTACCTTAAATTCTCTGCCGTTTTGAATGTCCAAAACAAATAAACGCCCACTTCCTAAAAGACAAAGAACAGTCATTTGCAATGAGAAATCGATATGATTTAAAAAATTACTCATATTATGCTTAAGAAACAGTACAATAAAGAGCCACCATATATTTCCCAGTTTTAAGTCAAGAATTTTTAGAAACTTAGACTTTAAGCGTAAGTTGGGGGAACAGATTTCCAAATCTTGCTTTGTGGTAGAATAATCGCCAAGTCTTGGCAACTTCCAAGCAGTGATCTGCGAGGAATAAAAAACACATAACTGAGAGGGACCAACATGAAGGGTATAACTCGTAGAGGGGATATTTCCGTATTGTGATCTATGCGCCAACTACATTCGCTAAGGTGCCAAATTTATTTTATTAAACTTGTGTATTTTTCTTAAAAATCTGCAGATGTTTGCCCAGGCATAGCTACGAGGTATACCTTTTAAGTTGGTCTCTTTCTGTAATGTTTTTTTTTTTTTTTTAGTTTCTTGCGTACCGCCGCCCGAAAGTTACCAAGACTTGGTGATTATTGTACGAAAGATCACAATATGGAAATCTCCCCCTTCATAGCCACTGCGGGGCAAACCCCTACACGTTTTTTTTTTAAATATTTTCCATTTAGAATCAATTTGGCGCCTTGGAAATTACAGTTGGCAGTACAGATCAGGATATGGAAATATCCACCTCTGCTGCAGTCACATGGTCATTTTCATTGCATCCATTGATGGATCCACAAAGATTTGTACCCATCAAATTAAGAAAATTAATTGAGCTAAAACTTTGTTTCCTAACTAAACTACAGTTAAAAGTGATTGGAAAGAATCGCTACAAACTACTGTTCTTTTTGCATCCCACTACACTACATTTTTTAAAAAAAAGTAGCACACTAAACTACAAACTACGAAAAAAAGTAGCGACTACAACAGTTTCACCACTTCCGACCACTGTGTGTACGTACCACATGACATTTATCTAGACAGACTTAAAAGTTAAGGTCAGTTTAGTAAAAATAAAAAAAAATTACATTTTTTAGTAAGTAATCCTTGCAAGTAAACAAGCCACAAATTTAAATTGCATCAATTTTTTTAAAAAAATAATCATAACAAAAGGAGGAACACCATCAGCAAATTTTTAGACGCACTTAAAAGCTAGGAAATATTCCCAAAGCGTAAGTTAGTTAGGTTATAAGAAAAAAATGTTTAAACTTCTCTTTTGCAGATTATTATTTATCGTCAAATACTAAACAGCCTTATCTTTACATTGCATAAAATTTTCTTTCTTTCTTTAACAAACTAATTATAACAAAATTAATGCAAACATCATTAGTATATTTTTATTTTCAATATGCTCCCTGTGCCAGAGATAAAAATTTGCTCAAGATTGCATTACCAGCAATGCCATAATTTTGTGATGCTGCACAGGCGAGAAGATTCTTTCGAAAAGGAGAAAACTTAACATTGTATCCATGGAATTCGCCTGTCGAAAAAGATGATGTTATTGTATTTCGCATTTTTTTCCCTCAATTTGAAGAAAACAAAACCCAAACAAAACAAATTTATGTCAACTGTAAACTTCCTGTTTAGGTTGCCATATTGTGATGCCACACTTAAAACAATATCTTGATTTCCGGAATATATTTGAATATCACTTCTGATAACATGAAATTTTAAACTCTAATTAATGAATTCAAAAGGATTTAAATAAAAAAAAGAATTCAATTATTTAGGTAAGGTGAAAAACGAGATACTTTATTTTAGTTTTTAAAGTTTATTTTTAAATAATCTTAAACTGTAACCGGATCACTGTAAGCTAGCGGCAAATTGAGAACAGTACATAGATGTTGGAACGACTCAAATAATAATATTGAATACTCCTTTTGATGTATCCTGTGTATTTATCTTTTTTACTTAATGGAGATTCATTGATCTAAATACTACATAATGCTAACTGATGTAAGTAATGTTTTAAGTGATCTGATAACACTTTCAGATGATGCTGATCAGATCATACTAGATTCAAATCTTGGTAACGATCAAGTGAGTCAATGGTTTTCGTTTATAAAGGAAACTGCTGGTGCTATTGTTGAAGGCACCTATTGTAGAGCATCTACTAGTGCAGAAGAACCGTCATGTTTTTCCGCTGAAGATTTACCTAGTCTTGTCACTCTTCTTAAAGGTAAACAGAATTCCCATCGCGTTTCAACTTTGCTTGCAGAAGTACAAAAAGATAATCGGGTGCGGCTTAGTCACCGTAAATCAAGAAAATCCTTGCGAAAAATTGTTTTGGGTAAAGGCAGGAGCAACCAATGGCATATCTCAAATCGTAAATCAAGTGTCAAAGAAATTGAAAGCATTCCGGAAGATAAAACTACCACACCAGTTCCTAAAGATAAATTACTGAATGGTGGACTTGATATTTCTGCTTCTAAGAAACAACACAACAAGAGCTATTTTCCAGAATTGAATACAAGCTCTAATATTACTCCAGAAAGTGGAGCCCTACACAGTACATATATTCAAAATAAAGAGTCTTCTACTACTACAGGTGAAAAGACACCTTTTACCCAATCTGAGTTGAAAGCTGCTGCTAAAATTGTTAAAGCAGAGAAGAAAAATGTAACATTTTCTTCACAAACTAGTTCTTTGTCTGAATCTTATAAGTCCCCAGTTGAATCTGATTTAAACCATCATGAAAAGGAATCTTACTTAGTTACAAAAAGTAATTCTTGTGTTTCTAAAGAAAGTGAAAATGATGAATTTTTAACACCCCCCAATAAAACTATCACCATAAGTGGTGATAGTTCATCGGATAAAAGTAAATATGAAACTCCTGTTACACGATCTAAGAGAAAATCGTCAGTTCAGTACAGCCAAGAAAATGCAAAAAGAATTAAAAATAATGCATCTCAAATACATTCTGGTAAACGAAATCAAGAAAAATGGGTTGAGAATTTCACTGGAAATAATACATTTAAGAAAATGAAAACCTCTAAAGACATTGATCCCGTAATTCCTGCAAAAAATTTACGCCAGCAAGGCCAAACTCGTCCTGAAAAAAGAATACTCCGAGAAATTCAAAAGAAAGAGGAAAAAGTGAGTCAAAATGCAAAAAAATTGCAATCTTTACAAAAAAGGAAAATTGAAGAAAATAAAAAAGCTCGTGAAAAGAAAATGGAAAAAGCTATGCAACAAAGAATAAAAATGGAAAAGGAAAAAGAACAACGTATCAGATCTCGAACTCAGTCAAAGCAAGAAAATTTACAGCAAATAGAACCAGCACCCAAAAAGGGAGCTGTGAAAAAAGTTGAAACAGTTGCTATTACATCTTCTGGGAAACCTTTACGCTCACCTGTTAAAAAGGTCAAAATTTCTCCTGTTGAGCAGAAGTCGTCAAAATATGATAAAAATGAAATGGAAGTTAACCACATATACATGAACGAACCTTTACCTAAAGAAATAGCCAATACAAATTGTTTAAACAAATTAAATTCTACTTATGTACGCAGTCCAGCCAATGTTGAAAACATCACACCATCCACTACTAATGAGAAAGCTCCACCAAAACCTGTTAGAAATGCCAAGAAACCATATTCAAGTAATAAAAATATACCAGATTTTGAGACTGCAAAAGGAGTTGACAAAACTCAGCCTTTTGCATCCAGTTCAAATTCAACTTGTTCTGTGACACCAGTTGTTACTTCAACACCAGCAACAAAAAAAGTTGAATCTAAAATAAATATGGCTAAAACACCAGTGTCAAACAATGCCAAAAGACCTAATAGTTATGCCATGACACCTCATGAAGATTCTTTTGTTAACTATGATATCAGTGAAATCAAAAGTGATGATTCTGATGATGAGTCACCATCCGGTCACAAACCGATTCCAACTTGGGCGTCTGGGATTAATATGAAAAATGCTCTCATTAATCAATTTTATGGTCAAAAAATTGATATTGATGAATTATTTGGAAATTACTTTACTCCACCAAAACTGCAAGATATAATGGGTATGGAAAAGAAACACTATCATAAGCGAACCAGCTCCGCGATCTGGCTTGAATCACCAAATCGCTCACGTTTACTTGGTACCTAATCATGATGATCAGAAGTGTGTTACAAGTTAATATCTGTTTTATTCAGTTCTGATTTTATTATAGTTCATTGATGGATTGGTACCTTTTTGTAAATGTTTAATGATTATTTTTGTATTGATAATATTATTAGCTTGTATCATATCTTACAAATAAGATGAACATTTAAATAAATCTGTGCATTTATTTAGCTTCCTTAATGTATCCATTATATTCCTTATTTGGTATGGAAAGAAAAAATTAATAACTAATCGAGATTAATTTTGTTTCATAATTATTTATCTATCTCATGTTTATTAAAACTGTTTTTCAGTAATGTTGATTGAATGTATTTAATCTGTGAATTATAAATTATGTATTTAAAATTAAGCGTTGCTTTTATTTGACTTTTTTTAACTAAAATATGTGTAATTCAGAGACTCAAGAAAAATTTATAAACTTGCTGTAATAATTAATAAATAAATTTTGCTATAGACTAGGGCACAACCTTCAGCCCTTGGGAGTTCCTGGACAAATGATTTTTTTTTTTTTTTAGAAAAATAAAATCAATTTTAAATTGCACATTTGAGTCATTACATTTTAATGTGCTCGATTTGCATTAATTCTATAGTAAATTTATGTTGTTTCTTAATTGGTTATTGCTATAAAATTCCACATGGTTTTATTATAGTACACAAATTTGAGTAATTTTTAACAATTTCAGCATTAATCCAAGTAACGTTTCCATCACTTTTTGGCATTTATAATTATTAAATTCTATGTGGTTTTTAAGATTCCGATACGTTTATCATGATAATCGATTTGTGTTTTAGCGTTCTTTATTTATGCCAACTTTATCTTTTATCCAAGGAAGCTGGTACATTTTCCCACGATTTTAAAAATCCCATTTAAATAATCACCTCTCGGCATGCTCTGTTTTTCTAATTTGATCCTATTGACGTTTAAGTCTGTTTTTGGCACGTATAACTCAGGGGTCTGTCAAGGCCGAATTTACTACCGTTTCGCGGTACCTTCACAAATTCAACTTTTAAAAAAACAGTAGTTTCACAAAATACTTTTTCTTATAATTTTATTTTTGTATTCCTTAAGAAACGATAAATCCATATTTTTGTGTTGATTTTTTAATGTAGTTTTTAATTTTTCACAAATTATGTCTAAATTTTCATAAAATAGGTACCTATCAGAAAAACCTAGACAGACCCTTGCTAGGTGAAAAAGTTCAATTGAAATTTTTATTGCTAAATTTTTCTTTTAAACAATTTTTGTCTTGGTTTTTACCTAGCTTTTTACATTTCTAAAAAACTTTGTTTTTATTAACTGTATGACACAGTAATTAAGAATGTTTCTATTGTCTTTATTCTTATCTGGAAAATATGATAATTGGAAAGACTGAGATGTAAAGCTTTAAAATTTCATTTTGAGAATTAAAATAGATTTTTCTGTTTTACATTTGTATATAATCTTTTGTTTTNTGATGTTAATATGTCACGCGAATTTAAATTATCACTTTGATACAATTTATCTGTGCATATTTCATCGTAAATATAAGTTATTTTTTCCTCGTTTTGGCTGTGGGGATTTTTTTTAGGTTAAAATAATACTAAATTTTGTTTTGTACTATAGTGGATTTGATTCAATTTTTTGGTTTTTGTTTAAGCATTATAAATTTTCCTTAATAAAAATATATTTTTCTTGCACTTTAAATCTGTAAGCTCTACAGTTTTTTTTTTCCGTGGTTAGAATTTATATCCTCCCCAATATGTATCTTTGTATATATATATTTGATAAATTATTGTGGAAAATGGAAAAAGTTTTTTGAAAGAGAAGAAATATAAGTTTATTTTTAATAAATTCAAATAATTAAAATTATTTAATTTTCTGCAAATATGTTATTAAGTTAACTGATAGAAAAAACTACTTAGAACACTTATGTTAATCGAAAAAATTTCATATTTGCTGCTAACCTATCTGAATATGCGTGCTGCCCTATGTTAATCTACCTGCTGTGCAAGTGGCCCTTCACTCAAAAAGGTTTGGAACCCTTAACAACATTTTATGGAAAAACTGTGTGGGAAGCTGTTTACTTCAAAAATATTCTTTGTAAGTCTAAATTATTTGCTGTATATTGGCTTATAATTTGAAAACAAATTTGTATGGTTCTTACTAAAGAAATTATTAAATTATACAAGAACTAAATTTTTTACAGCTCTCATAAGTTAAATTGTGTTATTAATTCTATTCTCCAACTAAGGTGTACACTTCTAGATTGTAATGTGTGTATTGGCTTAATTGTATTTCTTAAATAAATTATTTTAAATGATTCTTTGCTATTACTAAATAGAATTGAATTAACCATCTTAAAAAAATCACTTAATATCATATTTCCATATACCATATGAAAAGATATTGTACCTGTCTATGTCTAGTGATACAGTCTAGTGTTGTACTTGGAATAAATTTTAAAATAAGATATAATGATATCTCAAGAAATAGCTACAAGAGTTAGATTTCAGTCTTTCGATTTCTTGCTTTTACTGCACAGCTGTCGCCAAAACTTAGTGATCATTTTGTCACTGGTACATTGAAATCTTTGTAAGTTGATCACTTGTGATCAACTTCAATGTGTGGTGCATTGTGAGTTTCGAAGTGAGAAATTCATAACTACTACATCTGAGTTTCGATGAGAGAAAACTCAACATTGAAATCTATTTTGTTATTCTTGCAAACCATGGCCATTAATATAATAGTTTTCCCGTATGATAAACTCACTAAGTTTAAGTTAGCTTTTAAAGCAATTTTGCCAATTCTAATTCATAATATAATAAAATAGAAAATTTCCTGAGCATTTTTTTTTCCTCTGGACAACTTATATAGGATTTAGAATAGTTACACAACATAACATTGACATATTTCAAGATAGGGATTTTGCCAGATTACAAATATGATAAATTTGATAGGTTTCACAGTGCCAAAATATAAATATTCCCAAATTATTAACTTATATTGTGTCTTTACTTGACTTGCTAGTTTTTAGTAATAAGCAATTATATTATAGATATGTGGCTAGTTAACTGATACATATGATGCCAGTTTCATACATCAATTACTATGTGCTGAATAAAAACTATTCTTATCGTGATTCAATGAATACAGAATAAAGTGTCAGTCAAAAAATTCAAATTATTGTTGAGGTTTATGGCAGTTCAGTCCAATTAACCAATTTTTTGAGGGTGGAACATGGTAGCAATAAGATTTCAATTTATTTAAAAGGGACAAAATGACATATTAAGTCCACATTAATTTGTGCATTTCGTTTTTTCTTTGGCATGTGTGGACAATTGGTTAGTCTTCCTTTGTTCTCTTTTTTGTACTTTTTTAAAAAAGAAAAAAACTTAAAACAATTATTTCAAAAAATATATCATTAACCAATTTTTATTTTGTCCATTGAATGTGGGAGTTAAATTAAACTATACATTTTAAAACTAAATGTAATTAAACTATACATTTTCAATATTGATAGCTGTGAAATCTAAATAATCAGCTTAGTCACATATTGGCAAAAATCCCTCGTGTGCCATTTTCATGCTAAACACTATGGTAACAGGTTGTTGTCTTGCCTATTTCAGTAATAAATATTTCCAAAAGTTTTGCGAGTTCTGGCACCTGAGGACTGTTTAGGATATCCTCAGATGATGACCCATGTATGGTTATAGGTTATACCTAAGAAAAAAACTCAGTGGCGCGACAGCGCATAGATGGCTTACTGTGCCCATCTGTTTTCTTGATCTTGGGCACTGGGGTGCATCAGCAGACGTTCCGATTAGGTGGTCAGCCGAACGCGAAACCCCCAGTGTTTAGTTCCCAAGCAGGCTTGGTACTCATATAGGTTATACCAGCAATTCCTAATTGTTTTCAGCCGTAGAACCCTTGAATCCAAACTCTTGAACGTTAAATAATCAACCTAAAATTAAACCGTGCTTTTGTGAAAGTATTCTTTAACCGAACTCTATTTCCCAAACAATTAATTTTAACTTTTCCACTAAGTTCTATCACTTCAAAATTAAAATAAATATTTAATATTACTTCAAAAGACAAAAATTTACCTTGTGAAAAATTAAATAAAAGATTGAAACCAGTTAGTCTGTAAACGTATAAATTTAATCATCTAAAATAAACACAAAAAGATGTGCACTTAATTAACCTATTATTATAATCGGGTAATTGAAATAGATGTGCCCTGAATAACCGCTTAGCTATTTTATTTTCCTGCTATGTTTTGATCAGAAATAAGCAAATTTTTTTAAAACAGACTTGTGTTCGAATTTATTATATGAATGGAAATCGACAATCAAAATTGTTCTAAGCTTGGCATTAATTCATTTCTGATAATTTTTAATTAAGATAATTTCATTTTCAGATGGCTTTTTTCTAAAGGTTTAGAATTGGAACAAATATTTTACATGGGCTGTGTGAGAGAAAGAAAACTTGTACACCTGGACATAGCAGTTGTGTAATTGAAATTAAAAATGGCACACCCCAACAGGAATTGAACTTTGAAATTAATGCTTATTAGTAAACACCTGTTATTATATCATATATGCTGAAGTATCAAATGAATTGGAATATGCTCTAACTCCTATCCTTCAAAATTTGTCTGAATTAAAATACTAATTTGATGATGATTTTGTCATTTTTCTCGAAATGGAATTTAGGGGAAATCTGATGTCATTATCCTTAGTGCTTTAATTATTTTCACTTGGAACTGTTTTTAATTTTCCTCTAAAACGCAACATGCTCCAAAATTAGCAGGTATTGAAAAAAAAGTTTATATAATGCTAAGAAAATAGTATATAGAAACTACTCATAATTTTGAGGGTTTATNAACTACAAAAGAGGATGGAACATGGTAGCAATAAGATTACAATTTATTTAAAAGAGGCAACCAATATGCACTCTCCTCAAAAAGAGACAAAATGAAATTACAGATGACACATTAAGTCCACATTAATTTGTGTATTTCATTTTTTCTACGGCATGTGTGGACAATTTGTTAGTCTTCCTTTGTTCTCTTTTCTGTACTTTTTTAAAAAAGAAAAAAACTTAAAACATAATTATTTCAGAAAATATATCATTAAACAATTTTTATTTTGTCCATCTAATGTGGGAGTTAAATTAAACTATACATTTTTAAAACTAAATGTAATTAAACTATACATTTTCAATATTCATAGCTGTGAAATCTAAAGAATCATCTTAGTCACATGTTGGCAAAAATCCCTCCAAGTGCCATCTTCATGCTAAGCACTATGGTAACAGGTTGTTGACATGTCTATTTCAATAATAAAATTTTACGAGTTCTGGCATCTGAGGACTGTAGGATATCCGCAGATGATTACCCAAGTATGGTTGTAGGTTATACCTAAAAAAAAACTCAGTGGCACGACAGCGCATAGATGGCTTACTGTGCCCATCTGTTTTCTTGACCTGGGGTGCAGCAGCAGACGTTCCGATTTGGTGGTCAGCTGAACGCGAAACCCCCAGTGTTTAGTTCCCAAGCATGCTTGGTACTCATATAGGTTATACCAGCAATTCCTAATTATTTTCAGCCATTGAACCCTTGAACGTTAAATAATCAACCTAAAGTGAAACCGTATTTTTGTGTAAGTATTCATTATCCGAACTCTATTTCCCAAACAATTAATTTTAACTTTTCCTCTAAGTTTTGTCACTTCAAAATTAATATTATTTTAAAAGCAACTTGTGAAAAATTAAATAAAAGATTGAAACTAGTTAGTCTGAAAACGCATAAATTTCATCATCTAAAATAAACACAAAAAAATTAACACTTAATTAACCTATTATTATAATTGGGTAATTGAAATAGATGTGCCCTTAATAACCGCTTAGCTGTTTTATTTTCCTGCTATGTTTTGATCAGAAATAAGCACATTTTTTAAAAACAATCTTGCGTTCGAATTTATTATATGAATTGAAATCGGCAATCAAAATTGTTCTAAGCTTGGCATTAATTAATTTCTGATGATTTTTAATTAAGACAATTTCATTTTCAGTTGGCTTTTTTCTAAAGGTTTAGAATTGGAACGAATATTTTACATGGGCTGTGTGAAAGAAAGAAAACTTGTACACCCGGACATAGCAGTTATGTAATTGAAATGAAAAATGGCAAAACCCAACAGAAATTGAACTTTGAAATAAATGTTTATTAGTAAACACCTGTTATTATATCATATATGCTGAAGTATCAAATGAATTGGAATATGCTCTAACTCCTATCCTTCAAAATTTGTCTGAATTAAAATACTAATTTGATGATGATTTTGTCATTTTTCTCGAAATGGAATTTAGGGGAAATCTGATGTCATTATCCTTAGTGCTTTAATTATTTTCACTTGGAACTGTTTTTAATTTTCCTCTAAAACGCAACATGCTCCAAAATTAGCAGGTATTGAAAAAAAAGTTTATATAATGCTAAGAAAATAGTATATAGAAACTACTCATAATTTTGAGGGTTTATAATTAAAATTTAGAAACTTACAACATAAAAAGCACATAAGATAACATAAAAGCTTCAATTAACGTTTTTATGTTAGTTCTTTTCTGAATATCCTTTTATTTATCTAATCGAAATGCTTTCTCACACTTTTAAATTCGCATCCTGTCCTTAAATCTATATTTGGCTCAACTATGCATTAATTAAAAGGATAATTTTCTCTTTGCTCTCTGTAGGAATCATTCGACCTATTTGATAAACCAATTACAATTACTAACATTTCCTCTTTCCCTAAATTAAGACATTTTACTTTGCAAGATTTTCCCTAACATATGATGAAGAAACACAATTTTTCGTGTACACTTTCATGACTGCTCTGTCTAATAATTTATAAATAAATTTTGTACCCTCCTTCCCTGCCTAAGACCTGTTTTAATCCTTCCACTCGGCAACAACAATATATATGTATATATATAAAGATCCAAGTGTGCAAAATTTGAATCATAGTACTAACTGTATTTCATGTCTTAAAACTAACCTTCAAAAGAGTAACATCAAGACACATCTTTTCTATTTTTTTAAAAAATACAAAAAAGTGAAAATATATCATCATGGTTAAAGAAAATTTTAAGTGACTATGTGATACTTTTACATTAATTTATTCTTTTGTAATTTCTTAAAAATAATATTGTGCAGAAAAATTACATTTCAATTTTCATGATTTTTTTATTAAAGACAATACACTACACAAATATTTACAAAAAATATACATTGCGCAAATATCATTTTATAGTGATAACCCTTTACTGATTAATTGAAATAGATTGAATTAACCATAGATTTAATTAAGACAATTTTGAATGAAACATCTTGATAACTTAGAATAATACCATATCACAATAAAGTGAAACTTTAGTAGCATTGTTTTTAGCGTTTTGCTTTATTTTCTTAAGAGGCAGACTTGCTTTTACTTTTTAGAGTTTCTTTCAAGGCTTGTATCCTTTTCTGTATATCATCAACACTCCAGTTCTATTAAATTAAAAAAAAAACATAAATAAATAAAACAGCACAATATTAAAAATTGATTCAATATATGAATAAAAGAATAGCTATCTCACTGAATATAGTTTCTCTATTTCTTGGTCCATCTTCTTTTTTGGTGATGTATAACTTGCCCCCTAATTAAAATAAATAACATTTTATTTCGATTAATAATTTTTTATACAGACTGGAATTTATAAAATGTATAGAAGATAGAAAAATATTTCTAAACTTATGAACTATGGTTTGCATTATTAAAATAGAATGATATTAGGTATTCATTTAGTAAAAAAAAATTAAATAAGGAAAAATTTAATAAGAAATTGCTATGTATAGTTAACTGGTTTGAGTTTTAAAACCCAAGAATTAGATGTGACTATTCCACATTGCAAATTGAAAAACTAAAGATATTACATATTCAAGAAACCAGAAACCATATTTAATTCAAAAAACTAGGAGGAAGAGTTATAAAAAATAAAATACTTAAACTTAGAAAAATGAAATGTACCAAAAGTTAAAACTTTTAAACATTAAATTCAGATTATTTTAAGTATCAGAATATCAAATCAGATGATCTCAGATTCAAAACTGGAAGAAGTAGTATTTTAAAATTTAGGTCAAAATTTAATCTATATTTTAGTGAACAAATTGTACCAGTTCCACAGTAAAAAACTTTTATAAATATAAATAATAAACCGAATAAAACTGCATTATTATTACAGTATGGGACCCAAAATCTGGCACTCATGGGACCGACGAAATTCCGTATTTCGAAATTTGCCGAATTTCGGATCTCTTCCCGGAAATTCCAATATGGCTCGCATATATTAGGATAATTCAATTATGCTGTTAACTTCAGAAAAACCAATAAATTTAGTTAAGTTTCAATTGTAGATTATGATGGGGTGAAGTTAAAACTGTCCCATCTTTATAATTTTCACTAATTAAAATAATAATCTATATGATATAATCACGAAGAAATAATTCAAGATGAAATAATCCAAAAAAGAAGTAATAGTTTCTTCTTTGGCGCGAGATCATTATTCTCGTATTTTCTTTTACATAACGTTTTGTTTTAACAAAAGACGCTCACCTCGCTTTAAAAAAAAAGCTAACAAGGAACTACAAAAAAAGTACCAATTAATGCTAAGAAACTAACGATGAATAACTACAAAAAGGAAGCAAACAACTAATAACGATAAGAAAAACAAGTTAACAATAAACAAAAAAAAGCAATGGTTAATAACTAATAATAAGATAAATAAATCGAATTTAAAAAAAAGCAGCAAAAGGGATAGAATTCATTTTGTACACCACATGAGAAAGAAGTTTCAATGTCAAAAGGGTGTGGCTAATTTATGGTCAAACAGGAGAGGGAAATGTGGGGACAAACTAGTAAAACACTTGCACAGCTGTCAAGATTGATTGATCAGTTTCTCCCAACTTGCATTTCTTTATTTTGTTCATTAAAAATGCAGATGTTTTTACTTTTCAATTTCACTTTATTTTAAACTGCTTTAGGAATAGATGTTTTGCTTGACACAGATTTATTATTTTTTTCTTCATGTTTTTATTTTTAAAAGATAGAATATAGTTACTTACTTCAAAAGAAAAAAATTCCAAGTAAAAAGAGAATATGACTGATTTTTTNGAGATATTAATCCTTTATTAAAAAAAAAAAAAAAAAAAGATTGTATTAAGTGTTGAATTTTGGGTCCTGCCAGATAAGGGGTCCAATACTGTATTATAGAATTGTTTTGGAAGACAGATCTCAAAAGTGAGAGAGATGATTTCTCATTGTTAGATAGAAAAGAAAAATCTACACTTTCACTCTGTCTTAATTATATTAAACAATTTTTACTTTAAAAATGAAAACTGACTTTGTCCTGCTAGTGATTTTATTTATTTATATAATTAATGAAATCTAAGACTAAAAAATAATCTGTAGAGGGAAGGTTTCTGCTACATGTTTTGACAGTAACATATACATGTAATTGCTCTTTATTCTTAATACCGTATATTCCGGCGTATAACGCGCACTTTTAATACAAAAAGTAACATTGGAATTTTTGGGTGCGCGGTATACACCGAATATAAAAAATTATAGATTAAAAAAATTTAAATATAGAAAAACACTTTTATTTTAAAGAAATGACATACCTTTACCTATATACTTTATTTATTTTCGTTATTACGTAAATAGTTCATTATGTTCGTCTTCCGTTATTTCTTCAGGCACGACATCACAATCTGTTTCGTCTTCATCATTTGTGTTACCCTCATCCATAAATAAACAGTCATCTTCTGATCCGTCCAGATTATTTGAAATGCTGCATTTTTTGAATGATTTTCTAACCATCTCAGGCTTAATTTCATCCCATNAAATTGAAAAACTAAAGATATTACATATTCAAGAAACCAGAAATCATATTTAATTAAAAAAACAAGGAGGAAGAGTTATAAAAAATAAAATACTTAAACTTAGAAAAATGAAATGTACCAAAAGTTAAAACTTCTAAACATTAAATTCAGATTATTTTAAGTATCAGATTATCTCAGATTCAAAACTGGAAGAAGTAGTATTTTAAAATTTAGGTCAAAATTTAATTTATATTTCAGTGAACAAATTGTACCAGTTCCCACAGTAAAAACTTTTATAAATATAAATAATAAAACTGCATTATTATTATTATAGAATTGTCTTGGAAGACAGATCTCAAAAGTGAGAGAGATGATTTCTCATTGTTCATCTATTAGATAGAAAAGAAAAATCTACACTTTCACTCTGTCTTAATTATATTTAACAATTTTTACTTTAAAAATGAAAACAGACTTTGTCCTGCTAGTGATTTTATTTATTTATATAATTAATGAAATCTAAGACTAAAAAATAATCTGTAGATGGAAGGTTTCTGCCACATGTCTTGACAGTAACATATACATGTAATTGCTCTTTATTCTTAATATTTATAAGACAAAAATCAAGTTTTGATAAGAAACAAAATTAAAAATTTTAATAAACTTACAGATAAATTAAAGTATTCTGGAGACATTCCTTCTAAATACAGGATTTTGTCTTCCAACGCCTTTATTCGCTGAAAAGCAGTTTTTCCACTACAATCTAAAAAGAAAAGAAAAATTTGAACTTTATCAATCGATTTACAGTGCTTTTAATCAATTCCAGTAAAGTTCAAATATCAAAATTAGTTATTCCATTGATAGAATGGTAAAAGTGACTGATTTTTTAAAAACAGTATTGCTCACTTAAAATATTTACTTACAAGTTTACATTAAGAGCAATAAAAAAATCATATTAAGCAAAAAAGAATGGTTCATAAAAAGGGTCAACTTTAAAAATACAATTTATAAACTTCCTTTTTTTTTTAATCGCAAATAAATTTACATTTCAGGAAAAGAAATAAAAAGATTCTACTACATTTACCTCTCAGGGAAAAAAAATAATAATAATAATTGGTTTTCATTCATTAAAAAAGGAGTTAAAATTTTCTTCAATTTCCTCATGATAGTCCTATACTTAAATGTGTACATTTTTATTTTATCTCACAATTTTTCCCACTTATCAAAACCAATTTTATAATACTTGAATAAGAACTTATGTATAGAAGAAAAACTATTGTCCTACTTTGTTATGCAGTTAACAGGTTGAAAAGGGGGTGTACAGTTATTATCATCATTTTGCTAAAAAAATCACAGAGGATAACAGGGTGATAATAGCTAGATTTTTAAAAATAATGGTTACAAAATAAATTTCAAATGTTTTTCTAAAAAAGAAAATTAGTTTTCTCTCCTTTTCTGGAAAACTAAACGAATTAAAAGCAGCATAATGATAAGCCATATTTATAACTGTGAAGGATAGCATTCTTGTAAACACTGCAATTTTCTTGTAGGGAATAAAAATTTTCTGTAAATTGTGTTGCTCAAGAGGAAATTCCATAATCCTGAAAAGTATTTAACTTGTAACAATATTAAGGAATAGTTTAATCTAAAAATGTCACCTTTGGAAAAAATCTAGATTATTACTGTATTACCCCACGCCCTTCAGTTCAAGATAAGTATCATTAAAATAGATATGTCTTTAAAATATTACAAATAATAATCATAATTTATAACATAAATTTAATTTTTAACTGTTAACACAATGTTCTGACAGCTATTAATATTAATGAATGTTGAGAAGAAAATTCTAAACAGAAAAATTTACAAATATTAAAATAATCTCAAGTAATGAACAAAAAATTATGCTCAATTACTAAATATTTGATAAGCAGTTTTGGCACTGCATCATACATCAACAAAAAAAAAATAATAAATAAATAAAATTCTGAACAGAAAAAAGAATGCATTTTAAGCCATTTAAATTCAATTTCAGTCAAACACCAAGAAAATACTATTCTAAATAAATTTAGGAATATAATTAAAATAACACTGTAAACCAAACAAAACAATTATGAATAGCTTATTTTATAGTCATTATGTAAATGCATTTTAATTAAATTTAAGCACACAGTATTTAAAATATTGCGTATTTATAATAAGTCTCCATTTTTTGAAAAGTTCTTCTGTTGAAGTTCTAGATAATATTATTATTTATCTTTCCAAAATGTTTAAAAACACTAGAACTCTAAGTAATCTTCTTCATTGGTCATTTCCTACACCTTAAACCAATGAAATTATATGTCTTCAACTATGAGCATCAAAAATAATATATATTACCTTCCATTTTTAAATGAGATTCCATATTTCTTAGCCTTTCTTCCAGAGAATCAGTAATACTGTTTTGTGCTGTCGGCAAACCCGGTTCAACTTTTATCTTTTTGTGAGCACTCTTTGTCTGTGGTCCATATCTGTTTTCAACTCTTGAAACTAAAAAGAAATTACCATAATTATTACAACTGCACGTCTTATACAGTATAATAATACGCAAAAATTATCTAATTAAATAAATTAACATTCAGTTTAAAAGAAGTTTTTTTTTTTAATTTATGACTAAAAATACATAGTATTAAGTATTCTTTAGTTTAAATCGTCAAGAAAATATTGCAAAAATACACTATTTTTTGATATACTAGTTATTTTATGGAAAATCTTTTATTTTTAAAATGAAATAAAATATTATTTTTCTTCATTGTCTAAAAAATAATACCTAGTATTTTAATGCAACAAGAATGATGCCACACATTTATACATTAGAAAAAACGCATTATTATTAGTATAATAAGCTGTTTGATTACAGAAAAATTAGAAATATTAAAAAAAAAGAAAAAATTGCCTTAAATGTTGCAAAATATTGAGGAAGTACTACTACATATGATGCTACTTCCTCTCTAAAGTAAGCACATATTTTTGACTGCCGTTATTGTACAACTTTACCCAAAGAAATGAAGTTTAAGGTACTACTTTAAAGATGAATGTCAGTAATAATATCTATTTTTAAAAAAATAAAGCTCAATATTGCCATTTATTAAAATACATTTTTTCATTTTCATTTATTATCACTTATTTTTCATGTTCATTGTATGAAACATTTCACATCACCTTTTGGTCAAAGTAAACACTTTTAACTACAACTATTTTTTTAAAACATCCCAATTCGAATTATTCCAAAAAACTGCTTAAAAAAATAAATAAGAAAATAAAAAAAAATCTAAACATTTTTAAAATACATTTTAAAAAAACTTAACGTTTAACATGCGCTTTTTATTTCAGAAGATTTTGCTTTGTTTAGTGTTAGTTTAAAATTTTTTGATGCTTTTCTGAAAGAATTGTAATTTTCTTTTAAACAAAAATTTTATTTCAGAAAATAATTATTAATATTTTATACAAATTTCACATTTATGAGGTTGCCACGATAGTAAGACTCTAAACATTGTCGTTTTTGCTTTGTTTAGTGTTAGTTTAAAAACTTTTGAGGCTTTTCTAAAAGAATTTCAATTTTACGTGAAAAAATATATGAAGATAAATAAAACAACACATTTGATTTAACATTGAAAAGGGAACGTCATGAAAGTGTTCAGGATCTATATTTGAACAAATTGCAAAATTTGAACAAATTGCGAATTTACTTGATTATTAAAAGACATTTTGAGTTGATGATACAGCTTATGCTAGTTTTTATCATACAGGTTCAAAAAATACTTTAAAGCTACAGTCACTCTAAAGTTTTCATAAAAAAAATCTAGAAAATGAATTCTGACATATAAACATGAATTATGAAAAAGACTGAATACTATAAAAAAATATATATATAAGCTAATTTAAATATAGTACCATAACAATAATTGCAATATATACAACAACAAAAAAATTTGAAGATAATGAATAAGACATACTCTTTATTCTACTCTTGCTTCCTAATCGAGGAATAACAACAGCATCCACTCGAGCACAGCTTTCTATTACATCTGGAAAATTTTGATATTTATTTTAAAGAAGGTAAATTAATACAGATTTTAGGACCTACCGTTAAAATATAAAATTTGTTGAACAGAAAAAAATTTATGATTTGTTAAACAGAAATTTTTTTTTATGACAATTGACTTTAGAGCTTTACTTATAAATTTTATAAGTATCCAAATATTTCCTGTTTTTAAGAAATTGATTCATTTTAAAATGCATAAAAAACATTGAGAATTAAAACAATTCCTACCAATAATCTTCAAGATAAATTCAAAAGCAAATTTTACATGATTTTCAAAAAAGAACCTTTTAGTGTATTTAATAAATATCTTCATATTTATATAAAGATAATTTTACTTATACTTAAAGAAAAAGGCATAAGCCTTGGATTTTAATTTATATGTTCATCCATAAACTTTCTACTTACCACTACATATAGGACTTAATTTATTTTAACAAATTATATACCAGATAACACCACCAAAATAAACTTTTTAAGTTGGTGTAGTAATAGACGTATGTTATGCTGTAATGTCAATCTTGTTGATGTGATGTAACTTTCAAATAAACTACTCAGCTTACATGGTGCAGAAACAGCAATTTAAAAAATACTCAAACATATATGATCATAACAAAATGTGAAAATTATAAACTGCAAATAAAAACATGTTAGTTGTTTTATTTTTGCTTTGAAGAATATTCATTTTATTTTCTGATTGGAAAAATTACTAAATACTATATTACATGCAAGAAAATACATTAAAGAATAAAATTTAAACTTACTGTAAGCGGGATCATCCTCTGAAATCAGTTGATGACCACAAAACTCTTGTACATTTAATTCATTCGCTTCTTTCCGTTTTCTTTCAATAAATGTAGATATTCTTTTTTCTATCTATAATACGGACAAGATGTCTCATAAATATTGTTAAAAGTTTTTGGGGATTACACAACATATTTGAAAAACTTTAGGTATAAGTTTCAAGTTATACATTTTCAAGTCCTAAATAATGCTTGAATTTAGGACCTATAAGTAGATTAGTAAGAGCCTCTATCCCTCCCCCTCCAAAAAAAAAAAAAACCCTAAGTGTTTCACACTATGACAGGTGATTATGTGACAGTGACATTTCAACAAAGTGACTATCGAAAATTTTAGTTTAGACTGACTACTTGTACATTAAAGATGAGATAGGCTCAGCCCGTGTCTGAAAGTCTGAGCCTAAGTCTGACGGAGGCTCGCTTACTGAAGAAAGCTTTCAGGCTCAGATTCCCAATAAAATTTTCAGAACTTTTTTACTACTTTCAAACAAACGTTTGGTTCAGTTATTGAGTATAAAAAAAATTTCTAAAGAATAAAAATTTATAGCAATCTGTTACTTCTGTTTAGCCCTTTTGCTTTCCAAGGCTAGCAGTAATTTTCAAATAACTTTTATTCAACTTCAGCTTTTGATTTTCTATTTTAGTTTCAGTATTAATAATTTGGAGTTTCAGTTTACTCAATTTTTCTCTTTTCTTTTTCTTTTACAGGCTATCAATATAAAAAGGTTTTAATTTACTAATTCCCTTATTTAGACATCAAATGATCATTTTCATTCAGACCAGCAACTAAAAGATATTACAAGTCTCTACATGATTTAAGTGGTCCATTTACTTGTCTCTACACATTAGTTTTATTTTACGTTAATAAAGTTCATTGAAATTAATGACAAACACAGAGACTATGTAATGTTGCAGTTATGTTAAAACATGCTTTTTAGACAAAAGCCGAAAATTCTAAAACAACTCTTACATCAATTGCTGGTCTGGGAGACCACCGATAATTATTTTACGATCGTCCAAATCAAATTTTAGTGATTTAAAATCAATGTAAATTTTGAGCCCTGATCTTGATATTTATTTAACAAAAATTCATAGAAAGATAATCTTATTTCACTTTAGTGCAATAATTAATCAATAATTTCTTGTTCAGTGGTCGGAACTAACGCACTACAAGTAGTGAAACTATTACATTTGTCACTTCTTTTAACAGTTCGTAATGTAGTGTGCCACTTTTTTAAAAAAGTATTTTATTAAGTAGTGTGATGCTTGAAAAACAATAGTTTGTAGCAATTCTTGCTATTAACAACAGAAAAAATAAATTAACAAAACATGAAGTTAACAAAAGTAAATAGCCATAATAAAAATACTTTTCAACTTTTAATTCAACTTCTGGAATGCATAAAATTTTTTATCAGCATTTTTATTTTCTTGCAAACTCAAAATAAGCTCCACATATCAGCGTGTTTTCAGTAGTTTCTATACTCATAACCTGTGGAGAGCTTGAACACATTTTTTTTTTTTTTTTTTTTTTTTTTTTTTTTATAATGCTATCAGCTAAATACTGAATAAATAGTTTAGAATAACAAATTTGCTCACATAAACATGAATAAATATTTCTTAATAATTTTTCATGTTTAAATATGTCAATTTATTATTTTAAACTAATGGGTGCACAGCCTTTTTGAGTGAAGGGCCACTGCCACTCACACAGTAGATTGATTAGCAAACGGTCACTCACATATTTAGTAATACTGCTGGCTAGTATGATAAATTTTGTATAGCAATTATGTTCAAAGCACTACATTTTTTATCAGTAGACTAAGTAATTTGAGGAAAATTACATATTTTTAATAAGCAGAATTAGAATTTAATTATTAGAATTTATTCAAAAATGAAAAAACTGAAACTATTCTTAAATTTCTTTCCCTTTTTATCAATGATTGATTTATTAAAAAAATAAACAAATAAATGTTAGAAAGAGAAATGTAAATTCTAAAAATAAAAAAAAACTGTAATGCTCATAGAGTGAAAGTGTAAAAAAAATACATAAATATTTTAATGAATACATATTTTGCTGAATAATATAAAATTGAACTAAATATTTTAATTAAAGGAAATTTATAGGGTTTAAACCAAAACCAAAAGTGAAAGAAAAACCATTATAGTACAAAAAAAGATTCAATATTCATTTGGTATTATACTTCAGTGTTTTCACTACAGAGCGAGAAAGCGAGAATCTCACATATTTTCTTCTTTTCTCGCATGAAAAATGATTACCGCGAGAAATTCGCTCATTCTATAAATTAATTTAAAAATTCGCTAATTTCTCGCATCTTGGAAAAAGTTTCAAATTACGCCATTTAGAATAAAATCGGTTTCACTTTTCTTCCTGGATCTTTCATTATTTTCAACATCTGCCCCGTTATCTAGCTTCCCTATTTACCAGTATTGTTCAGAACCTTTTCAAACAACAGAACACAACCACTGAACCCCTNTTATTAGAGGTTTCATGAATTATAAGTATGAAACATTTTCTAGTTTAAAAATTCACATTTTTCTCCATTTTTCATATTGCTATAACATTATAATAAATATGAAGGATTTTAAATACTACATGCAAATGCATGGTGCTAACTGTCGAAAAAAACAACTTTTACTTACAATGAAATAGGCACAAAAAAAGAAATTGTATAAAAAATTGGGCATTTAAACATGCGATTAGAAACTCATATGTTGTAATAACATCGTAGTTAAAAGAGCTGGATCATCAAAATCCCCCAGAAAAGCATCGCAACAATTGCAATTTACAATGAAAATAGCAAGAATAAAGTGCTTCAATAGGTAATTATTTAAATGCGCAATTTAAAATACGCATTTCGTAATGAAAATTGGAATTTTTAATACCACATGGGACTGCATTGCAAGAACTGCTAAAAAAAGTATGGAAAAATAACTTGGACTTGTGATGAAATAGGCTGAAACAAAGCACTTCAAAAAGGAATTATTATGTAATAGTGAAATTTTAAATTGTTCTGTTATACTAATATCATAGTAAAAATATGGGATTTTCAAAAGCATAAGAAGTGTGGCAATTAAGCTTTTGGAAAAAATTTCTAATTTAAAATCCATTTGGCATCTCGGAGATTGTAGTTGGCTCAACAAGTCATAATGCAAAAAAATACCCATGGCAATTGTAGTTGGTACAGTACAGAAATAAAACTTTGGTTTGCGCATAGCTTTTTAAGTATAATTTTTTAATAAATAAGCACTGAAATAATTCTGTAAAGAAATTATTCTTGTACAAATTCCCTATAATAAGAATTACAGAAATAAAATTTTCTTTTTTATTAATGGATAGACTGTCTAGCAGAATATAGCTACTGAAACTGAAGATGCATGTAAATTAAAAAAAATATGTGTAATAAGAATTGATACTATATAGTAATATAATGTATATAAAGTTGTTAGTGCAAGAAATGTAAAAGTAATATTACCTCATCATCATCAACTTGAATTTGTATCAAATCTTTCAACTTAGTAGCACTTTCTTTAATTGTATCAGGTTCCATTATTGGTTTTTCTATTAAAAAATAAATAAAAAACTAATAAATTACAATCAGTAAATAAATTGGTACTTCAGAAGTTAATTTAAAAATATATAAATTACTTTATTTAATGTCTGCAAAACAAAAAACTAGACCAGTTTTTTCAATGAGCATATAGCGCGTTACAAGAAAAATTCGACACTATGTTCACCAAACACCAAAGTCACAGCTTAACAGGTTAAATTAAACCACATTATATTGTATTTCTATAAACGGCTTATATTCACAAGTAAATTTTAAAGGAAAACAATTATTTTCTTAGCCATAAATTTAAAAGTGTTGTTTTAAGCTGCTTATTTCTTCTTCGCCGAGGATAGATAAATATTGACTACTGCTGATAAACGATAGATTGATATTCTATCAATCTATCATTTACTAATAAAAAAACTGTCATCAATTATCAATTTTATTTATATTTACATAAATTAATCGTTTATTTTCTGATTTTATGTCGAAGAGCATGATTCATCTTATGACCAGTTAAAAAGCGCCTTACTTTAAGCTTTCATAAAACGTTGCAGAATATATTCAATGTTACAATCTACTTATTTTATTATATGAGAAAATCCTTTTGAAGTAAAAACCAATTCTTTTACTCAATCAACAATTTTTTTCAGGAAAACTTCATAATTGAAAGACTTAATAAATGTTGATAAAATAATAGACAGTGTTAAATTGTAAATTTTAACCTTTTTCTATAATAATAATATTGATGATAAGGTACTTTGCAAAAGATTTTGGATCACATTTGTATTTTTCCTGACATAAATTTTTGTGTATAGTCGGGCAAAAAACATGTATCGATAATACTCATTATCAACATGATACTGACCGTCAGAACGTTCTTTATGTAATATATTTTCAGTTTTTTTACGTTTTGAGCTTTATTGATACACTATTATTACAAATTGGTTATTTCGGGACCACTTAATTTTAATAACCATATGTATGACAGCTATTAACTCATTACTTATCAATACGGAAATTGTAATAACATTTTATTTGCATCCTAATTAAAAAGATTTAAAAATAATATATTACCTATTTTATTTTTCAGTATAAAGAAGAAGAAAATTAGCCATGCTTTGGAGTCCCAGTGAAGTATTAGCATACATAAAGGATGATAAATCTGGAGAAATTGATAAATCTGAGGCAGATAGATTGGTACCTACAGTTCCTTATGGGGGCTTTAAAACATGGCCTAACCCTCAGCAAGACTTTATCCTTATTGCGGAAAATTCAGAAATACATGGTCCAAATCCTTTGGTATTTTTATAACTCTAATATTACTTTAACAAAGATAACTGACACATATTTTAATGTAAAAGTAATTGATTTGATTCTACATTACTTGCTATGCAGCACCAGAGCTTTATCAGGACTGGTGAATTATTTCTATACTCCTAATCATTAATGTGATACAGTGGTTGATTTTATTCTTTCTACAGCCTATGTTATTGACTAATTTGTTTAAGGTATTAAATTGATTATAATTTGAGATTTAATTTCACATTTTTATTTTAATTAGCAGATTGTTTTTTATACAATTTTAAAAAAATTTGCAGTTATTTTATTGATTTCTGTATGTGTAATGTGAGTTCCACCATCTTTAAATTCAGCAATTATCTCCTAAGAGAATGTATACATGGTGTAAGAAAACTAATAATCATAACTGTCAATGAAGATGAGACACACCAGGCAATGTGAGGTCAGAAACCTGTGTGTCTAATTCGTCAAAATAGAAAATGAAATAAAGTTGAATAAATGACTATGAATCTTTATTATTGAAAACTAAAAAATTGTTCAAATGAGCAACCAATAGCTGTAATACAGGTTTCACATTGCAATGGAGTAAAACACTCAGACAAAAGAAAATTTCTGGGATTTCATAAACGGCCACTACTATGTGTGGGGAGAGGGAGGGGATTTCCTTTATACTCCTCTGATCATTTCTTAAATGATGCTTTTTAGATGTCTTCAAAAAATAAAATCTTGCAAGCTGTTTTTTTTATCAAGTTTTATTACTCCATACAGTTGAGATCATTAGGTTGGTTACTCCTTGTGTAAATAAATCTGTAGATTATTTATACTCACCATGATTTGAATAACAATTTGAATCTTTCTTTTCATTTTTTAGTTCACCATTCCAGAGCTTGAAACTGGTATTGATTTAAATTTGCTTTCAACACAAATTTTATCAGCTGACTATCAATGTTTGAGCAAGTATGTAATTTAAATACATATATTATTTCAAAAGTTAATAAAATATAATTTATGTATTGATTCATTTCTCTTCTTAATTCAATCAGATTTTTTGAGTAAATTTAAAGAAATTTTTTTTAATTTATTAAATTTTTGGAGAAATATCTGTGGTTTTTTTTTTTTTTTAATTATAATATACATAAATGACTCGTAGAATTTTAGTAGAGATATTCTGAATTATGAAGCAAGTCGCTCAGAATGTACAGTGAGCAAAATAAAAAAAAAGGACCACCCTGGATACAGAGCTCATTCTAGGCAGGGTAAACAGGGCGCAGCACCCTGCTGCCCTTTTAGTCAAAAGAATCCACCCTGTTGCCCCTGAAGTAAATTAGTGCCCTGATGTGATAGAGTCCATACCCTTTCTTTCCTCAACCCTTCTTTATTTTTCCACCAAACTCTGCAATGGATTTCTTAAACTTTTCAACGCTTTTTATTTAGTTTGTCGTTGCTGTCAATACATAGATTTATATGGGAAAGGAAAAATAGCCATCACACCTCCTTATTGCACTTATCTTTGAAAGTTTGCAGTTACTTTTACTATCATTAAATCATATTTATTAATCATTTTAATTATTAAATCATAACTACTGACACTTAAAAACATACATTTATTATTTTATTAGTATATGCATGCATTTTAAATAAATTACTAAGATAATTAGCTCATTAACTCAATATATATGTTAATTTATTAATAAAAATTAGTAATTAATATGATTGCTTTGCTACTTTTAGTAAAATTAAAAATAAAAAAAATTCTTTTACTAATTGATAATGTTTTTTAATAGAACGTGTAAGGCCCATAGAAAAAAATTATTGCCTTTTTAGAATAATAATGCCCCTTTTTTAAACTTTTGCACCCTGCCCTTTTTTCTGCCTAGAATGAGCTCTGCTGGATAACTTTTAATCTAATGATCGGATTTTCACATTCTAGGACTCAATCTTGAAGGTTTGAGAGGGTGACTTCAAATATGTTAATTAATTAGCAAAGACAAGATTTTAAGTTACAAAATCAGACACAAAAACATACTTTCTCTGAAAAAACATGCTTTTTTTTCGATGGATTCGGATTTCTGACCCCCAAAATATAGGGGTTGCCGCAATCTGGAAAATATGGTCCCCTTAGCCTGGTCAAGAGAGCAGTCCAAAGTTTTAACCCTTTTGGGTTAATTTTATTTTTTGCGTATTTTGGCATGTCTTGAGAACTTTTTAAGTGAATGGAAAACTTTTTGCATACTATTTAAAATTCATTCATCCAATTTAAAATTCATTCATTCATTTCATGCAAAAGAAAACTTTTAGTAAATATTTATAATTTTATTTAATAATAGTCAAAAATTTAAATTGTAAGGTACACAATTTTTTGTAAAATTTGAAAGCATGCATATTTACATGGCAGAATACAAAATTTGTGCGAAATCGGTTTAATAGTTCTAGAGAAATTGAATTTTGAAAATACGGCTTCTTTAAAATTTGATTTCTCAGTTTTTGGTTCATATTTAATATTTTGACTATTAAAATTACATCCTATAAAATGATATGAAAAAGTATATTCTTTACAGTTCCAGATTTTTTGGACCATTATTAAAAAATAATTATAACAATAATAAATATTTCCTACAAGTTATATTTTTCATAGAATTATCTTTGGATAAACGAATTTTATAGTTGTGTGCAAATGTTTTTCAATTCACTTAAAAAGTTCTCAAGATATGGAGACATATACAAAAATAAAATTGATATTAAGGGTTCCAAAGTTTGGAATGCTCTTCTGATCCAACTATGGGGACCATATTTTCCAGATTGTGTATTTTGGGGTCAAAATCCGAATCCGTTGAAAAAAGGTATATTTATTCAAAGAAAGTACTTTTTTGTGCCTGATTTTGTAACTTAAAATATGGTCTGCCCTGATAAATTAGCACATTTGAGGTTAACCCTTGAATCATTAAGACTGTGTCCTAGAAGGCAAAAATCTGAGTATTAGATCAAACATTACTCAGGGTGGTCCGTTTTTTATTTTGCACGTTGTACATCAGCAGAATAAATAACATTATAATAACATACACTTTGTTTTACCGGTTAGTACTCTTTAAAATATCTATGTTATGGTTACTTTTTAACTATATTGTACTATTAACCATATACAAAGAAGTCCCTTGAGTTAAAGGGAATAGAGAGGCTATTCTCTAGTTTTGCCACACTTTAAACACAGTTTTACTAGCATTCAGAATTTTTATTTTCATTGTAAAATTGGATGATTTTAATTTGAATATCGTTATGTATAACGTCAAAAAATAAGCCAAATTAATAAACCAGAAAAATACTATTGTAATACTACTATTATTGCCCTTTTTAGAAGTATCTATTGTTTATTTAACTGCAACTTAATTGTCTAAAATACTGTGTTGTCAAATTCCTAACCTTCAATAACGTACGTCTGCTCGGTGAATATTAATCAAAATAATTAACATAAAAGTGTTCGAGAAATATTCTTAAAGTAAGGTTATAAGTTTAATAACCTTATCATATTTTAGGTTGTTATATCTTACATAATAATTTCAATCAGATTTATAAATTGAAGTCTTCAATTTTTTTTTAATTTTTTGTGAGTGTTTCTGTTTGGAAATTTTTTTGTGAATTTGTTAAAATTTTGAATTTGTGGAATTTAGTATTTATTGGAATCGTTTTTCAGCAATAAAACATTGCCAGGAAAAAATGCTCAACTATTAATGCCTGATGTTGATGCAGACACACATGCTGCAGTAAGTATATATTTACATTACATCCTGAGGGTGTGCAGTTGGCAATTACTATGAAAAAATTTAATGGTCATATTAAAATTCAATCTTAATAGTTTGTACTTATAGTTCAAAATATTTGAATTATTTTTAATCAAAATTGTACTAAATAATAAATATTTATTAAAAATTAAATTTTTTTAAAAAATCATATCACTTTTACTTTGATTGAATTTTACTTCTTTGTGCGAAAGTTTTGATTCACACACTTTATGGAAATCAGTATAAAAGTTAAACATAATATTTAGAAAGCAAATTTTCAACCATCTCTCCTGGCTAAATTAGACTCAAATATTTTAGATGGTGACTGTATCTTCCTCATGTTTTAAGGGTCGAAAATGGGAATGACATGTAAATACAATAGAGTCTCAATTCGAGTTTCCCATAAATCCGAGCTTGTGAGAAAAAATTTAGTCTTGTTCCCAAATAATAACCAACCCATACACAACACCTAGAACATTTACTACGACTGAATGTGAAAAAAAATAATTCTGTGTTAAACACTAAAACGTGTAAATAGTATGTTTAAGCAAAAAAACATTAGACAATTATTTTAAAGTACAATTAACCTGATGCAGTAATATACTGAATATTGTAACTTAATGTGATGTATTAAATGTAACCTGATCCTCAAATGTAAGTAAAAAATTTTTTAATACAATATATTTTTCAATTAAATACGCACATTTTAAAATTTCTTTGTTTTCATTTATTTAAACATTTTTTAAGTTTGTTTTCGAGATTTTGAAAGTTTGAAGTAGTCTCGATCCTGTTCAACTCAAATTATTGTGACTCTGCTGTATATAAACAAACAAACAAAACAAAAAAGTATGTGTAACCAGGATATTATATTAGCTTTTAGGGATGGATTATGAATTTTTTTATGATTATGAATTTCTAGAGATTAGGAATTTTATTTTAAGTTTAAAGAAATAATTTGATTTGTTTGGAAAATATATTTTCAGTTAGTATATGGGGTATTTATTTTTAAAAAAAGCAGTTCATTTCAGAAATTTTATTCAAAACAAAAACTCACTCAGACTTTTATATTTTAATAAATATTTTGAAAAAAAAAGTTCGATTTTCTTTGAATGTCATTTTCATTATTAAAATCTTATTTAATATGAAATTTTTTTGTAAATTAAATATAATCATATTTTTTAATTCACAAGCTCATATATTAACTGTATACCTTTTGCACACTTTTCGTGAAAAATATTATTATTTTTGTTGTTTTTACAACAAAAATAGATTTATTTAAAAATATTTCAAAAAAAAAATTTTTTTGAAATACAACTCATTACTTATATTGAATTTATTTATAATGATGATATTCAAATAATTTTCTGAGTTTCTCTGTTCCTTATACTTTGAACTGTATAAGCTTTGGCACAAGAGTTTGCTGGAGTAACTACAAAAAAGAACTATTAGAAATGTTGCTTTTTTAGAACTTTTTTATGTCTGTCATTTGGTTTCACAATTATTATTTTCCAGATTGTATACTTTTTTTTGTTTGACTCAGAGGCTAGAGGATTTGTGCGTCCAACTTGTGTTGCTTACTTTACATCTGATAAACAGTAAGTTTTCAATCCATTTCATTATCCTTTTGTAATTTTTTCTTATATAGACATTATAGTAATACTACAACGATCAATATTTATTCTAACAGTAAACTGGCATTGTTAGCTGATTCTATTTTACAACGATTAACAGAGGTAAGTATTTTAAACTTGTGATATTTATTAATTACTCTTGTTTTTGAATCTGCATGCATGTTATCTATAAAATTTTATAAATTTAGATCTATTTTGTTACATTATAGATTGCTTCAGTATTACAACACTTTAATATTCAATGTACTGCTGAGGATTTGAAATCGTTTAAAGAAAAGGCCTTGTCAAATGAAGAAAAATGTATGATGTCTAATATTATATTACATAGTTGATGTTTTAAAGTTTGTCTAAATTGTGAAATAGTGCAAATTATTTCATTGCTTTTGCATATTTCATTTGCTTAGTATATTTCAAATTTTTAAAAATTGTATAATGTTTAAAATAGTTTTAAATTTTTGTTTGACTAATCTTAAAATAATCTATTATTTATAGTTTTTGTTCAAATATGTGCATAATATTTCTGTTTTTTGAGTAATTTGAAATGTTTTAAATTTCCAGTTAATAATGTATTTCTTTCACAGTAACAAAATCTAATGAAATAGTGAATGAACTCTTGCTGAAGGATATTGAAGAAATTTTGGATATTGTTGACAAATATGATGTAAGCACCAAAATATCTTTATAATTTTTTTAAATAAAATATTAAGAATCAGTTCTACTTAATTATTCAATTAATATTTGTGAAACAAAATAGGAGAAACTCTTTAGTTGTTTATTGAAAATATGATTCTATAAGACTACCCATATTTGTATATTTTTAGTTCTTTATTAATTTTTAATTGCAAGATTGTGTGATCTTTACTTTATATTTTTAAGTTGCTTGTTTGTTTAGTAAATTTATAATAACATTAAAAAAAAAAAATTATTTTCTTTCATGCAAAAAATATTATTTGTAATTGTTTGAAAATGTTTAGTCTATTCATTAAATTCTAGGGAAATGATTCTTATGAAAAGCAACTTTCTTCCTTATTAGATGCTCTTGAGAAGTGTACTGCTTCTGAAAAAATTCAAAATTGGGTTTCAAGTTCATTTCATAAATCAGTCCCTGGTTCCGTAAGTCTTGTTTTTTAAATTTTTTGTTTGTTTCAGTTTTATTTTTAATTAATTTTTTAATAATTATAAATTTTTAACTGCTTTTAAAAAAATACAAAGTTTCAGATTTCCAAAATCCATAAATTCAAATTAAAAATTTATAAATTGTCACTTTATTTAATTTTTAATTTAAATGATAAAATACTTCAAAGATATGTGTTATCACATCTCAAGTTCACTACCTCTTGAAAAGTTATTTAACCTCAAATGTTGCTGCTTTAGTTCACTACTACTTAAAAATATATTTCTAGGAACCTCAAATGTTAATGGGTATGTTTGTGATATCAAAGTAAATTTTTAGTAATAACTTTTAACTTACTCACTTTTTTTAATGTTGAAACAAAATTCTTAACTCCTGTTTTCAATTTAATTAGCTTTGTTACAAAATAATTTGTCACCTATGTATGTTATATTTTAAAAAATAATTGAAACTTAGCATTTTACTCGCTTTAAACAGCACCTAAAAAGCGTGAAATATTCATAATTACCAGCATACAAAATGTCTTCTCTTTGAACTTCACCTCTTGATATATGTGCTCTGTTTTGGTTGTTTGTTAAACTGTTTAGAATTTCCAGATATTTAAACAAATTTCTATGAAATTTCTCCGCTATATATAGTAATATTATTAAGAAATATAACCAGGAGAAACCAGTTTGATATACAAGAAAGCAATCAGCTTAAATGATAATATGTCTTAAGAGTAAAAATTAATTACCATTATTAATCCATTACAATATACTTTTTTTTGTGTGTAGGATGCTTTTAAAAGAAAGCTTTTATTTCGGGCAAATTCAAAGAGTAGCATGAAAGACTTATATCATATTTGTGACAAAGGTGTTGTGCTTGGTTTATATCATCTCTACATTTCTTACCAGGTATTATAATTTTTTTTTATTAAATATTAACAGATCTAAAAAGTTTTGTTTAGTTTTGGTACGATAAAAACTATTTCTGCATAAATGTTATTTAAATGAAATACTGCCTTGACTAATTTTTTTTATGCTTATAAGTTATGCATTAGCAGGGCTAGGTTGTTGATGATAAATGCATTTTTAACATATTTGGTTGTTTGTTTTTTTAATTTATAGGGCGTAATATATTTCTGGTAATTTTTTTTTTTTTTTACTTTTTTAACTTTTTTTTTCTTTTTTAAATAATTTTTTATGAATTTAATGTGATACTTTTCATTTTAGGTGAATTTACCTTCTCAATTAATTTTTTTCTTTATAAAGTATTATAAATTTTACTCTGAATTTTGTTATAAATGTTGTCCAATAAGAAGTGTTGAGGTTGTATAGAATGTTTCAAGATCTAAAGAATTTAATTTTGAGCAATAGTAATCTTTCAATTTGAGGAATAATAAAGAACATTTGGCATTCTTGAAGATTGTAACTAAAAATTATAAATTTCAATTTATCTTTACCGTATTTAACCTATTTATTTAAATTTCATTTTATTCATTAAATACATAATTTACTTTTATTATAATCTTATTTTTATGAAATTTATGAATGTTATAAAATTTTTTTAATTCTTTTTTATAAAAACACGTTTTTAAAAAATTTTAAGAACATATTTTATATGCAGGTAATTTTTATGGATTTTAGAGCCTTATTTTACAATTTTAAAGAGCATTTTTTAAAAATTGTTAGGTCATCAGTATTCTGGCTTTGCATATAAACATTCCTTATTTGAAACAGATTCTTGCATCAAAACCAGTACTACTCAGCATTTTGAAAAAAAAATTCATACTTTAAAGATATGTTTTATGTCGGTAGTAAATTCTAGACAATTACAAAACAAAATTTTTTCATGCATTTAGATTTGTAATAAAAACTATGTAATTTTACTGAGCATTATAATGAAGATAATGTATTCTAATAATGAATATAATGTTTTAAATTCTCTCATCCCAGAAGTACACTCATGAGAAATATTCCTTCTATTATTTTTAGTATCTGAAGAGAAAATGTGAAAATATAGTTTTGTCTGAGAGCTCCGAAACAGCAAAAGGTGGGTAAAATTGTTTTTATTATTTTAATTTTATTGCATTATAGTAATTCTCTTACGTGCTTTCATTACGCTTAACTAATAAAAATAAAATTCACTATGCTCAATTAGAATGAGTTTGTATAAATTTATCTCTTTTGAGATGAAAACTTTTTAAAATACAAAATTGTGGCTGCTGGAACCAAAATGAGGATTATTTTCTGTGTGGTTTTATGTTTAAATGACGCCCGGTTGCTGAGCGCTAGCGCTACGCACTGTCGTGCCGTAGGTCCCTGGTTCGATCTTCGGGACGGGCAAGGTTGACTCAGCCTTTCATCCCTTTAGTGGGTCGATAAATGAGTCCCAAGCATGCTCGGGAACTAAACACTGGGGGTTCTGCATTCGGCTGACCACCTGACCGGAACATCTACTCCTGCACCTCAGAGCCCAAGGTCAAGGAAACTGAGATGGGCACAGTAGGCCTTGGCCCCCTATGGGCTGTCGCGCCACTGAGTTTAGTTTAGTTTAGTTTATGTTTAAATAAATAAAATGACTTGTATGTCTTTCACTTTGATATTAGTATTACTATAGTTTATTTCATCAACATAACTTAATAAAGGAAACTTCAGACAGAAGTAAAGTAAAGCAATCCCGCTGTTTTTTATGTCACCGGTTATCTGTCTTACTGTACAAAAAAAAGGACAGTAAAACAATCAAGTCTATTAGAAAGGCTTCATCAAAATGATGTGCTATAGTTAATACAGAAAAACAAGTGACAATAAAACAATTATCTACTAAAAATTCTCAATTTTTAAAATGTAAAGTATTGAAAAAACTTCGGAATGCACTTACCTGAGTATATTTTTTAAAAAAGTCAACATTACAAAACGTGGTTTAGTATAAAGTAGCCCGGTTTCATTTCTTCAAATTTTGCTTTGCCGAAAAATACTCTTCCAAATAATACTTTACCAAATATTTGACCAAGTATTCAGTCAACCGAGTACTCGGCAAGAGGTGAATATAGAATAGTGGCTGAATATTCGTTACATCCCTATTAATTACAGAATGAATAAGGAAACTTTAGGTACATAATTTTCCACAAGTCAACATAGAGTAAGTATTTTTTTTTTTTTTGTCAAAAGAGGGCATTTAAGAAGAAGAAATTTATTTGCACTTAAACTCAAAATTTTTTTTTTCATAAATTGCAAAATGGCTTCACTATATGTGCATTTTTAACATATATGAGCTTTTTATTATTAAATGTTTATAGTTTACAAGAAAAGCAGTTTTTAAATTTTCATTTTAGGCTTGATAAATCCAACATAATTTTGTATTAATTTTGCCGACTTTCAATTTAAAAGAAAGAAATTTTCTGTATGGAACAACTTTATATAAAGGATGAAATGTAGAGTAGTAATATAGTTATAGGCATTTTATCCCTTGATATAACTTGTACCTTGTTTGCTGAGTGTACTTTTGAATGATTTTTTTTTTAGTGTGTTTTGTATCAAAGTAATGTTTTATATATCTCTATAAGATATTAATTTTCTTTTCTAGAAAATTGCTTGCAATTTGGAGCTTGTATAAAGAATTCAACGAGGTTGCATTTCTGAGTATACCTTTTACTTTTTAAATGTTTAAAATATTTTGTAAACTGTGTGGTTTTTTAAAAAGATGAGGTAATTGATATTTTTTAGTTTGCAAGGTATTTTAATTTGTAAAATAAGATTTTCCACCAAATCCCATTTTTTATTTTTCCTCCTTGTATGTATTGCAAATTCCTATCATCAGCTCCAATAAGTATCTTATAATTCTTTGTTAAAGTAGATTTTTCTTTTTATTAGGGATGTAACGAATAGTGATTTGGCTGAATATTCCATATTCGGCCAAAAAGAATCAGCTGAATATCTTAATTGTTGTGTCATGATAAAAACGTCTGTAAAAACATAGGTTTTCTTGAAAAAGAAAAAGCTAGATTGAAACCAAAACAAAAATCGTTCTTGATTTTTAAATGAAAGATTTAATGGTAAAAATCTTAATGTAACTTTTTCACATTGTTGTATTTTTAGAAAAAAGTGACCAATTAGAAATGCTCTTTAAAAAATGCTGTTATAATAAAAACACTGATAGGAAGAAAAGTTAATAAAAAAAAAAAGAGAAAAATTGTTCCTAGTCCTAAAATATAGCTTTAATGTTTAGAATTGCAGTTTTCTATGTTACTAGTTATTTGTCTTAATGAACAATAAAAAAAGCGACAGTAAAAGAATAAAAAATTTTAGAAATGCTCTGCTAACATGCTTCGCTTCAGTTAAAACAGAAAAACAAGCAAAAATGAAACAAACAAAGAAAATGTTCTCGGTTTTTAAAACGTAAAGTGTTGGAGAAAACGAAGAAATTTACTTGCCTGAATATAGGAAATGAAAAGGGAAAAAAATCAGCATTACAAAATTTATGATTCAATATAAAGTAATCTAGTTTCAATCTTTCAAATTCCTCTTTTCCATGTGACTTTCAAAATGTTAAGTTAACAAGTTTTAGAGCATAACAAATGTGTGTAAGAACTATTTCTAATAATGTATAGTGAAAATATACTATTTTAGACTATTCTTCATTAAATCTATTAAAATTTCCACGCAAAAAAAAACTTTGTTGAAAAATAATTTTTCAATAATACTTTGCAGAATCTTTGGTAAAAAGGCCGAATGGTGGCAGAATATTCAATACATCCCTACTCTTAATACTATTTTCTATTTTTTTCGTATGTGTTGGGATTTTTTTTTTTTAGTAACTTCAAGCTTCACTAATACATATCTTCAAAATCTATCATTTTGTTAAGTGTACCTAATCGGATTGCAATGTAATGCAATAATATTTAATTAATTACCTCATTTTTTCTGAAAAGCGCAAATACATTTACAGTAAGACTCTTGTAGTTTAACTACTTACTTCTTTTCTTCCTAAACAAAAAGAATTAATTATCTTTGATAATTTAGTAATAAATATATAAAGGTTAATTTAAATAGATGATCAACTTCTAAAAAACTTCAATCTCTGTACATAAGATGCAGTCAACTTTGTAGTTCAAATTTCAGAATTACAAATGTAAAAAGACTAAATCTTTTTTTTCTTAAATTTCTTATTTAGAACGAAAAGAAAACTTTATTTAATCTCTTATTATTCTTTTATCTCAGACAATGAAGATTTTATTATTTTCTAAATTGATTTTATGTTTGCAGATTGCATTATTAATCACTTTTCACCGTTACTATGAACTTATATGAAATACATTACTTTTTTACCTAATGCATCATTCTTCATTTCAATTATCCTAGTTTTTTTTTTTTTTTTTTTTTTTGAAAAAAAAAGAAGGTTTATACAGTCTATTGTCAGGAAAAACACAGTGATTTCAGCTTCCGTATTTAAGGTTTTGATGCTTTGTGAGGAAGATAAGTAAAATCAACGATTTTTGTACAAAAGGACAATCTGACACAGAGGAAATTTAAAGTTAAGTAGTCAAAGAGAAACAAGAAATTTTATCAATACTAAGATATCAAAGAAATGTCTGGGAATTTAAGTGATATATCCCAATAGTCGTGAGAAATTAATTTGAGTTTGTAACACTCTAAAGTCTTTTTNTTTTATTTGTTTTTTTTTTTTTTTTTTGAAAAATTGATTTTATTAAAGTTTTTTTTTAAAATTTGTTTATTTTAAGCTTTAATGGCAAAAATAAATGTTTCACAATGATTTTATGTATACGAATAAAACATAACTGAAAATTTGTAATGAGATTTGTGCCACCAGTTAGAAAAATCTAACTTCGATAAAATCAAGCTAAAAAATCATGAAAATTCATTAAAATTAGTTGGAAATTCAATAAAATTATTCTGAAAAATTCACGAAAGAAGAAGGAATTTTTTTTCTGAAAGTTTGTGGCCTCCCTAAAAAGGCCTACTTAAAAAAAAATCAACTTGATTTTTATTAACACAAATTTTTGTTGCATCATCTCAAACTTAAGATATCTTTGACTTGATTATTCGAAGTTTTTATCTAAATGTCCCCGCATATTTATCCAAGTGTCCCCGCAACAGATCTTGGAGATTGAGGGTGAACAATTACTTGATCATGGTGGTAGCAATATTGTCAGCATTATTGACCATATTACACGTAGATCTGAAGTTAAATACCTGTTTATAGTTATATTGCATATATTGATTTAAATATTTAGTTACTGTATTTTTCACTTCCTTTTCCCTTTTTATAATAACCCATTATAAAAAATTTTAATAATGGCATTTGATGCTTGCTATAACAAGTTGATATGACTTGTTATGGAAGCATTTGATCCTTATTATAACAACCTGCTATATCATTATTTGACACTTGTTATAATACTTCAAAATTACTTAATGTAAATGCATAAAAAGAATGTAAAACTCATGCTGTATTTTAAAATTTAGCAGCAATAATTACTTGATGCATTGTAACAAAATACTGTAAAATGTAAATGCTTTTGTAATAGAATATGCACCCAAGCACAATTTTAAAATTTTGTGACATAAATATAATTTTATTAATAAATTTTTAAAAAAATTCTAATTTTTGATTCTTTATTTCTCATTAATTTCCCAGTGAGTCAAAGAATCTGTTTGTTTTCTGACTTATTCATATTTGTTCTTGTAGGGGCAGTGATGTATTTAAAAATGAATGTGTAAGTAAACAATGTTTTCCCTTTATTTGGTATTAAATTATATTGTGATTATATTGTATCAAGTTTATTGCTTTATAAAGCATTACAACAATATGATTTTTGAGGATACTCCAACATGAACTAAAAATTTAAAAAAATTTTAAAAATTTTATAAACTGTGGTTGCTATTTTAAGTTATACAATAAACTTAATTTCTTTCATTTTTGATAAATGTGTTTACTTATTTATATTCTTTTCACATAAGCATTTGTTGTTGACCTACCCTGTTAATAAAAATAAGACATAAGATGAAGAAAAAATAGTAAAAATTGAAAAAATATGACAATCAAGGCTGACGTCATCAGGGGGTACCAGCCTTGAATTGTCACAAAAATGCAAAACTCTTTCTATAGAGAAAGCTAAGATAAAAGTCAAAAATGCTTTCTCTGTACCCCAAAAGTTTTGCTCCGGTCCAGAAAAAGAATACAAAAATACAAGAATAAATATTGAAATATGTAATACAATGGAGTTTAAATTACAGAAGCATAAAACAGTAGAATAAAAAAACAAGACAAATATAGAAGGGAGGTAAAGAAGAAAACTTACTAGTCAAATACAAAATAAAATAAAATACACTTTAAATACAAAAGCTAATACATTCATTAGTATAAAACAAGACAATTACAGAAGGAAAGTAAGAAAAGAAACTTACTTTAAATAACAAGAATCCAAATTACTGAAAAATTCACAAACGACTGCAAAACATAAATACAATAGACTGAAAAATGAAAACAACTCCCCCAAAAGTGCGGGGCTTAAATAAGGACAGCAGTAAAGAAAGTAGTGACGTCATAAAACGAAAAAAAAAGGATCCATTTGGATGTTATTTTTATTAATTTATTATTATTAATTGTTTGCATTAATATTTTGAATTCTTTTCTTAATTAATAAAATAAGATCATTCATCAATACTGGATTTAACTGCATTGTTAAAAACAACTACAGAAAAAACCTTGTTGTTAAAATATAAAAACTGCTTTTATATTGAATTACTATTATCAATTTAGAGTTTGTTCATTATCATATTCACTTAATAGTTTGAGTACATTGCAGGTTTTTTTCGCTTAAATAATCTTTTATTTCATTTACTTTTATTATTGTATTTTTATATATTTATTGTATTTTCTAAATGGTTTATGCTGAGGAATAGACTATCGAAACAATTTTAAGTAATATAGATAATATTGTGCCATTTAACATTATTCCAATAAAACAATGCTTCAAAAATTTGTATTGTTTAATAACTCAATAATAAATTAGTCATTTGGCTTGCTAATTTCTCCTATTTATTGCTAATTATTCTTTCTCTCATTAAATGTTATTTTGCAAAATTTCAATTTAGATTTTAATTTAAAGTTCTAAATTAAATTTCAATTTTGATACATTTTAAATCATTTATGTTTCAAAGTTAAAATGTCATTTAATCGGAACTTTAAAATATGTTGTACTTGATTGTATAACTTTTACATCCTTTTTACAATGTACAAGCTTGTTTTGACAAAGCTTAATTAAAACTTGTTTCAATAACTTGGTTATATTTAAAAGTAATTATAAAAAATTTTGATTTAATTTGATCAAAAAAATTGTATTATTCTTTATTATCTGTATTGGTTTAAAAAATATCTGAGAAACTCCTGTTCTGTTTTAAATAATTTCAAACTAAAGGTTGGCATAATGAGAACCTACAATTTTCTTGCAATGCTCATGCTTGTGTGGACGTCTGGATTCAAAATTATTTTAACAAATTGGATAAATAAAAATTATTTCTAAGGTGAATTTTTGCATAGCTTCATCTGAAAAAACCATGTTATTAAGCTTTGTTTTATGCATTGGAAAAAATGGTCAAAATTTTCCTGTTCCCCCTTTAAGTTAAATAAAAAGTATAAATTTATTGATAACTAAGAAAATTCTTCTGATTTTGAAAATGCATTTAATACTAATTTTATTGGATGTAAAGATTGCAATGTTCATTTTTTTTTCTATTAAAGTGATTGAATAGCTTTGGATGAAAAATTAAGATTTAATTTATATTTTACTTATTTTTTTAAAAGAGTTATTAATAAAAAAAAGATTTTTCATTTGTTATAAAATATAATTTTCTTTACTTTTTCTTGTATAGGTTTTAGAATCCTGCAATGTGCCTGCTACTTTTTCTTTTGAGGATGAAGCTTATTTGTCCTGTTTGAATTCGTCTTTTGAAAATGTGATTGTTAGATTTTTGAATTGGTAGGATTTGAAAAGAAGAATTATAGAAATTGAAAATGCTATTTTGAATTCTTTATGTTTAGAGACTTTTTTTATTTACACTAATTTCTTTTGACGGATGCATTGAATGATAAAACTTTTTAAAATATACCTTCTTTTTTTTACATAATTTAGTGATAACAAATATTCATTAGAAACTTGTTAATAAATTTTACCATAACTTACAAAAATAATATCTGAAAAACTATATATATTAAAATAGATAGATGGATAGCATATAAAAACAGAAATAAAATGGGAAGGTAATTTTTAAAAAAAAATTTTGATGATGAAGAAAAAATAGAATTTTTAAAAATGAATTAAAAATGGAAAATTTAACAACAGAAATATATAATCTTGTCATTAGCTCACACGATTTTATTCGCAAAAATAGTGCTTTTTTAGATTGTATTAATTTAACCAAAGCAAAATGTATTAATATAATAGTGCAAAAAGTTCTAAAAAACAAAAAAACTAAACATTCATATAAAAAAATTTTTGCAAATGAAAATATTTGGAAATTCAAAAAAAAATACAAAATAAAACACAAGTTAAAATCGAGTGAGAAGGGAGAAAATTGGCCGAAATCTTAAATTAGTTATATTTCTTTGAAATTTTCTCTTTTCTTTCATTTTTTATTGTCTTATATATTATATATATGTTTTAACAAAAGCAGCAATGTAATTGATAAAGTTTACAGTATTTTCTGGTCCGATAATTTTTAAACTTTTTAGTCAGCCTATATTTCTTTAGGTTGATTAGAAAATGTGTGATAAATTACTTAATCAGACCAAATTTGATTAAGCTTATTCTAATAAACCTTTAATAAGGATGTTCTATTTATGATAAGCTTACTCTATTCTAGATTTCTTGCAAACTGCACGATTTAAATCAATAATTGATCGATGAATAATACATTTTCTATTTAGTCTAAATATGTATGGGCTAACTGAAATAATTCGAAAAAGTCTTATTATCTTAGTCTTATTAGAAAATATTGCCTTTTAAAATAAGCCTGGCACTTAGCAAATCGACTGCGGCTGTATGAAAATAGCTGGATTATTATATAAACCTATTATAGCTCAGGGGATAGTGCATCTGCCTTCCAATGAGATGACCCAGAGGTTCAAATCTTAAGCTTATATTTTTTTACAAATAATTATCATAAAAGTTTTTCCCTTCAGAAAAAGACACCAATAATTTGACTTCAATGAGAGCAACCACACAAAAGTATCGTGTGATTATGACATAATTTGAGATGTTGTAACTCTTTTCCACTAAACTCTCGATTATAAAAAATGAAATACTCAGGTTTTGAGAAAAATTAATATGATAAAATAAAGTTAGTGCTTGAATTTTCTGAAAAATACTGATTTTATTTGAAATCTCTTTTTTCAGGGGAGTTAAATCTGAAAATGAAACTAAAAATGATGACACTGATTCATCATCACAGTATACAAATAATTCGTTAGAATCTAGTACTCATGTGTCTTACCGTGTTCATTACTTAAATCGTAAGTATACCATATTATCTGAATTCTATACAATTATTTAAATCATTTTATTTTGTTGTTGTATATAATGAGTATGAGACTATTTTTATAATTGATTCATCTCTTTTTTTTTCCCCTCCAGACATTGCTATTCTACCAGAAAATGACTCCTCTCAAAGAAACTGTGGGTGTGTATTAAAAAGATATATCTGAAATATATTTTAATTGGATACTAAATTTTCTTTTAAACAAGTAATATTAAAAAAAAAAATTTAAGTCAATTCCTACTTAAGTCGATAAAGAAAAATTTTTTTAGTTACTTTTTATTGAATAATTACAATTTTTTCTGCCTAACTAAAATTAAATAATTAAATTTAATTAATGAATTAATATTTGAAAAAACTGTATTAACATCAGGTGTCATCCACTACAAGATTTAAAAAATGTATTTGAATTTGAGAGGATGAATAAAAAGTATTTTATTAATGATTGAATATTTGAACAAGATTCTGAGAGGTACCTATTTTGTGAAAATTTAGATATAATTTGTGAAAATTAAGAATTATATTAAAAAATCAACACAAAAGTATGGATTTATCGTTTCTTACAGGATACAAAAATAAAATTTTAAGAAAAAGTATTTTGGTTTTTCCTAAAGTTGAATTTGTGAAGGTACCGCTAAACGGTAGTATATTTGGCCTGGACAGACCCCTGAGTAGGAATTGAAAAAGAAATTTGTATTTTAAATTATATATTATAAAATACCAATCTTATTAAAAATTCTTTGTTATTCAATATCAATCCCTATTCAAAATTATATGTTATTAAATATCAAACATTTCCCATCACTACCAATTTTTATGAAAAGAAATTGTGAAAGGTAATTTTGCTCATTTGGTTAAAATAGCTATAGTATACAGTTCAACCAGTAAATGTTTTTCAATAGATAAAAAGATAAAACGGATAGTTTAATTTCTGTAATTAATCATTAAAATGTAATTCAATGTATAAAAATATTTAACTGGAATGTTAGTGTTATTTTTGCATGTTGAAGACTAAAGAAAGAGCTGAGAAAAGTAATTCAAGATTTAATGTTAGTGTGAAAAAAATTTTTTAATGGAAATCTTCTCTTGGATTTCTATATAGCTTGTTAGTTAATTATACTTTCTGAGCTGAAATGGTTGGATGGTTAAAGCACTGACTGTCATTGTGAAGGATTGGGATTCGGCCACCAGTGCTGGCTTGAAGCTTACCCAGCTTTAGATCAATGGTAGCAACTTGTCTGAGAAGTAAAAACAGCTTGTACACAATGAGGACCACTTGGCCAAAATCATGTCGTTGGTTGAAAAATTGGAGATACTTAACCTTTATAACTCCCTGGCCCTCAACTGCTGTTTGGGGAATGCTTTAGTTGTACATACTTTCTTCAAAATAAATTCAGTGTTGCTTGCATTGTGATTGTTAATTATTACGAGAGAAAAGAATTAATATAATTAAATTAAAATTCTGTCGTGAATATTATCTGAAGTGGGCAATGGGATGCAATGTTTAGTGACATTCTAATGAATTTAAAAATATTAGATTTTTAAAATATTGCTGCAACAAATAGCTGTTAGAAAAAATATTTTCCTAATAAAATCTGTCAAAAATAATTGGAGCTCTATTCTTAGAACTGATTATTACATGTTTTTAAAAACCTAAAATTTCTACTGTTTTCAGAATGTCACATAAATGAAATTTAGCTACATTCATTCAATTTATTATGTGTATTAGCACAATACTGATATTATTTCATTCATAGTTTTTATTTGCATTTTCTATTAATTTTACTATGATGTTTTTAATAAACAAAACGCTTATGCGTTTGCTGCTACTAATTAATTAATTTTTGTTTTTAGACATGTGGTCTCACTTTCACACATTTGGAATTCTTTGGAAAATCATCAACAGCAAAACCCAGGTAATACATCATATTATCCAATATCATTACTATAATGACAATTATTACATAGTAATAATACTTATTTATGTGTGAATTATTATTTTCAATTTTCAACTGAATAAAAAAAATTATTGTATCCTATTTTATAGTTCTTAAATATATTTATTAAAAAGTTGTTACTGTTTCAGTTTGTTTGAATTTTCCTTTTATTGATTCTTAGAAATCTTAGGAAACATGAACACAAAATATTTTTTTTTTTTACATCACTGCTAGTTTCCGTACAAAAATCTTAAAAATATTCTGCAATAAAAATTGTTTATTTTGTCATTTTTTAATACACTCATCTCCCTTAGAAGGTTGTAAACTAAAATATAAATTTTTGAATTCACATATTGTTTTGATTTTTCTAGGTTTTTTGCTTAAACAGTTTATGTGAATTTTTCTTACTTTTAAATAACTTTGCTGTGACTTTTTTTTCTGAAATTGAACAACTTTTAAGTTTTTATATTAATTATCTCATTAGTGAAAGATTAGAATATATATTATTTTACATATTTGTGATTAAAAACTTTTTATTTGTTTACTGAAAAATGTTTTAAAAACTTATAATTAAAATTGAATAACTTTTTAATGAATACCAAAGATTGTTTTATTCTAATTTTAATATTAAAATTTTTGATTTTTTTTCTGTTTTAGGAATGGAGGAAACATTTTTAAAGATCTTAAGACATTTTAATGATTCTCAAAGATTATTCTACTCTCTTTTAACTCGTTCACCAATCATAGTCATTTCAACACCTCATCAACTTCAAGATGCTACAAATTTTGTTTCTGCTCTATGCATTTTTGTGCCAAGAAGAAAAGGGTGTGTTTTCTACTTAATCCTAATATCTATAAGCTGATACATAATTAGCTACAATATCTAGTATCATAAAACTTAAATTAGTTGAATAGTTTTAGAATAAAAACAATATTTTTTTTCAGAAATTGAATATTTTTATTCAAAAGCACTTCTATTATTTTAAATTAAATTCAAAGTTATAAGATTTCAGTCTTTTGATAATTTTAAATGTTTTTTAAAAAATATTTAAAATTTAGTGAAATGGAACAAGATAAAAATTTAAAGTAATTAGCAATAATAACCATAGTAATTAGCAATAATAACTCATTTTACATTATCTTTCACAACGTGAATTACTATAATTTTGAATGAGGTGTGTAACTTAAAAGTTTACTTTTGTTATTTATTTGTTAGGTACTCCTTTTAGCTAAATGTATTTTCAAATGTTCTTACTTTTGTTATTTATTTGTTAGGTACTCCTTTTAGCAAAATGTATTTTAAAATGTTCTTCTAGAGTATCAAGACGAAATCTTATTTTAAAAATTAAATGGGTGAAACAAAAGGGAAAAGTACTTGGCCAAATCTTCAAGCCTCTTTTATCATCGCATTAGTCATAAATTGTACTCCGTGGGAAAATTTAGAATAAATAAAATAGTGTAATGTATTTTTGTTTTTTTGCATACATAATTTCGAACTTCCTACAGCTGCTCTGGATAGCATTTACTATTAGTTCCTGCATGAGTATTTTATTCGTTTTAAAACACAGAATGTTGCTTAGTTAGTCAAATTGCCAATTTTTCAGAATTTATTATAAATATCTGCCAAAGAATTATACCATATTATTTCAGTTAAGTAAAGAATCATTTTTATTTTGTTTAAAAGAAACATTTAAAAAAATCTGAAAATGATACATTAGTGTCATTTCTTCTCATTAAAACAGTAAATTTTCTAACACAAACTTAATTTGAATATATAAATGACAGAATTAAATAATATTGATATCGTTTTTTTTTTATTTATTTATTTAAATAGAGAAACTGTATTTGTTGACGTGAATAGACATGAACCTTTGACTGAAGAAGATATGAACACTCATGCCATTTTAAATGTTTGCATTGATGGAAGTCACATAGCTGAAGATGTAGTTCCTCTTGAATTAATGGTAGGAAAATATTCCATTTAAGGAATGTTTTATGTTATAATTAATGAAACTATCATAAATAAAAAAAAATTTATATTAATTTTCATCTAAAAAATACATGCATTTATTTTTATTTTAGTCAAAAATCTGCATTTTAAATTTGAAGGATTGCTCTTTAACAGCACCAACCTATACGGTATGTAACAAATTTATGTTAAACATTATATGTGAATAAGAGTAGCAGTAGTAAATGTTGTGTGTGACTTCAAGTCTTTTTTTCTTTAGCAATATTCATCCCTTGTACTTATCTGTTTAAAAAACACGTATTCTAGTTTAAAAATTTTAATTTATGTTTATTTATGTATTAATTTCATTATTGTTGTTATATTTATAGTTATGTTGTATTTATATTTATTATTGTTGTTATTTTTACTTTTAATATACTTTTTAAAGCTCCTTTAACCATAGAAATTCATTTAAAATGTACTTTTCCTTCCCCTTTATTCAATTGTTATTAAGAAATTATTTATTAAATAATTATTGATATATTTTGTACTGTCATCTTTCTTTAAAACTCATTGGAAGATATCCTTATTTCAGTAAATAATAATAATATTCCTTTTATAATGCATGATATAATATTTAAAAGATCTAACGCAAATACTATGCATGCCAGTATACTTGAAAATGAATAAAAATAATTTTTTGCCCTCCCTGTATAAAAAATTTTAACTTCATGGTTTAAATTGTTTTAAAATTAAAATAAAATTAATAAAATAAATTGTTTACCAGTAAATTATTTATCTCTAATTTAACGGTATTTTTTTATACCTACTATTACCTTTTTTTTAAATTATGTTTACTGGAACATTTGAAACCAAGTCTTTTCGTGTCAATCAGCAACAGGGAACATCGGTCAGCACATTTCCTCTGTGGGAGGATGAGTAAGGGATGATTTGGTAACAGTTTTCACCAAGGAAATGTTGAAGCTCGCTTGAAGTTAAGACATTTTTTTAGAAACTCTCAGTTTCAATTTTTTTTTCAAAGTTCTTTAGACGCAAAAAAATATCATTTTTTATTGTAAATTTAATAACATAAATATTGAGTGAAAAATTTAAATCTTAAAATGGGCTGTATCCCTTCATTTATAAAATGGGAGGGGCTAAAGTCCCCTCTGCCCCCCCCCCCAGTACCACGATCCCTGATTTTTGGTAAGAAAACTCAGTTGACAGGACGGCTTCTATTTCTTAGTTTAATATCCTCTAATTAGTTATTTATCGACTGTACCTAATTGTTAAATTTCATTGCTGCTATTTAATCTGCTATAATGTTACAGTTTGCATTACCTTTGTTACAATTTACCTTACCTATTTTAAAAGCTAACTTTTCTTTATTAATGAATAAAAGCAATTGTAATGTGAATTTTTGTTTTTGTTAACGTGCATTTTATTGTAATAAAAAAAAGCAACTTCTCCTTTTATTCACTTAAATGGTTTGTAATTCTCAATAAATGCGTCTTTGAATTTTAATTTTGTTCTTTTTAATTACAGGGTCGCCTTTTAGCTGATATAGATCAACGCCTTCGAATTCTTTCTCCTAATAGTGCTTTATTTCCGGTTATAATCGGGTAATCTTGATTGAAACTCAAACATTTAAACTTTTGCTATAATCTTACATGAAGTACCTAATTAAGTTAATTGCTCTATTCTTACATAGTTGCAGTACTTACTAAAGTATTGTAGCAAGTTTCTCAATTTGCCAATTAAAAACAAATATTTATTGATTTTTATTATGTATTAAAGTATTGCCTTTTAGCTTTATTTACACTATTAGCTACAGAAGCACACATACTTTTCTGCATATTTGTTCGAAATATTGCAAGGAGTTGCTACTTTGTGGCTGTTCAAATATTATGTAAGCATATTTCTGGCAATTTTGGACCCTCCCCTTATCAGCAAAAAAATAAGCGATTCACAAACTCCCTCCCAAAAAGTTGAACTCTCAGCCCAGTTTTGGCTTTAGCCAGTGGCGTAGCGAGCTCAACTCGCGCCCGGGGCACAATACCTTTTTAGCGCCCCCCATTCGAAAACCATATAATATTATATGTAAAATTTACTCGCAAATTAATAAATAAATGAAGTAAAATAAATAAAGTCATATGCTCAAGCTCGGCTTTAAATTTGAGACAAAAAGTGTAGTTGAGAAAACAAAACTAGATTTTGAAATGTATATGATCATCTAAAATAAGTTCAAACGATACCTATTATTTATTTTACATATTTATAAAGAAATATTTTAAATGCACGCAGTTTTAAAACAGTAAAAAAGAAAATATTTATTATTTCTTAGGAGATACATATATTTAATAATAATATGATTATAAAACATTAATAAAACTAATTACTATGAATAAATTTTCCTTGCTTTTGATGAAGCAAATCTATCAATAATATCATCAAAGTTGATCATTTTAAATTTTTCTCTTTCCACACTTAAAAATCTAAGTCACTTATGCGATCTTGTCCCACTGTTGATCGTAGATGTGTCAAAATTAATTTTAATTTGCTGAGTGAACATTCGCTACTAGAAATTAATACTGAGATAGTCAGGAGTATTTGAAGAGCCACACTCAGGTTTGGAAAAACATCTTCTCCATACAAGATTATAAAAGTAAGAAATTCTAAAGGAGTTTTAGGTTCAATTTCTTTTCTACTGCGGAGTAACATTTTGCAGTCTTATATTTCGATATAGAGTTTTATTCCATTGAAATCAGTATTGTAAAATTCACCCAAATTTTAAAAATTTTTTTCAAGGTCGTTATTAATATTATCCTTGTTTAATAAATTTTCAACGTCTAGTAGAAATCCAAATTTGAAATTAAGGTCACTTAATCGTGTACATATTTCTTGTTGGAGACGATCAAGAACGCTTTTCATAATGCGAGAAATATAACTTTCTACGGAAAGACCAGCATCGAGTCAATTTTCCAGGAATTTTGAGGCGTCTTCGTATTGTTGTATTAGTATCCCATTTTTCACAAAGAGACTTCGTTTTTTCTATTGCCTCTTCACAGAGCTTGTCTCGAATTTCGGCTAGTTCACTCGCTAATGATTCAAGATCATGGAACGCTTCTCTAAAATTCATTCTAGGATCTTGTAATCTGAGCTGCACACGATCAATCCTCCTTAAGATTTCATACCAGAAATGAACTTAAGTTATGAAACTTAAAGTTAGTATATTTTGCAACAGAATTGTAGCTTCACTTCTGGTGTCACTTGTAGTGGTGGTGTCCTCTGCTAATTTTTCTAATAGTTCTACTATATTCTCTAGCCCATTTACGATAACGTTAACCGTTTGTATTCTGGCACTCTATCGTGTTTCAGACTCACGTTTGACAGTTTATGTTAAAGCATTTTTTAATAATTCCCATCGTAACGTTGAACGTGAGAAAAAGAGATATATGTTTTCAATTATTTCAAAACATGTCACAACGAGTGAATCTTGTTCAGCTGCAATAACTCCTACTAAATTCAACGAATGCTTATCACAATTTACAAATAATGCTTTATAATTTTTAAATCTAAGTGCAAAACCAATTTGCAACCAGCCAAAGCTTGAAACTAAGGTTTTATATTCATTCTAACCTGTGTAAAGACAAATTTAGATAAGTTCAGCTTAACTGTAAACTATACTTGGAAAAACGGTGCACTGCAAAAGAAAGAGCTGAGTTTAGGTAGTTTTATCTTAATTTTCTATAGAGTTGGTAAACTATCTTTTTTTAGTTAAATTCAAAAATCAACTAAGGTAAGTTGTTAAAATTGGCTTTAAGAGATGTCCAAATCCAGTGCTTATTAATGTGATAGTTTTGAAAAGTGTAGAAAAAAGTTGCTGGTTTTAGGTTGTACCCCAGATAAGCAATATTTACTGTAAATTAAGAATTCTTAATTTTTATTACTATAAATAGTAACAAAAATTGAATATTGTCTATTATTGTTTTATTGAACACTGTTAACAAATTATTTCATACCCTATTCACTGAATAATAGAATCGTCGAGTAGATGTAGTAAGTAATTTTATTTGTTTTATTATTTACCAAGAATGCCTGGAACTTGAAAGGTAGAAACACATATACTATAATTTATGCTAACATTAAACTTTTAATATTTAATAACATTTCAATTTGATTCTAAGCCGAGCGCGATAACAAGGACGCGAAACTGAAAAATACACGCCCAAAATAACTTGAACGTTAATACTTCGGATATTTCCCTAATTTGTTGCGGACTTCCACAACCTGTCGCAAGTGTCACGGGTATGTACAATCACGGAAAAAAGTATCCGAAAAGTAACGAATAAAGAATCATTTGTTTTTTAATACAGATAAGATCAGATAAGATTTTAATACAGACACAAGCACACTACAAATACGGCGTTTGTGTCCTTTCCTAGAAACGACAAAACGCTGTATTTGTTGTGTGTCTGAGAAGCGCTGTATTTGTTGTGTGTCTGAGAAGTATCTATATTAAAAAATAGACGATCCTTCAGTTTTTATTTTCCGGATACTTTTTTTCCGTGACTGTACATACAAGTACATTAGAGTGTTATTGTTATCATTTTAAAATAACAAGAGTAAGGTACATTGCGTTTATAGAAATAAAAATAAATAGTGTTGAGAAAGAAAGAATGTTTGTACTTTGTACACTGCAAATATTTATTATAACATATTATTTTATCAGACAAATCAAGAAAGGAGATAATTTATGTAACCACACAGGGTAGGTACCATAAGGAAGTGCTGACAGACACAGATTGAGTCAGCCCAGCCAGTAGAAAAGACGTGCCATTTCTATTATGAATATATTATTACTGTTTGATTTAGTAAGACTATTAGTGTTCCTTTTTATTTACGAATTAACATTTATTATATTACACTGGCACTAAATTTAAAATATATTTTCCAGAAATCAATTGTAATAAAAATTATCCAGCAATTTTTTGTTTTGCGGACCATTTGGCCCCCCTCTATGGGTAGCGCCCGGGGCATGATGCACCCCCTTGCTCCCCCCTCGCTACGCCACTGGCTTTAGCTTTGTACTAGTTTTGAGATTAAATTCAAATAAAAAGATGTAACTTTGCATTGAACAAATTTTACGTTTTTATTCATTTTGTAATTTTGAGCTGGATATTCTTTTGAAATTGTAGTATGGTATACTACATATTAATTAAAATCATTTGTTAATTCTAATTTCATTCATTATCTAATCATTCATCTAATTTAATAATCATTTGTTAATTTGTTAATAATGTAATAAACAGCTTAAATAATTACGTAAGTTAAAATTGTAACTGTTAAATTTGTAATAAACTTTTAATTGTATGTTTTTTAATTTCTTCTTTTTACACTTGTAATTAATGTTATTTATTTGTCAGTATTCAATAATTCCTTGCAATAATTTCATGTAATATTTAAGTTTTAAGCCGCAAGTATTTATTTTGTAACCTTGGGAAAGTAATATTTCTCTGCATTTATGTTCTTCCTTTAAAAGAAGATTCCTCGTTTTGTTGCTTCGCTGACAGCAAGATGTATGTCCAGTCAGCAAACCCCTTTGTTGGATTGAGAAGGAGTGACCCCAAGTCCGTTTCCCACGTTTCGGCTTGCATCAAATGCAATGCGGCCCTTTGATCTTATGATGGCGCCAAGAATGTTCCAGAACATTCCACAAAATTCTTTACCAGGTGTATCACCACTTTAGACAACCCCGCTTCATGTTTGGCATGGAGCTTAACAATTAATTTCGCCAGTTGGCCAATATTTGCAGCTCTGTGATTTGCCCCTCTGATCCTTCTCCAGCCAACCAAATGGTTATTCGCAAAAGTTTAATTTTTTTGGCGAGAGTTTTCTCCCCTATCTTCATAATGAAGAAATAGTCAGTAGCAGTTGTTTTTCTCTCAATTGTAGTTTTGTTTAGTTTTTGCGGCTTAGGCCGAGATTTCTGGTGTTGGCATGTTTGCCAAGCATTTTTACCTGTTTTTAAATGTTATTTTACAAATAAACTATGATTTTCTGCATCATTAACTATGAGTCTGGTGAGTAATTTTACGGTATAAGTTGTTTTCTCTTCCTTTNTTTTTTTGGTGAGGTTTTTCTTGCCTATCTTCATAACGAAGAAACAGTTCAGTTGTTGCTTTTTCTCAATAGTGTTTGTTTGGTTTTTTCGGCTTAGGCCGAGTTTTTCTGTGTTGGCATGTTTGCCAAGCATTTTTGTTTTTCAATAATGTTAAGTTGTCAATAAACATTTTGTCCGCATTCCTAACTATGAGTCTGGTGAGTAATTTTACTGTATAAGTTGTTTTCTCTTCCTTCTTTTTTTCAGCATGTTCCACTGTCGCTCTTACCTGAAATTTTGTACCCACTTCCAATGTACCCCACTATCATCTTTTTCGGCCTTTACATAATTACTTTCTAAATTGCATTTAATCTTAAGTTGACTTAATGTTAGTCATCCCCTTTCTTTCTCCCTTTTTATTTAGCCACACCACAGAAATCTTTTGTTTATTACTTTTGTGTTCAAAACTTTTGACTTCTAAAACTCTTCCAAGAAATTTCTTTTCACCCTGAGTTAAACTTTGAAACTTTTTCAAAACTAGTTTTGAAATTTTTCCATGCGTAATTTTTTGTTATGTTTTTTTATTTTACTTTAGAAGAAAATTTTGAAAAGAAGATTTTAATGTCTTACTTAATCATTGCTCACACCCTTCCTTTGTTAGCAAAAATAAGCAAATAACACACCCATCAGCTCCTTCAAGAGCTTATATAATATTTGAACGTCTCCTTTAAAAAAAATTATACGGCATAAAATGGTTGTTTTATGTTTTCCCTTTATAAATTTGTCAAACAGAAGGACAACAAAATTATGTTATATGATGTGTTAAAATGATAAAAAGCTTTTAAAAAACCAAATGCAGCTATTTATTAAGTGAAACTGTTAACTAATTTAATTTTATAATTAATTCAAAAATACTTTAAATTTTAAAACATTCTTAATTTTTAAACATTGTGTCTGAAAATAAAATTTTAATAAATGGACAAGTTCTGTTTTAGTAAATTACTGAAATAAAATACTAAAATGGTAGAATTTTCTTTCATTGTGTCAAATATCTCAGAATAATACCATAATACAAAAAAATTGAAATTGACAAAGAAATAAATGTGCAGTGTGCAAAATAAAAAAGTGAAAACTAATCCTCAAAATAGAGTAATCACAGTCTGGAAAATATGGTCCCAATAGCCTCCCCCCCCCCTCGAGTTATTATATTTTTAATAGTCATTCCTAGAGAACTATTCCTAATTCTTTAAATATTATTAAATAAAGTAATTATTAGAAATAATTTTTACGTAAAATAATGTATAGATTAACGAATTTTATAATTGTGTGCGCAAAAATATTTTGATTCGCTGAACAAGTTCCCGAGATTGAGTGAAATACGCAAAACTTGAAATTAGCATTAAGTTTAAGGGGTCCTAACTTTAGATTGTTCTGCTGCCTAAACAATTGGAACTATGTTTTCTAGATTGCGACTATCCTTCTTCCATATTTTGAGGATCAGGAATCCAAATCCTTTAAGAAAGGGCATGTTTATACACACAAAGGACGTTTTTGTGCCTGATTTCGTAACTTAAAATATCGCCTGCACTAAGAAATTAGCATATTTAAGGTGAGGTCCTCAAACTATTGAGTTCTAGTACATGAAAATCCGATCATTAGATCAAAAGTTATTCAGTTTCTAGGTGTTCCCCCCCCCCTTTACGCAATGTAAATGAGGCAGTACAGATATGAAAGCAAGTTACAGTGATAATTTTATACAGGGTAGCCACCCACCTGGAAAACCTGGAATTATCAGGGAATTTTTTTATACTGGAAAAAACCTGGAAATATCAGGGAAATTTGGATAAAAACCTGGAAAAATCAGGGAATTTTAAAGAAAAGCTGGGAATTTTTTCTTTGATAATTTTTTTAATTTCACCAATTTAAATTATTTTCTAATTTTCTTAATTTAAATTATTTCATCCATTATACCCACTTTTTTTAAACGGAAATGTATTGCCAATCAGTTGAAATATCATCAACTTAACGATACTTTGCTTGCATCAAAATTTGCTCCATTACAGCTCTGTTAAACTAGAATGCCACATAAAATTCTGTCACGGTTGCTAAACGAATGCAGAAACCTTTGACCACTATGGGACTGTGCAATTTAGAAACGATTGTGGTGGAGGTGGAAAAAGGGATTAGGAAATTAGTTTCTGTTTTTAAATTGTGTCCTTGGGCTGAATTTATTTATGGCTCAAGTTTGTTCCGATGCTTTGGTGTTAATTTTTTTTTCTATTTTGACAAAATGTTTTTNGAGTATTATATTTTTAATAGTCGTTCCTAGGGAACTATTCCTAATTCTTTAAATATTATTAAATAAAGTAATTATTAGAAATAATGAATTACGTGAAATAATGTATAGATTAACGAATTTTATAATTGTGCACAAGAATATTTTGATTCGCTGAACAAGTTCCCGAGATTGAGTGAAATACGCAAAACTTGAAATTAACATTAAGTTTAAGGGGTCCTAACTTTCGATTGTTCTCCTGCCTAAACAATTGGAACCATGTTTTCTAGATTGCGACTATCCTTCTCCCATATTTTAATAACTTAAAATATCGCATGCACTAATCAATTAGCATATTTAAGGTGAGGTCCTCAAACTATTGAGTTCTAGTACATGAAAATTCGATCATTAGATCAAAAGTTATTCAGTTTCTAGGTGTGTCCCCCCCCTTTGCGCAATGTAAATGAAGCAGTACAGACATGAAAGCAAGTTACAGTGATAATTTTATAGTACTTAATAATTAAAAAAAAGATCGAGGAATTAAAAGAAAAAAAAATCATCAAGCTTCTACGATGCAGAATGCCGTCACTTATTAATTGGTGTATTCAAGATTAGATAAACAAGTTCAAGCCCTTAAAACATTGAGTTCGAGTGTATGAAAACTTGATCATCGGATCAATAGTTATTTAGGGTGTTTAACTTTTTTATTTTGTGCACTGTACATGTACATTTTGGTATTTTTTATTTAATTATTTATTATTTTTTACAATTTTCTTTCTTTTTTTAGAATGTTATCTGAAATAGAATTTACACTTGGTTGGTGGCATTTAATGACCTCATCAGCAGTTGATGCATCAGAAGCTTCCATTTATGTTTTATCAAAAGGTTATACTCGCTCGGACATGCAAATTATTGAGGTATTTCTGCAAAATTATTTGTGTCTATCTTTTTCACAAATCATTCTTACACTTTATAATAACTATAAATTTCTTTTTTTTTATTTTTCTTTAGAAACTTTACAAGTTGTGGAAAAAATGAAAGAATGCCTACCTTTTCATGCTGCATTTTAACAAATTACATTCTAGTTTTAGATTAATTTTATTTGATGTTATGTTTTGTGCCATACGATTTTTTTTTATACATACAGCTCAATTTTTTTGTATTCTCATTTGAAAATTTCAAGATGTTCTCTTGAAATTTAATTATGTTGAAAGATTTATTTTTAATAAATTGTTTTTAATATTTTTGTATATACATTTTCTATAACTGAAAAACTTTTTTTTCTTGAAAATTATATTCAATTCTTTTTTTTTTCAATTAAGTCACGATTAATATGAGATATAAGCCGTGAGAAACATTTAAAAAATTACAGGTTACACCAAAAAAGGAAATTGCAATTAAGGATGTATTGTAAAGGTGAGATAAAATATTGCTTTAACATTTTCTATAATAAATTGATTTTGTAAAAATAATCATTACTCCCCCCTCCCCCCAAAAAATACAAAAAACCTTTAGTCCATTAAAAGTTGCAACTAAAATCACATATTTACCAAAAAAATCTTAGTCGAAATATTTGAATTTCTGGGAATAAAAGAGTAAAGTTCAATTTTTTTTGGAACCAAAAATGCAAGTTTGAAATGTTTTGTAATAGCATAAAAGTAAAACAAATTTTAATTTTTGAGTTAAAAATATATAAGTTTATAATGTAATCCTGATAGTAACTAAACTATTAGGATCATATTTTCAAGATTGTTATTGTCCAGGTTGTCTACCCTCCCCCTCTATGTTTTGAGAGTCAAAAGCCTATATCTATCAACAACAAAAAAAAGGGAAACTATATATTTAATACACTTTTGAATTTGACTTTGTGTATATTTAATACACTTTTGAGTTTGACTTGGTGACTTTTAAAATATAGTTTAAAATAAACTTAAATAAAAAATTATAAATATTTACTAAAAGTTATTTTTTACATGGAATTATCTTTTTATAAATGAATTATTTTGCAATTGAAATTTTGAATTTCATTTATTTTTTGTGTAAAAATTTTTCGATCCGCTATGGCGAAATACACAATAAGTAAAATTAACATTAAGGAGTCCAAATTTTGGAATGCTCTTTTGACAAACTATGGGGACCATATTTTTTAAATTGTGGTTACCCCCTATATTTTAGGAGTCAAAGATCCACATCATCAGCCAAAATAAGATATGTTACAGAGAAATTACGTTTTTTGCGTCTATTTCATGACATAAAATATCGTCTGCACTAGTTAATTAGCTTATTTGAGGTCAACCTTGGAACCATTAAGATTCAGTCCTAGAATGTGAGGATCTGATGAGATTAGATCAAAAGTTTATCAGTTTCGTCCGTTTTTTTTTCCTTTTTTTTTTTTTTTGCACTCTATGTCGAAATCTGATCACTATATCAAAAGGTAATTAGGTGTGACTTTTTTTTTTATTGTATGCACTGTTTATAATTATTACATATGAGATCACTTTCATGTCAATAAACTGACCAAAACTTCACGTTGATATACCTAAATTCATGCCTAGAATCTCTGTGACTTAACTGATGAAAAAATGGTTTCAGAAGTTTCAAACTGCAGGACAATGATATAAAAGAACATAAATTGAGCTTAGATCTTAGAGTAAGTACACATTTGGCTCTCTGACCATTCTAAATTGTGTTGCATTATATAGATAATTAAAAAGCATGAAGTCTGAAAGAATACTGTGTATAAATTTATGCTTAAAATCACATATGAAATAATTCGAAATTGCTTGAATCTGATCTTAGCTTATTGATTTTTTTTTTTTAATATGACTAAGCAGAGTTGTACAATGATTTAAACTTTCAAGGGGCATAGAAGTTTTGAATAGTGCTCGACTTCGCGAGCAGGTCGTCGGGCTACCGAAGCGGGGGTGCCATCCCCTCCGCAGAGGATCAAAATTGTGATGGCATGTCTTCGGATCATCCTCCGGGATGTTTCCCAGACCGTCGCCAATAGCCCACTGTGCAGCTCTAGTGCGACGTAAATTAACAACAACAGAAGTTTTGAAAAAAAAGAGGTTTAAAAAAAGAAAAAAAATGCAAGTTACGACTTGTTTTATTTGGAGTGATTTGATATCAATTATAAGATAATACAAAAAAACTTCCAAAGTTATAGCAAAAACGCTGAAATTTACTCAGTGAAAACAGAAAATTAAACATACATTTTCTTAATTCGAATCATCTGCAAACCCATGTCTTTGGTTTATTAAAAATTTTGTCTTTGAATCTGTTTTTCTGAATTCAAATTTTTCATCTATCTATATATATATATACACTGAGTGGCCAAATTATTATGACCACCTCAGAGTTTTATGCAAATGAGTTATTGCGTCACAGCACTGCCGCTAGAGGGTAAGATAACTATAACACGGGAATGCTGGACAAGTGAGTCATCAGTTATAATGTGTTGCTTGCTCAGATATGGGAAAGAAAAGTGATTTAACTGAATTTAGCAGAGATTTNAGCCTCACCACTGACCCTGCTCCCAGTCCCTGGGGACAGACAGTGAGTCCGGAGCTTTTCAGCTACCCGTGATGGCCATTTATGTTAAATGTAAATAAATAAATAAATACAAAAAAAACACGCGGATAATTATAAAAAAAACAATAAGTTTCATTTATTGCGCATAAGCTGCAAGTAAACAGAACTCATTAGATGGGTTCAAAATGAAGATAAACAAAGGAAAATTACAGACAAATGAAAAAAAGGGGGGGGGGAGAGAAAAAATAAAAATAACAACTGAAGAAAAAAAAAATTTTAAAAACCCGTAAAATAAAAGATATAATCTTTTCATCAGCCCTCACGATTATATCCGCAAAAATTTCACGTTTATGTAAGTACATTTGAATTCGCTACTCGCTTTATAGATGATTTATATCGCTTATATTTCATCTATGTTTTATTCTGTTTTTTATTTTATTTTCTGTTTTTATGTGTTATTTTTACTTTTTGTGTTCTATTTTATTTGTTGTAATTTTTGTAAAAAAAATTTTTTAGTGCTCCTCACACTATTGTATTAATATATTTTGCTTTGGCTATATTGATACAATATCAGTAAGCACTCTTTTTTGCGGTTATAATCGTGTGGGCTGATAAAAAGATTATATCTTTTATTTTCCGGATTTTTTTAAAAAAAATTATCGTTTTTTTTTCTCCCTCCCCTTTTTTTCATGTCTGTAATTTTCCTTTGATTATCTTCATTTTGAACCTATATATATATATGTATATATATATAATAGCAGGCCTACATCCTTGTTATTGTTGTATTCAGCTTGAATAATTCAGTCGTAAACCATATACGTTCTCAAAAGGTTTATTCAAAGGTAGACTGGCGGTTATAACAGTTCACATCCACACTCCACAAGGGAGGGGTGTGGACAAAACTCCGGATCGTTCCGTCAGATCTTGCAGGAAACACATTATTCAGCAAGAGACATGCCAAAACCATCGCTCCCGCATTAAATACTAATGGAAAATGAGTAAAGAGGCTCAGTCTTGTAACCTTACACATTAAGGAAAATCATTTAATACTTCCTAATATGGAAGTGAAAGAGGGACAAGATTCTAAAAATGACTCCTCCTTTGAAATATAAATCTACTTATAATTCAATGGTATTTTTTCAGCCTTGAAGTCCCAAAATAGAATTTCTACACCTATTCTTTACCAANAATCATTTAATACTTCCTAATATGGAAGTGAAAGAGGGACAAGATTCTAAAAATAACTCCTCCTTTGAAATATAATTCTAATTATAAGTCAATGGTATGTTTTCAGCCTTGAAGTCCCAAAATAGAATTTCTACACCTATTCTTTACCAAAGACATTTTATGAAAACGAAAGAGTTTTAATGTTGTTATTAATACAAAAGTATTTATAATTTTTATATTACATATACATATATATATGTATAAAAGTCATTTAGTCTTCATTTAATTTATAACTCATCCACCGAAAATAAATTACTTAAAATACATCTGAACAATAATTACACACACACACACACACATATATATATATATATATCAAAATATTTTTTTCATGACTGGAGGGCAAATCAAAAGACATTTTCAACTATCCTTTTCTCCTTGTTATTTAAATATAAGACAAATCTATGAGGGAATTTTAAAGTCAAAAATCTTAAAATATGAAGGTTTAATGTGCTGCATTTAGTTGTACAGAAAAATTTGTCAAAAAGAGGATTTTATACATTTTATAGGTAAGTTAATTTATCTCTTTTTGGAATTACATGTTTTATTTATTAAAAAAAAATGGACTTTAAGGATGTGCATCTTTTTCTTAAAGCATCTTAACCATAAAATAATGATTATATAGAATTATTTATTATTAATATATATATATATATATATTTAGTTTTAGTGCTAAAATGAGTTGTCAAAGATTTTTGCTACTTGGTTTATTACGTTGAATTTTTTCTGTCTATTATGCTTTTGAATGATTATTTTTTAATTTCAATAGCTTTGTTTGAATTAATTTAGTTAATAAAATGCATTTGCTCTCAGAGAAGAGGGATTATGAAAGATTATTACAAAACCAATTGATAAATAGGGAAAATTCTTTGATGAAATCGTCAGATCTTTTTAAATTGAAATAGTCTTTTTATTTTTTGACACCTTGAAGTGTCTAAAATTATTTATTGTAAACATTTTCAAAATTTCCAAATACCAGATACATTTTAATAAAAGATATCTATGACTTTACAAGATTCAGTACTATTGTAAAATATATACTAGATTATAAATTTTAACACGATTTTGATATGCTTCATTTTCGATAAATCAATAAAAAAAAATAATTTACAGGGATGTTACAAAATAATTTCAGATTTTTCTGAAAACTACTGAATTGTAAAAAGTTTTTACCAAAAGACACATTTTTACAGTTTTTAAAACTATTGAAAAAAAAATTCTTAATTTTGTAAAAACGTTAAACAATTTTTTACAGTTTATAAACATTAAAAAATTAGAATTTTAAAATAATTTTTAAGCTAGTAAAGTCTTGTTGAAAAATGATCAAATTTATTTTACTGTTCCGCTAATTTTAAGAGGACGCTAGACAGCGAAAGAAACTTTTTATGGCGAATTCTGTTCAGATCAATTAGTATTTTAAAATTTAGAAAAAATTCAAAATGCAATTAAATTATTGCAGGATTACTTCCCCCAATAAATTATCTTGCCATAATTCGTTTGGCTTTAGGTATTTTGAATTTTTTTTTTTCAGTATTTGAAACTTCATGGTTTACTTTAGGTGTACTTGAATTAATTTTTCCCAAAATTTTAAATTAAATATGATAGTGAAAGAGAATTTTCCATCAAGCTTTTCCCCCTCAGTATAGTATCCTCTTAACGCTCCTGAAGTTTTAAACTTTCCTCCAATGCTTATATAAGTTAGAGAGGGTATTTTTCTGGAACAGGTATTTTGTACCAGTTAATGAATCATACCTGTTATATAAATTACATGTTATTTCCAGAAGTCTGTTTCGAAATACTAGGCAAAAAATGTGATTCAATTATGTTGTCAAAAAAAAAAAATTCTACTTTTTATAGTGTTTAAACTGTTCTTAAGCCATCTTTGGACACTTCTAAATAAGAAAAAAACTAAAAGTTTGCTTTTTTTTTTCCAGAAGAAAGTCGTCGCCAGACCTAAAAGGCCCTGAAGTTTGCTATTTCTGCAGAGCCCCTAGGAAAGTAGATAACACAGAAACTAGTTCGGTTTTTGTTTAAATAATTATATTCGATAATGGGATCTTTTTTTTTCGAATTCCTAAAAATGAAAAAAAAAATGAATAATTTTTTAAATCTATTGATTTCACGAGTTATCTGTTACAAAAAAGACTAACCAAATTTCTTTAATAAAAAAAAAAGCAGTTAAATTTTTTTTAAAGACCCGTTATTTCGGAAAAAATATTTGTAACCGATATGATTTCGTATCGTAAGGTCATTAAATGAGATAAAATAAATATTAATTATAAGTTTTTGAGAAATAGAAATTTAAAAGTCAGGATTTTTAGAAATATCATTCTTCAAAAATTATTAGACCAAATTCACCCGAATTTTGGATTTAAAATATTTGCTTTTAGAAATACATAATTTAAAATAATGTAAAAATTTTTATACTTTTGAATATTAAAAAATACACATTCTAAAAAAATTACATTACATCTAAAACTTTCCACCACTCCCCTAAATAAACCATTGGAAAATTATTTTCCAGATTGCGGCAAAGTCCAATTCCGTCAAGATAAAAAAAAAACACGTTAATTCAGAGGAAATTACGATTGTGTGTCCGATTTCGTAACTTAAAATATTGTCTGCTCTAATTTGTTAACATATTTTACTTTAGATTCTCGAACCATATTAGTGCGTGAAAATACAAAGATCGAATTTTAGAAAGTTGCTCTGTTATGTTATTTTGCATTCTAAACATCAATATAAAAGTTGTTTTTTTACGCTTCAATAGTTTTCAGGTGTTATCATGCATTATTTCATAACGTTTACTTATATTACGTTTTAGTTAATAAGAAGGAGGGATTATTTTTCTTGTTAGAAATGATAAAATTTAATTTAGTGATGCGACTTGAAAAAAAAATTATGTAATTTCTTTTAGGAGTCATTGAGATTCTAAACTTGGCAAATAATTCACATTCACCCTGTACTTATAACTAAAATAAAGTTATTAGAATATTAAATCTATCAGCTACGATCATCTCCATGAACGAGCTTCATCTTTCAAGGCGAAATGTAACCTTCACGTTGTAAATTACGTATAATTAAAAAAATGGCATTTTTCTGTAAAACAGGTCATGGATACTTCCTCAAACAAATAGGTGAAGAAAGGTAAAACAATTACCATTTTTCTAAGCGCTTCACTAGCTTTTTTTCTTACGAAATCTAACCTCTAGCGGAAAGGCGATTGGGATTGCCAATTGATCTTGATATTGCGTATTAATTTCATAACATTATTCAAGTATAAGCTTGCAATTTGTTGCGTCAAATCATGTTTCGTTTTTTCTTTTAAGGTTTATAACCCTATGCAAGTGTTAAAAAAGAAAATATTGATGTTTGCAGAAATCTTATAATGGTGCCAGTCAATTAGTATTCTTCGTTGCTAAGACGACAATTTGCAGTTTTATTAATTTAATTCTAGACCATTTTTCAAATCGTTAAATTTTTTTTATTTACAAATGGTTTTATTTAAGATTTTCTTCAGTTTTAAAAACTTATTATTATAGATTCACGTTTCTATAGCAACGGTGAATAACAAGTGATCCTTAATATGGTGTGAAAAATTGTAGAAAGAAAGCAACATTAACAAATCAGTAATCAATTTCACCAATAATCGATTGTGCTATTGAATAAAATCCGCAAATCAGTTTAAAAACCTGTAATTTCTGTATTTCTGTATGCCAGTCCATGATCATATTTATTTTTGGTTCTAAAACTTTACACAAGCAAATTACATTTCGATTTTTTTTTAAGTGTTTCAATAACAATTTCACAAGAAACTCGCAAAAATTAAATTTTTATCACGCTGCGTTAATATTAAATTTTAATGAAATTCCTTAATATTATTACCTTCTGCGCAAGTAGGCTTTTTGGATAATTTTCAATGATTTTGTAATTGTGAAAATGGCAAGAACTAAAGTTGCATTTTAGTTTTCTAGCTTGAAAATTGAAGATGGAAAACGGCACTCCCCATAAGCGTTTTCTTTATACCGGTTTTATTAAATAATCAGTCACCAGCAATAACATTATTCATTTACTATAGTTATAATTTATTTACAGTTAATATCAAAATTATTTTGTGGACTTCCGGTGTTATTTAAGCTGATCTGCAGTGGTCCACGGTTTCGAAACTTTTGCTCAAATTTTAGCAAGCATTTTGTCTGAAATTCAGCGCATAGTTTCCAATTATACATTGCAGTACTAACAATAATCAGCAATTGAACTTAACTAACAATTATATTTAAATCATTGATTTCTAGACTAATCATGCTATACGCAATATCACAATTTGTAGTTTTATGAAATTAATTCAAATCGCGAACTAGCGTCTAAATCAGCATCTCTATAAGTCAATTATAGTATCTGTATAAGTAATATCGCACAACTGTTTGATTTAATACACACTTTACTTCTACTTTACTTTCTTTATTTTTACTTTGCATAAAACATAAAGGGCATGAAGGAGAAACACCTGACGAATAACGTATGAAGAAATAAGTGCCGAAATTTGAAAAATGCTTTTATAATTGTAAAAAAAAAAATTATACTTTAAATTAGATTTTATAAATAATAAAAATTATGCTGTATTTAAAATAAGTATTTATAGAATAAAAACACTCATTGTACGTTTGCAAATGCGAAGAACAATAATAGCGAAGCGGTTGCAATTGCGAAGAACGCGCTAAACAATGGGGGATCATTATTTCTTCTGACACTCCGCACATTGTAAGCAGGAAAATTTTGTCAGAAAAATAATAATAATAGTACATAATAGAAAAACGTATTTAGATGAGAAAACTATTCAATGCCACTCCATTGCTAAGCAACAGAACAGAGGTATAAAATTCTTTCAATTGTATGCCTGCAAATGACACGTCATTGTAGGCAAATCGTGGCATTTATCGATTCAGAAGCCAATGTGATTCGACACACACGCGTTACGTCAGCACAAGTCTCCAATATAGGTATCCAATTAAATCTGATTTAAATGGCACGGTTAGGCATAATCACTTCACTTCTTCTAGAGATGCAAGTGCCCAATTTTTTAGTTAATTCCAGAATTTTTTTTTTAGTGGTAAATAATTAGCAACGAGCTTGTCCGATAAAAAAATTCCTCGAAACACAGCGGCTATTCCTTTGTTCTTTCCTAAGTAATGTTTGCAACTATAAAGTAAAAAAAATATTTTAAGCTGTTTGAAAGATATGAAAGACTGATAAATAATTAAGAAGTTGAGATGTAAATTAATAGGAACTTTTATTTTAAAAACTGTAAAGAAATACAGAAAAACAATATCACTACAAGTATTTTCAATATTGTTAAAAAATAGTTTTAAATATTCAATTAAAAAAAATTATAGCAACTACATTATTTGAAGAACAAATTTGCTGTTAATAAAATTTATATTTTAGATCTATTAAAATATTTTTGATTAAATAAAAATTATTAACTCATAGTACCATAATGTTTAACTTTAAATATATGATAGATTATATAATTATACTATTTAAGTTATAATTTAAGATCACCCTTACCATAAAATAATTGTTTACAATGTTTGCTGTTCTGCACTTTCCATGCAATGCTGCTACAATTTTTAAAAAAAATATTATTTAGTGCCACTAGAGTAATGTTTATTATACACACATAAAAATAACTGACTGTACAATACTGTTATATTACATATGTATAAATATATAATTAAACTTATGCAAAATAAAGTATGTAATTCTTAAACTGAATACAATACAACATCACTGACAACTCGATTCAATGGCACAATAAATGGCACCAAGCTATCCACCTGGCTTGCTTCATTTCTAGAATTCACCTTCAAAAGGCAGTTTAAAATTCCTAGCCAACTGGCACGATTTCGTTACAGCACATTTGACTGACATATATAAAATGGTTAAAAAAATTTCAAGATTGTATAGGCTTCCAACCACCCAGTTTCTTTTCAATATATTCTGCAATGCAAAGACACAATCTGTCATTACCTGGTCCAGCCACGACTTGGACACCAAATGGTAAACCGGAAGAATTAAAACCTATGGGACACTGAGTGCAAGGTAACTGAGCAGCGTTGAAAACAGTCGTGTAGCTGAGATTGAAGAGATTGGCCAGCATTTGTCCATGGTGCGGGGCAACATGAGGAAATGTTGGATAAATGAAGACTGCGTTCTCGTTTTCCAGCATACTCAGCAACTCAGCTTTAAGATGATCCCCGCAACGCATGAGAAAATCTAAAGGCTTTTGAAACAGAGGAGCAAGATGATCTTGGGCACACGCATTTAAGATCACTGGGAATGTGTGTTCCGATTTTCCTCCAAACCATTTACACATTTCTAGGTAGGGACCGTCTTCCTTAACTTTTACGTTGCCCTTCATGAGTGTGGAGATACGCTGGTTTTTGACAGTAGATAAATAAGAAAGCCAGATGAGAAATCCAAGTTTTGGATATTTCAAGTTGACTTCCTCAACGACTAGACCTTCCATGCCAAGCATACTTGTAATCTGTAAATCGACAAAGCAATCTTGAAATTTTCAAACAACTATTTAATTTATTACAATTTCAAAATAACATCTTACAATTTTACTATTAAATTGTGATATAATTAAAAGTAAAACACGCAAACAACGGTCTAGAGGTCATGAAGTGTCACAATTGGATCAGACAGAATATTCTGCCACAATTTTGTGACCAACGGCATAGTTGTGGTAATATCGATAGTGTAGCGCATAGACAGACTACTTGCCAGGCAGAGCTAAGGCCAACCGATCAGAAGGCTGTTTGGGTTTTGAGCCGTCAGACGAGATAAAACTAAGAATGATATCAGGAATATTATCTCGTTCCTAACATATTAATATTAGATTTGTTTCGTGGAAAGACATTCAATGTATTTTGCAAACATCTCAAATCATGCAAAGTTGCCATGGAGATTGTTCTTAACACACTCAAACTTGAAAAGCAATTAAAAATATGAATTGTATATTTTATATGTTTGTATTAACATTGATTAATGAATTGGCTGTAAAGAAAAATAATTGGTGAGTTGAAGGGCAAATTTTGTAAATAGCCTCTAAACACTTAATGACATACTGTTGATAAGGAACTATTTTCGTTATTATGCCTCATATCAATTGTGTCTCGCCACAATTGCGTCCCATGACAAATGTGTCCAGTGTTATTATGCCAATCTTGCCGTATAACAAATCTGCAATTCTTTTTCAAGGCTTTAAAATGAGATTTTACTTTTGTCTGATCTTAATATTTTTAATCGTATATCTTTTGGGACATTCGCCAATTTAATAATATAACCGTATGGCACAGGCAAATCACTAGGGGGTTTTTCTTACTTTTTTTGAGTAAAGATTAAACGGACAAATATAATTGCAGGAGAATCATGTTTGAAATATTATTATTTTTTATGTATTGAGACGTTTAATTGACTAGCTCTAAAAATAATCGATTTTCAAGTACGTTGAATTATGAAGTGTAAATTCATATCGTTAGAATAACGAATTTAATCAACTCATTTTAAAAAACAAAATTGTCAGTTGCTCCGTTTTTTCTTCAGGAACTTACAGATATGTTTTAATTATGCCTTGTAAATAAGAAAACTCACTTGTTTGATTCCTTCCTTAATTTCGGAAGAAACAGGAGTAGGAGCAGGTGATCCCCCATCATCCAACATGTAATACACTTTTATTGATTGAAGTTCAACCTAAATTTTAAAATAAAGTTAAAGAGCTTTTTGAAGTTATTTATATTTTTAAAAAAAGTATGAGTTAATAACTTCTTTGCACTGCAAGTAAATAAAAGCGACTAATTTAACAAATTCGATGTATATATAAGTACATTTAAATTTCCTTATTATCCTAATTCAAAAAATACACAACTTTTAAATGAAAATGAATAAATGTGAACTAATACCAACATTACAAAACATTAAACAACAAAAACATTACCGGCAGATTTAGTTTCAAACGATAAACACCTTCTGGTCCAACAAGAGCAGAGAGTAACAATTTCAAATCAGAAACATAACGCCCCATCGGGCCAACAACGGCATACCGTCCAATTTCATCTAAAGCTGGAGGATATTGCCCTTCACTTGGTACATATCCTGATAAAGATGCATTAATATAATAAAAATATTTTAGGATTAACATGTTAAAGTATAAAATAAAACAAAACGCAATTATGGCTTCCAATTACTGACAACTCAGTTCTAGAAACTTAAGACTATACATATGAAATTTCAATCAAATTATTGGAGAAATTCTTGCATTACATTTTTTGAAAAGTTAAAGTTCGGAATAAAAGTCGTTTTTTTCCTTTTTTTAAAGGAGGATATAATAATACTTTAAACGAAAAATTAGGCACTACCAATCCTACGAAAATAATATTTAATAACCTATCGTCACAACTCAAAAATATATTAGAGCATTGGTCTATAAATATTAAAGGTGTTTAAAATGCATAAAATAAAAATTTAAAAAACTTTGGTTTTTTCAAATGAAATATTTTATTTTATTATCGGTGTAAAAAAAAATTTAAAAACAATTAAAAAAAAAACCTAAAGCATATTATCTTTGCCATAAACTTCAATCACTACCGAAAATTTCTACTCGAAAGTGATACACCTTATGTTTCTCATCTTAGATCTGACATAAATAACTTTCTTCTTTTTAGTCAACTCGAAAATACTTTTAAAAGCTTTTTTCATTTCATTTTATTTTATTTTAATTCTGCAATTTAGTTTTTTCTAAGTTAAGACTCATCTAGTGACAGACATTGCCACAATCAGTCTCTTTCCTTAGATGGGCCCGAAATTTTTATCGTCAAATACCTAATTTCGTTTAGGGATAAATTTCTGCTGATCGTTAGAAAGGGGTGATTGAAACTTGTCTGAGACAGAAATGCAACTGAAATTTTATCCCTCTAGTTAACCAGAAAGTGGTTGAAATTTGGATTTCACCCTCAGACATTAAAGCGAGTTAATAAAAACGTAGTAAAATATTCCTACGTAATTGAGGTTGCGTTAATTGTTCATTTTAATCTATTTTGGTTTAATTTTCGCAATGCAAGTGAGATTTATTTTTGATATGTAATGAAATGAGTTTTAATCTAGGACATTTTCTCGCCAAGATTTGAGATAATTTTTTAATCATTGAAACTTTAAAAAAAAACATTTCTTTTTAAGCATTTCACAATGAGACATATATGTTTACAAATAGTTAAAGAAATTTCTATATTTCATAGATAATTCACTGAAATTAAATCTCAATTAATTAAATATAAAATAACATTTAGAGCTGATAAATAAAGTTATAATTATTCATTTTAAAGTTTCTTGCAGCAAAAAAAAGAAAATTTTTCAACACCTAATTTTCAAATAAATACTTAGTTCAAAAATATTTCAAATAAACATTTTAACATTTCACTCAATTTATACAGTGTTAAGAATCAAACATGCCAACAATAAGTAATTTGAAAAGCATCTTAGTAAGCGCAGCTAGAAAGCAAATATATATTTCAAACAGCTGTTTGACGCATCTGTAAGCAAGAACCATACCTGCCACGATTTAGCCATATTTATTTTGTAACTTTAAAAACAATAATCATACCTTTCTGTTTCCGAACGCGACATACTCACCCTGAGATGGTTTGTGTCCGAAAATCCCAGTGAAGAAAGACGGGAGACGAATGCTTCCTCCTAAATCAGTTCCCACTCCTATAACTGAACCGCCAGAAGCAATCAGTGCAGCTTCACCACCTGCAAAAATTAACACGTTAAAAAAATTCGGTACATGTTTTATAACCGGCGATGAACAGCCGACCTGATTCTGAGTTTACGACTGTCAATGTTCAACTCCGTAGTCTTGTAATGTTTAACCCAACACAGAAGACAAGGTTGAATCAGACATTGGGACAAACTATCCTTCGTGGAGTACTTTTTTGACGAAACTAACCCACATTTGCGGGAGAGAAAGACCTCTCATGATTAGCCCCACGACAAGGAAATTCCAATTCACTGTCTACCACTGAGTATATTTTACGTCAGCAATGTAGTCGGCCTGATCCCAGAGCAGAATTCGTATCAACAAGCAGCTGCTGGGATTCGAACCTGAGTTACTTCAATGGGAAGCCACTGCTCTATCTCCTGAGCCACCGCGGCTCGAACAGTACATATTGGGAGTACAAATTAGTTCGGTCCGTTTTTTTTTTTGTGGTCAAAAATGAATTTATTTCAGAACAAAATGAATGAGCAGATTAATCAAAGTATTGTCCATCTCTGGGCTACTACTTCTTCCCACCTCTCAGGTAATTTTCGAATTCCATCTCGAAAAAAATGTCTCGTCTTTTGAGGCGATCCAAGTTAGGAGCCATTTTCGATTTCTGCGAAAGAAGTGAACAGGTGACCTGCCAAATCATGCTGCCTCCGTCGGAACAACCAGTAATCAGAAGGAGCAATGTCCAGCGAATAAGGCGGGTGCGGTAAAATATATCACTTGAGCGTTTCCAAATAATTTTTTGCGACATGAAACCGAGCGTTATCACGCAGAAGAATAACTTTGTCATGTCTTTGCACGTATTCCGGTCGTTTTTCTCGTAATGCACTGCTCAAATGAATCAACTGTAGCCTATACCGATCACCCGTTATAGAATCACCAGGTTGTAGCAGCTCATAGTATACAACACCATTCTTGAAACGTTGAAACCATTCCCTACATGGTTTATCAGTTGGAGCATTGTCACCATAAACTTCTACAAGCATTCTATGTCCTTCAGCTGCACTTTTCTTCCAATTAAAGCAGAAGCATAAAACCTCTCGCAAATGTTGCTTAGTTACCACAAATTTTGACATATTCAACAAAGTAAAAAACAGGGTTTTTGTGTGAAAGCTAAAGTGATATAAACTGAATATTGACAAATGTCTAACCTCTCTGAAAGCACCGAAACCAGCTGTCACTATGAAACATTCATAACAGCCAGACCCATCTTTTAAAAACGGACCAAACTAATTCGTACTCCCAATATTTTCTTTTCAATTACTTATATTACACTCGTGGCAAACAAACCCTTAAGCATTGTTTATAGTGCCAGCTGTTCCCAAATAATGTTTCGCGTACCTGAGGTTTTTGGAATCCTAAGGTCCTATGGAAAAGTTAGGACTTTTTTTTTTATATATCCAATTACGATTAATTTGCAATTATATTTACAACATGTTCCGTCAATAATCCAATATTTTGTTAACATTTTGATTATTTTCATGAATAATAACTAAAACACTGAAAAAAAGAATATTTTCATTGGTTAATATTTTCACAATTGCTAACGTGCTTGATTTATAAAGTCAGGTTTCTGCTAAACACCGGCCGATCAGGTTTTCATAGCCGAATTCCGATTTAGGTTTCCATAGACGAAAAAATTTGGGGACTGCTGGTCTATACTACGACATATATTGTTCCAGCCACGATAGATTGTTCGCATTCATATTGTTTACAATCTTGTTAAAAGAGACAACAAATTATTGCAAAATCTATTGATAAGAATGTTAATAATTATGAAGAATTTAATCAGAAAGCATTTGAACATTCCTTAAATTTATATTTTGAAATAGCTTTAAAAATGCGCCATGGTAAAAATATATATAAGGACAGTTAGGCTTACTTATTGGTATGTATTAGTTCCGAGTATTTTTGTTTTAACTTGTAACCCTCTCTTAATATTTCTGATTCTTTTATTACCCCAACACACGTTTCCAATTTTTTTTATCCTTTAAAGACACTGTAAAATTGCTTATAAATTTGACGCAGAAGATGTCATAGTTTAATACCTTCGATAATCATACTTACGAATTTAAATATTTAACCTTAAAAGTGTTCTCTTTTCATATTGTTTTTATATTGTTATATTGAAAGTACGTGAAAATCCGATCATAAGAGCAAAAGTTATTCAGGTTCAGCGTTCCCCCCTTTGCGCATTGTACATGAAACAATACCGCTGTGCAAGCAAGTTACAATGATAATTTTGTAGTTCTTCTTAATAAAACTAAAGATCGAAAAATAAAAATAAAAAAATGGTCAATCGCTTACGATGTAGAATAATCTGAATGCAGATATGTGCCCCCGTACCTGACGTCCTTGCGTATGAAACAATATCATGGTAGAAGCAAAATATAGTGATAATGGTGTTCAAATGAATAAAGTAAGAAAGTAGAAAAAAAAGAGTCAACGTAAGAAATTAAATAAGCTTTTATGAAGGCCAAGCTACAGACAGAATATGCAGAATTAAGTCTCTGTAAAACTGGTTACTTTTTGTACGAAAGAATGTTACGGAAAAAACAAGTTAGGAGAATTTTTTACTATTATTATTTATTTATTTATTTTGGGCATAACTCATAATGAAGCTGACCAGCGCCCTCCGAAAACTAAAAGACTGGCGAAAAAAATTTTAACAGAACATTTAAAAACTCACCTTTTTACCTCACCAATTATTTAAAAAAAATTCTCTTTTTTGTTCCTTTTGGGACTTAAAAGAGATTATTAGAGTTCTCTCAGAGACTTTTGTTTTCTATTAGAAAGAGGGCATAGCTCAAAATGCTCGTGTAAATAAGTGAATATACATCTTTAAATGCTTATTTAAATGGACATAAATAAAAAGTGCGTATTTAAGAAAATGGGCAAATCAAAAAGGCACTCAAAATGCGACTTTTCAATGTTAAAGAGTGAAAACCAAACTTTTCGAAGCAAATAGATTTGGAATTTTACTAACTTTTTTAAGCAATAAAAACAATTATGCCATATGGAGAAGCGCTGGCTCAGGGTATTCAGCGTTATACCAGCGTATTACCAATTGCAGCATATACCTCCCAATTCGACCCAGGTTCGAATCTGGTTGATACGAATTCTACTCCCGGCTCGAACCAACCACAGTGATGACGTAAAATATCCTCAGTGGTTGACGGATCATGGGTTACAATCCCCTTTGCCGTTGGTTTAACCATAAAAGGTTTTCGTGGTTTCAATCCCCATGTAACGCTAATGCGGTTTAGTTCTACGCTAATGCGGTCTATCAAAAAAGTCCTCCACGAAGGCTAGTTCGTCCGAATGCTTGATCCAGAAGTCCCCTTGTCTTCTGGATTGGATTCAAAATTACAAGGCTGCGAGTTGAACATTGATAGTCATAAACTCACAAAAGGATCTGCTATTCAATGCAGATAATAAAATAAAATAAATTACGTATTACGAAGCGAAGCCCCCGTCACGCGATTCCCATTTCGGAGACGATACGGCTGAGTTCATTCGTTCATTGCATTGCAATTGTATCTTTTGAGTCGTCATTGAGTTACATAAGTGTGACTTTGTGTAAATTTCTTTAAAACTCTTCTTTTTTCTTTTTTTGCGAAACAATTTTTAAGAGCATGAGAAACATTTATCATGAAATAAAAATATTTCCGGTATCAGAAAAATTTTTTGTCTCCACGTGCCATTAATCTTATGAAAACTTCACGGGGAAAAAAAATAATAAACAGTTTCCTCTTGAGTCTTTCTTATTTTTAAATAAAAATGACTAAAATGAAACAAACTTCGATATTTTATTGTATTTTTGAACACTTCAACACATTTGCAATTGCATAAATGCAATGCACAACGCAATTTTTTGCATCATTTAAAAAAAAATATCTAATTTTACTTGACAAAATACAAAATTTGAGCAAAATTGGTTGAATAGTTCCTGAGAAATCGAAGTTTAGAAAATTATATTGGAAATTCGATTTTTCCGGAACTATTCAACCTTCGAATCAAATTTTGTATTTTGCCATGTGAAATCAGATACTTTAAAATTATGTAAAAAAATTGTATACCTTAGAACTCAAAAATTTTTCGACTGGTATTAAATGAAAAATAATAAATATTTACTAACATTCTTTTTTTGCATGGAATTATCTTTGGATAAAAGAATTTTATAATTGTGGGCAAAAATTTTTCAATTTGTTAAAAAAGTTGTGGAGATCTGGCGAAATACGCAAAAAATAAAATTAATATTAGGCGATCCAAACTTTGACTCGTTCTCCTAATCAAACTATGGGGACCACATTTCACTGATTGAGGTTACCCTCTGTATTTTGGGGGTCAGATATCCGAATCCATTGTAAAAAAGGTATGCTTGTTCAGAAAAAATGAGTTTTTGTGTCTGATTTCTTAACGTAAAATATCTTTTGCAATAATTAACATATTTGAGGTCACCTTTTTGAACCATTAAAATTGAGTCCTAGAACGTGAAGATCCGATCATTAGATCAAAAATTATTCAGAATAGTCCGGGTTTTTTTCTTCTTTTTCTTTTGCGCATTGTACACTGTTAGTATCACTATTATAAATTTATAAGAACGGTGATAACTCGGAAAAAAAAACTTAAATTTGATGGGGGGGAAAAAAGATTTCTCGCTACAATAAAATGTTGCTAACGACGCCGCTGTCGCTGTTTTGGGTATTCTATATTTCGTTACTTTTTGTTTTCCTACGCTAAAACTAAGATTTAGAAACTTGAAATTACGTATGTGGGAAAACGCAAAAAGAGTGCAATGGACTGGGGGTGAAAATAGTTAATAATTCAGAAACTATTTCTAGAAACCTTTAGTAAAAAATAAAATATGGACCACTCAGCAGTTCACAGAGATGATAAAAATAGAATTTAAATTTGACGTGCCGAGAGAGGTCTGTTTTTATTTACGCACTGAGAGAGTTATTTTCGAAAGTTCAAAAGTTATTGTAATTTTAAAAAGTTTTTTTCGCAAATTTTTCTTAGTTTTTCATTTTTCGTTTTAAAATATTGTTCCAAGAAAAATGTATTTAACGATCCCAAGGTTTTTATTTTCATACTCGTCCTTTAGTTGATGCCGAAAGTAACAAAAAAAAATTATTGATATAGTCAGATATAAATCTTAGCATTTATATTGAATTTTTTAAAAGACGCCTGTTTTTTTCATGAAATTACGCATAACTATGACGCTCCGAAAGCCGCAAGCTATTGAGAAAAAATAGATAAGATTATTTGGCTTGCGATTTATAAATTTTAATAAATCGGGAATATTTTAGTTCAGTTTCTTAAATCAATCTTGACGCCAAATAAGAAACAGTCTATTATTTTTTATTTTACTTCTATTTTTTTTCCATTAATGTTACCAACTTGGCGATCAAACAAAACAAAAAAATATAGATAGTTTATTTATATTGAATAAATCAATCTATGACAAACAAATTTTACTTTAACCTTTTAAAAAAAAACTTCATTGTACGGAATATTGGGCAATGAAACTTAATCTTGAAAAAAAAATAATTTTTTTCTAACTGTCGTTGAACAGCCGACCCAATTTTGGGTTCACGACTGCTAATGTTCAACTACGTAGCCTTGTAATTTCGAACCCAATCCAGAAGACAAGGGAACTCTTAGATCAAGTATTGGAGTAAAATTGGCTTCGTGGAGGACTTTTTGATGATACAAACCCGCATTTGCATTGCATGGAGAGGAAGACCAGGAGAAACTCCCACGGTTAGCCTGATGGTGTTACGAATTTCTACCCGACCAAAAGAGGGCGTTGTAGTCACTCGCAATAATTCTGTAATCACTTATGTGGCAGGCAATGGATTGAACTGGATGGCTCATTGGCGAGCCCCATTTTGTATCATATTGATTTATTGTTTTTATTATTAAATTTGTTTGTTATTATATGGTTTATTTATTTATTGCACCCATTCGCCACTGAATCAATCTGCAACAGACGGCAAAGGGCCTCTAATCCATGATCCGTCTACCACAGAGAATATTTCACATCAGCACTGTGATCAGTGCAAGCCGGATGCAGATTTCGTATTGACGAGCCATTGCTGGGATTCGAACAAAGTTCACCTCATTGGAAGGCGAACGTTCTGTCCACTGAGTCACCACGTCTCCCCCTACAATATTCCCAGCAAAGATTTTTTTTTTTTTTCAGAGTTGCGAAGGCTCAGGGGGTAGAACGTTCGCCTCCCAATAAGGTGAACTGGGTTCGAATCCCAGCGATGACTGGTCGAGATGAATTCCGCACCCGGCTTGCACCGACGCAGTGAGACAATATCCTCAGTGGTAGACTGATCATGGCTTAGAGTCCCCTTGCTGTCAAGCAAACTAGGGGAGGTTTTCGTGGTTTTCCTCTCTATGTAACGCAAATGCGGGTGAGCTCCATCAAAAAGTCCTCCACGAAGGCACATTTCTCCCAATAATTGATCCAGGAGTTCTCGTCTTCTGGATTGGGTTCAAAATTACAAGGCTATGTAGTTGAACATTAGTAGTCGTAAACACANAACTAAAAAAAAAAAAAAAAAAAAAAAAAGATTGGGTTGGTTGTTCAACGACGGTTATAAAATTAAAATAAAATATAGTGTAGGGAATATCGGGAAAGTGCCAATCGAAGATATATCTCTGATCTACTATCCTTATCTCGATTAATCCGATTCTTGTTAATTAAAAACTGCTTTTGTTAATAGACACTGGTGTTTTTAAACTAAATTTAAAAAAGAGCAACAATAATGAATTCAGTTAAATGGTTCAGCGTCTCTTAATTGATTGAAAGGAAAGGATGAAAATAGACAGTTTTCTAAAAATGCAAAAATTTAATTCGTGCGAGTTAAATCTTTTGTTATAATGATATAAGCCTCGTTAATGAATAAAATTACGTCTTACTGAATCACACGATATGAGTTCCTACGTTTAATTTTCAATTACAGATGATTATTTTTCAAATCCAGGTGATTCATTTCCGTTAGGATTAAATTATTAACAAAATGGCCTAACAAAACCTTCTGATAACTACATATTTTATTGACAGATTGTTCTGTATTTTTGTGGATAACATCTACTTTTAAGAAAAATATAATGATGAATGTAAAGCAATCAAGGGGTTGGTCAGCAGCGCGTGCAAGGGGATTAGCCTCCTGGTAGAAAAAAAAAATTACGAAACAATCTAGGCATTAGAACTTAATTGAATTCATTATGTTATTTTTTGAAAGAAATGCGCAAAAAAGTGGAAAAACGGAATTAAATACTATATCCATTTTCATTTTTCTAAAAACGCATTAAATGTCTTTTCTATTTGCTTACATACACATTTCTGTGCTGTCCATTTTTCTTTCATAAGTCTTCGGAGGGATACTTAAACTCAAAAAATTCAGTGACAAGTGATAATAGTGTTATGTAGAAGAAAAAATTTTTTTTGCTTAATCTGATAACGTAAAGCCACCGGGAAGAGCAGCAAATAATAATAAATAAAGTCATTTTAATTTTATTAATTGTGTCGATACATGACTTTTAGTTTGGTACATGATTTCGTAATGTTATTCAATACTGACTTTTTTTTTTTCTTTTTAATTCACGCCGTACGAAGAACGGGTATTCAGCTAGTTACAACATAAAAATTTGGAATGAAAGGATTTTTTACACGCACGATATATATATACTTCCAAATTGGGCCGTCATTGCAACAAATTTTGTGAAAGATATTTCAAAACTATTTAGTCATTACACAACAGATAAAAGAGATATAGTTTCTCTAAAGAAAGAACTCCCCTAACAAATCGTCTGTACCCGTGGTGGTGACTATGGTAACGAGATATGACTATGCTATTCTTGTTTCCATAGCAGCAGATGGCCACAAACTTTGTGGAGGGGAGAGTTCTTAGCTTAGACAAACTATACACTTACCACTGCTTCCTCCGACTGTGCGTGTAGTATCATAAGGATTGCTGGTTCTTCCATGAAGGTTGTTATAAGTTTCCCACCACATGCATATCTCACTAGTGTTGGTTAGGGCTAGAGGAATGGCTCCACAAGCTCTTAATCTTTGAACTGGTTCACAATCTTCGCTCGCAATTATGCCCTTACGGCACACCAGACCACAAGTATTAGGAAGACCTAAAAACGAGACAAAATGAAATTCTTCAAGAAAAACGTAAACTGAAAAAACATGATACAATTGTCTCCATTTAAAATCATAGTTACTTTCAAATACAAACATTTCTAAGAAAAAGAATTTTTTTAAATATCTAGAGCTTTATCAGTATTGCTGAATGAATTGGGTAAATTTTTTCGAAAAGGAATATAAAAAATATACGAAAAATCTTAAACTGTTAATTTCGACATTTTGAACGGTTTTTCACGTAGCTTAAAAGGGAAAAAAATTAATTTACTACTGGCAAGTCCAAATACAAAAAACTTTCAGGGAATGCTAACTTACATTACTTTCGAAAGACGTGGAGGAATTTTTCGATAATAATCGACGGCTATTACGATAGTGATACGCATTGCGTTTCTTGTTTTAGATCTTGCAAAAATAATATTTCCTCCTTTTTAATCTGCTTAAAAAAAGTAGTTCTTTTTTTTTAATTAAATTATTACCTTGGCAAAATGGGTCTTCTTTTGAGTTTGATTGCGTCATTGCGTGCGTTACTATGGCGACCGCTGCTGTTTGATAATTTTTTTAGAATTCTTTTTCTAACTTTCAATTTTGGTGAGTTTATTTTTGAGATATGGGACCAGAGAAATCTCATAAATACTTCTAGAGTTGTGAATAAAAGAGAATTTCATCATTTGAACGGCATTTTTGTTTTTATTGTTTTAATGAAGAATCAAAAATTCTAACCTGCAGTTCAAACTGGATCGTTTTCAATACTAATTCAGGTGAATTTCACAAATAAAGAGGGTCCCAAACTGATTGACACGGTCCCAAAGGCTAGAGTTGAAGCAAGGAAAATAACGAAGCCAACTTACTGAGGTTGAAAAAGCTAAAGCCAAAGAACGTAGACTGGAAAAAAAATTAGACAACAACCATTTTGCCAATGGGTAACCTGTGATTGCCTTTCGGNTTAATTAAGAATCAGAAATTCTAACCTGCAGTTCAAACTGGATCGTTTTCAATACTAATTCAGGTGAATATCACATATAAAGAGGGTCCTAAACTGATTGACGCGGTCCCAAAGGCTAGAGTTGAAGCAAGGAAAATAACGAAGCCAACTTACCGAGGTTGAAAAAGCTAAAGCCAAAGAACGTAGACTGGAAAAAAAAATTAGACAACAACCATTTTGCCAATGGGTAACCTGTGATTGCCTTTCGGCGATGACATTTTTTCTTCTGTATTACTATTAGTTGTCATGCTATCTTATACTATTATTATTTTTTAATTTATTTCTTTTTTTAAAATCATTCCATTTTTATTTATTTTTTGTTTTGCGCCTGTTAGTTGAGGTCGGCCAGAGGACAAAATTTCGATTGTTGATAAAATGGCGATTCATTTTGACTGCAGAACTCTAGAAGCAGCAACTATACTTCGTAATGTCATCGTACAAAGAGCTCCTATTAAAATTTGAACAAGTCAGAAAATAGACATTATCAGTCAGAATTTTTATTGACGAGAAAAGGAGTTTAATTGGTTGAAAATCGAACTAAGTGGAATGAAAGGGCTCAAAAATAGGATTGGCAATAGACTCCCATTGACAATAATATGACAATAAACTCTGTTTAAAATGGAGAAGAAATGAATGAGCTCTGAGCTCAGATAAAACTTAAATAAAGTAATCGAAAAAATAATAAAATTTTTGTTTGGTAATTAATAAGTTTGGGTATAAGGTACCCAATAGTAGATATTAGTACTATCCCACTTCCATTAAAAAAAAAAATAGAGCATTTCAATATGTGTTCAATTATTATTCTTAGACTAAAGGCAACTCAATCATCTAAGAAACTAATGTGTAGTTGAAAAGTCAGAGTTCCGCTTAATCAAATATTTTCGCTAATCAAATCCAACCATAGAATTTTGATGGCCAAGTCTCTAATATATATCTGATTGAATTAATTATGATTATATTTTAAGATTTTGGATATCTAATTGGTCTACAGACCAATAATCTGGCCCCTTCGGACTTTCTAGGTATGCAGGCATTGTTCAGTCTTTCTAGTAATAATAACGGAATCCAGACCGGTATCAAGTTTAGATGTGTAGAAACACGGTATTAAATGAAGCTCTTAAGGATTCCCGCCTAAGGGTGAAAATTTTTTTGTCCGGTAAGCCTACTATAAAAAAGATATATTAATAATATGATCACAATTTTTAATCCAAACTTGTTTTATCCATTCACCATCTGTCCAGCTTATTAAGTTAAAAATTTAATTGCTGTTTTTTTTCTCCTTTTTTTTTTTGTTGTTGTTGAAAAAAGTAACAAAATGTTGAAAAGATAATTTTAATTCACCTTTAATGACGAGTGCTTCCTTTGCAGTAAAAGGAACACCTAAAAGCGGCAACTGTTGAGCGATTTGTTGTTCAGAGAGCCTGCCAGATCTTATCAACTGATCAGCGAACTTAGCATCTTTCACAGCTTCTGTGTATCTACCTTCTACAACAGCATTAATAAGTCCATTTATCTGACCTATGCGTTGTATGTAGGCTTTTACAACAGCTTCACTTGAAATCTAAAATAAATAAAATTAATAGGAATGTATCTTTCGCACTACCATTTACAAAACAAAATAAAGCATGGTATGTATAATAGAGGAGGGGGAATACTGTGACAGTTTTTATATAATTCCATAAATTAGTAGAATTTCAGAAACTAATTCCTATAGTTTCAAAACTAACGCAAACATCCCTGGTACTATCAGATTTGGAGTTCTATAATATGACAGGAAGCAAAAATATGTAACTAATTTTACAAGAAGAAAATGTAGAGATTATTTTGTATACTGTAAAAATCCTTTCAAGATTGTACTATAAATGCGGTTTTTAGTATCGCGATATTTTTGTCATCTAATAAAGTGTGTATATATGCTATATTCACGTAATCAAAATTAAGAGGATGGTATTCACGTGGAAAAAAGGATTCAACTATAAAGTACAGTAAATTTGCACACAGTGTATCAATGTTTTTAATATAAAAGAGCACTGGATCAACCATTAACTATACATAATTCATATCAAGAAAATAGCTAAATAAAAAAAATAACTTTGTTTTGGCTCATGCCTGACATCATGGAGAAATGACTTGTTTCAAAACTCAATAAAGAGCCTTTTAAATCTTAATAAATCCTAATCTCAAGAACCTATTAAAATAAAGAGAAAATAATTTCTGTTATTAAGAGAGAATTACTTAAGCTCTTTGTTTTTATAAGAAGAAAAAACAACTTTAACAAAAGAACACCAATTTTACTTTTTAGAAGATACTTTTAAATACATCTGACAGACACAGGAGGTAAAAAAATCTAATTTTCTAAGAGAAGTTATTAGGCAAAATTGTGCACTTAAAATACAAATTTGAATTTTATATAAAATTAAATTCTATAATTGTGTTTTTCTTTTTACAACACATTATGTTTATTAGTGCTTTAATGTCCCACAATGGACTAATCATAAATTCCAGTAGAACCCCGTGTTTTTATAAGGTTTGACGATATTATTCGATTAAAAATGGTTTCGAAATTTCGAGTTTCGAGAGTTTGTGGTAAAAAAACGTCAAATAGCAAACAAAGATATTATATTTTACTCAGAAATGCAAGTGTAAAACTGGTATTCTTTATTTTGAACTTCCCATTTTCACAATGGAAACATTATAAGACATAAATTATATTTAAGTGAAAACATTACGTAAGATTTCATATTAGTGTATTTATCAAAAGATGTTTCTAACCTAAGTGAATTAGTAAAACAACCACAGCATTGAAAGAAAAAAAACATTAATAGGCTTACTTAGAATAAATATAAAAGAAAAAACACATTAATACGTTGTAAGTATAAATAGCACTAATTAGTAAATTAAATAACTAAAAATTTTTCCAAAAAATTTATAACGTAGAATGTGTTTTGTCTAAAATTCTAAAAGTAAAAGCACTAACAAAACAAACTAATTAGTTGCTAAATTATATTTCTTTTACACGTGTCAATGTCAAACATGAGATTTCCTAACAGTTATGCAAGTTCAGAAACAAATCTCTTATGTACGATTTTGAGACGAAATTCTACCTAAGGCCCACACCCAACAACGCATCTTTACAGATTAGAACAGCACAGGTGTGTACTTCATTACATCGACCATGAACCTCGCAGGAGGAAGTTATTGAGCAATATTTTTTCAAGGTTTCTGTCGATGCATCTGGAAATAACATAGAGTGCTAAAGTGGTGGTGCTTCAGGCTATCGTCGAGTTTTTCGACCTTTGCGGAAATGGGAAGTACGTAATACTATTTTTTTTTTTGAAGAGAGCATTCTATAGACTAGGCCTGCAACACAATGTCATCATCCAAATTCTGTAACATTCTACTTAAGTCTTCTTTCTTATCACATTCATATACGAGAACAAAGATTAGAATTCGAAATTAGTCAAGACAAACAGTATTAGTAACGTAATGTAGAAATCATGGATCTTATTTAACAAATCTTCAGGAAAAAGACAAAATTTTTAAGATAAGAGAAAAGCGTAAGTGAAAAAAACGAAAGTAGTGATCAGATCAGTGAGTATACGAGAAATTTTTTACTTAAATGCCATGTGTCAAATCAGTTAATTAAAGCATTTGAAAATACTTACGGTTATTGCCAATATTCAACGCCAAATTTTCAAACTTTTTTTACCTATTGTTTTATTACGTCAAGTTAAGGACAAATAAGTCTTCCTTTTTTTTTCGTACTATATTGCATTGTGACTACACAGTTTTCTGTGGTGAGTGCTAATTATCGCTAAAAAATATTAGATGTTGATGGTAAATACTTTTCAGATAAATATTTGTACAGTTATTATATCTATATTATATAAAACGCTTATACGTACTTAGTTAAAAAATCGAGTAGAAAGCAAATAAAATAAAGCAAATTTCTTTTCATCCGATGGCATAAGCATAAAGCAAAACAGAAATGAAGTCTTTCGAATCTCATTGGTTCAATTTTTACATGCATCAGTAGCAACGAAAAGGATCAATTGGATCCTAAGCGTATGCGGATGCAATACAAATCTTCTCTGTCAAGCATTTTTAAGCAAGAACTATCCTGAACAATACTACCTTAATTTTCAACTACTTTATTGCTATAATCCTTTTTTTTTTTTTTTTNTTTTTTTTTTTTTTTTTTTTTTTTTTTTTTTTTTTTTTTTTTTTTTGCTTGTACATTTTACAACTTTTTGCTAAACTCAAAGATTTGAAGCTGTTGCGAGTCTGAATATATAGATAAATAGAGAAAACTCACAATAGAGAAGCGCTCCTAGCGTCGTGCATTTTCAGCCATGAGTTGCTTTCTAAGCAATTCTTGATCTTTATTATATTACCTACTTCTCTTCTTGCGTTTGTAGCCGCTTTGCTGAATCATGCGGTACAATGGACTAAAACTGAATTACTAATACTAAGACTAAGAACTGAATAGAGAAGCGCTCCTAGTGTCGTGCATTTTCAGCCATGAGTTGCTTTCTAAGCAATTCTTGATCTTTATTCTTTATAATATTACCTACTGCTCTTCTTGCGTTTGTAGCCGCTTTGCTGAATCATGCGGTACAATGGACTTAAACTGAATTAATAAACTGCGCAGTGGGGTTAAATAAGAACGATGTTAAAGTTCAGACTACTAAAGAATCGGATTTCTCATTTGTGGTAACCCGTGCGAAGGCTTTCTCTCATCTAGGAGGTGCTGGCTAAGCCCCTTGTTCGCTGTCCTAACTAAACTAGTTGCAATATAATTCTCCATAGTAATTGTTGTTTCATAGCCTAAAACAGTTTTTTCTAAGAAAGTTGAAATTATTCACTTACAATATAAGTACTATAAAGTATTATGTTTGCATACGCGGGTGCCCCCAACTGCCCACGTCTAACATTCATTTCTTTAAAATGTTTCTGAGTCAAATTTGATTGGTAAATGAAAGATCTCGTGTGATTCTATATCCTATATGATTGATTCGATTAAAATCTATAAGTAAAAATAAATAATTTTCTTTAGTAATCATTTTTAAATAACATTTCAAATTNATTGTGGGTAAGTTTCATAAAATTCCATGTGTAATTTCTTGAGTTATCGCGATTTTTGTGAATTTTCCTTAATTTATGATAACCAGTGTATATCTGTCGTTGAACAACCGACCCAATTTTGGGTTTAAGACTACTAATGTTTAACTCCGTAGCTTTTTAATCCAATCCAGAAGACATGGAAGCTCATGGATCAGTACCCCCAGAGGTATTGATCTGTTACGGGAACAAGGAGGACTTTTCAACCCGACAGATTTAACGTGTCTCAGTTACCATTTACTACAGGGTGAGTCTTCGGCCGGCGGGAATCGAACCCACGACCTCTTGGACATGGGCCCAGTGCCCTACCAACCAGAATTTCCCGGCCGTTGTAAGAATTTTGGTGAATTCCCAAACGTAATTCACTATTTTCGCTTACCAAACAGCCTGATATATTAAATACAATACGTGCGTGCATCACATTAGGCATGAAGCTCATCGTTAAGTTCTAAATCCTTTGACTAATTTCTTTAATGGTAACTTATAATTGCAGATTGATATAATTTTCACCAAAAAACAAATAATTCTAAAACGGTTAAAACGTTTAGAAACCGACTTAAATGAGTTTATCTTGATGTAGCGTAATAAGGTAATATCATAGTATTACGTTATAATAAAGAAATAACTCTAGTTTTAAACTATTAATTTAGTAAACAAGCAAAATTAAAAACATAATAGCAGAGTAAAATAAGGAAAATAAATAGTACAGGTAAATACCTTCAAATTTGATGTACAAAAATATTTTATAAGAAACAAAACCATACGGACTTTTATTAATTTTATGCAAATGATAGCTGCAAAAAAAATGTACTGAAATTAATATGGGATAACTGGATCCTACGATGTGATTTTTCCAACCAATAAAAAGTTACCGATAACAATGGAAACTGCGGCACCATCATTAGATTTTTATATATACTATAGTTAAATTAAAGAGACAATTCTTAAATTAAAAAATATGGTAATCAATATTTCCCTGTCTTCATGAGGTTAAAATAATTAATAAACAATAACTAGGCCTATTACTGATTAAAATTTTAGCAGTGAAAAGGGAATGATGATATTAAAAACGCAACTTTCTCGTCACGGCTGAGTTCTGTCAAGCAGGCACGCAAGCTCATAACTTGATAAAATTCCCCCGGAAAACTTAAGGCTGAAACAGGTATGAAGTTTAACAAAGAAGATGCAATTTAGGAGGTCATGAACAACGAGTATGTAAACAATGAAAGTATGACAACATTGTCTGAATCTCAACATTATTAAAGAGTGAAAAGGCCCTTAAGGGTTTAGAGAAACAAGTTTTATGTTGATGAGCACTTACGTTCATTTACTTTCATTTTTATAAATCGTTCAAGTTCATGATACAGGAAGTAGTATTTATCCTAAATTTTGGGTATAAGAAGCCATTATTTATTCTTTCATTTCAACTTATGAATCTTT